CAATTTCGTTCAAAATGGAGAAGGGTATTCAAAGTTCGGCCCGGCGGAACTTACATTTTATTTACATGTTTTTTAATAAAATGGTATTTTACTGTGGACTACTTTCAGGAGATCTTCCCCAACTAGAAATAATTTTTTAATTTTATTTATTTATATATATTGCTACAATTAAATTTATTAATATTTACCACTTTTAGAAATATTGAATTTCCATGCCTGTGCTTGTAACCCAGTAATATTTTTTTCATTTATTTATGTGAACTCTCTTTATTTCACTCTCGTTTTCTCTTTGCTTCGTTAAAACTCTTTTCCTTCTCTCTGTCTCTCTCCCTCTCTGAACAAATGACAATTTTCAATGAGCTTAAGAAAAATTGTTGCTAGGAAAAAGTACAAAGTACCTATTTTGAAACTTTTTATTATTGATTTTACCCCAAAAGCGAAGGCAACTCAACACCACTGACAAAGGAATGCTCCGGTGGTGGTCGTGATGATGATGATGATGACGATAAACGTTGCAAACATGGGATTCTTAGGCACGAACACGCACAAACATACACAGGGACGACTAAGCACATTTGGTGCGTATGATTTGAGTGGTGCCTCCTGTCTATGCTTTTGCAACTAATCCGGAGGATGAGTTCCATTTATGATGTCCTTTGTAAAACACAACGCCCTTTATGCATTATGTATGAAAACAATTTGTCTGCATGTCTGGACATGTTTTCTACAATTTCAGCACTAATTCAATAATTTTTTTATTAACCAAAAAATTGTTAAAACTTACTTGCGAATTATGAAATAAAATACATACAGATCGTGGTTACGTCTGCCACAATAAAATTATGATTTCAGAATTTACTTTGCCACAAATGACTAGAAATTATGCAACAAAAAGCCAGCCAAGACAGCTAACCAGGTTGGTGGTTGTCCAGCGCAACATTGTGCGTCTGGCGGCGATGTCTGTCCATGGTTTTTTCTCGAATTTTGTTCACATTGTTGTTATAGTTGTTGTTGATATTTTATTCTTCATTTTTCCATTCCTTGTTGTTATCTTTCAATTCACAGATATAGAAACTTTTTTTCCTGTGCGTTTGTATGCAAATGAACAAAACCACACACACACACAGACAGAGAGAGACACAGACACTCACATACATCGACACTACATAGTATAAAGCACTTGTGTAATTCTTTTTTTTTTCATTTCATTTGTTTGCTATCATTTATTTGATGTGGAGGTAGGTAGCTGGCTATTTTTTGTTTCCACTTTAACATTTTGCATGGCACTTAACAAAAGCAAGCTCAAATTCAGCTCTAAGCTTCAAATTTTCTGGCTGATTCTATTTTAACTTTGACACAACGAAACAAAAAAAAAAAACGCACAACAACAAATCAAAGAAGTTAATACTTTTTTTCCCCATTTTTTTTAGTTGTGCAAACAAATTTCACCATCAAACTTACATCTTTTCCAGACAACTTTAGTCGCGGTAACAGCGCGAATAACTTGAAGCTTACCACAGACTTCATTGACAAATTTCAAACTGAACTCGGGGAGCCTGCAAACAGGCTGTTCCACGTTAAGTTTTCTTCATATCCCATCGAATGCTCTCCCCATGGCACGCACACAGCTAATTATGTTTGCTCTCGCACTCCATCCTTCTCTCAAAGGCAGAGAGAGAGAGAGAGAGTGGCCTTCTTGTTTGGGGGTTGTTTGGCATCAGGGGTGCTCAAGAAGAAATATCTGTTTTCAGTCAAATTTCTCTTTGCTTATTTAAATCAAGAACAAAACAGTGTTAAGTCATTATTTATACAAATATTTTTATCCATTTGCTTTATAAACTATTTTGGCAAACATTCGTGTTTAAAAATAATTAAATAGAACAGTAAAATATAAAGAAAAACAGAATTTTAATTTTCTCTTAAATTATCTCTTTTTTCTCTTCATGTTCTAGAACACGGTTTTGAGCACCCCTGTTTGGCATTGACAAAAGGAAATGTGTTTTGGATTTGTTCTCTTTTCGTGAGGTTTGACATGCTTTGAGAGCTTTTTATGTGGGGGATAAAGATAGTGCGAAATTAATTTCGTACCAAAAATGTTTGTGCCAGCACTGTAAAGAATTATTTCAGCACTCATTACACAGTGGGGACGAAACGAATACGAGATTCTCCACTAAAACAAAAAATAAAAACAAGTATCAGTCGGTTTTGCCGACAGATTTATACCCCCAGCCATGAGTTATGATTTGTTAAACTCTTGACCCTTTATGGGGGAGGTTCCGAAGCGGTTGGCCAATATAGACCAATCGGTATCTGACCTAAGACTGATAAAAATATTACAACGTGTCAAATATGGACTATATCGACTACTTTCTATACTTTATATGGGAAATGTGAAAATTTTTGGAAGATATGGAAATATGCAGGAGTTGGCAGATAACGCGGACCGAAGCATTCCATTTTCATACTAAATCTAATACAGAAAAAAATATTAGTCTGTGCAAAATTGAAAGGAAATCGAACATTTACAGGGTAGGATGAAAAGACTGCAACCAACTTCAGACTGCTGTCATTTCTAAGCCACTCGTCCGACAACTGTTAAAGGAATTCGTGAAGGAATTCAAGCGTGATAGTGTCATTTCTTTATATTTGGCTGGAAAAACACAAGTGGCTATCGTTAGAGCCCTCTAGCAGCATTTAAATGTGAATAAATCTTTTGTGTCTCCCACCATCGCCCGTTACCGTGATAATGGTAGCGTAGCCCCACGTCAAGGAAGTGGATGGAAGAAAACAGCATCATGAGAAGAAATAGTTCGAAAAATAAAAGAGGGCGTCGCAGTCGCCGAAAAATGGCTCGTGAGCTGAACATATCGCAATATTCAATTCGGCAAATTTTGAAAAATGGGCTTGGGGTAAAGCTATTAAAATTCAAAAAAGTGCAAGAACATACACCGCAACAAAAAGAAAATAAACTCAAAAGAGCTAAAGAGTTGCTTCGCTTGGTCGAAAATGGTGAACTGCCGAATTTGGTTTTCCCCGATGAGAAAACATTCGTTAACCAGCAGTCTGTAAACAAACAAAATGATCGTCGTTACTTGCCAATGAGGTCAGCTGAAAATATGCACCTTCGGTTGGCCACCAGAACTCAAGCGACGGCCATGGTAAAGCTTTGGGCCGCCATTACAGCCGATCGACCGTTGCATCAGAATAAATGCCGAATATTATCACGAAAATATGCTGGAGGTTATATTAAAGCCTTGGCCACGCAAACATTTTTGCCACAAATCTTGGAGATTCCAACAGGACTCAGCTCCATCGCACTCAGCACGCGCTACACAAGAATGGTGACAAAATGAGGTTTCTCGCTTAATTTCCAACGCACGATGGCCACCAAAATCTCCGGATACCAATCCGTTGGACTATTGTGTCTGGAGTATTTTGGAAAGCAAGGTTGGCACTAAAAAATACCAAAGTGTCGATCACCTCAAACAAGCTATTCGTCGGGAATGGGCCAATGGGCAGCGTATGAGGGTTTCATTGGCCATTTGAAGGCCATAATTCGTGCCAAAGGTGACCAATTCAAACAAATCTAAAATTATTCTGAAATTTGATGTTATTTCCGACATTTTTTGCTTTCATTCAATAAAAGTTAGAAAAAAAAATGTAAAAATGTTGGCTTTTGACTTTGTTGCAGTTTTTTATCTCACCCTGTATATCATCTTCAAAACAGATCCTGCGTTAGCAAAAATATGTGGATGTGTGAAATTTGAAGAGAGTAGGATGCTTATTTGGCCTTCTTTGAACGTTTCGTTTTTTAAAAAAACCCTGCGTGGGGGAGGTACCAGAAGGAATGGTCCGATCTTAAGCATCTTTAAAACTGATATTGTGTTAATAGAAATATTGAGATGTGTCAAGTCTGGATGGATCGGATGTTAATTTCGCGTTTTATGAGCTTCATGAATTTGGAAAATCTTAAAACTTTTGTGGGCGAGGTACCAGAAGGTGTAGACCGATATATTCCATCTTTACAAAAAACCTTGGTTTAATAAAAATATTAGGACGTGTGAAATTTGAAGACAATTGAACTCTTACATTGCATTTTATAAGAGTTACCAGAAAGAGTAGGCCGATATATTCCATTTCCGCACCTGAAGACATGGTCCGATCTGTACAATCTTTATAAAAAATATTGTGATGTGCCATGTCTGAATGAGTGTTTTATGAGCCTAATGGATATTCAAAATTTTGACCATTTGTGGGGGAGGTACCAGAAGGAGTGGACCGATATATCCCAACAGACCTTGGATTAGTAAAATATATTATTTTATAAAATATGTTTTAAAAGAGTTTTAATTATTCACAATGTTGAGGTGGTGGTACCTCCCCCACAGAGTGGATCGATATTGTCAATTTTCGCACCTGACCTTGCATACATGCCTACCATGTCGGACCATCAGCTTAAGATTACCTACCCCATGGTCATATTCCAACAACATTACATCGGACAGCATAAGCTCTAAACGTCGAACTTTTTGTAACCGTTGGAAAGCCAAAAACCAAGAATATCGAGAATATACCATTCGCCGTTTTCCCCATTGTACTGGTGTTTATGTAGCAAATAAGAACTTCCTGGATGTAATCACTAATGTGGCTGCTCTAGCAGCGATGGTGTTCAAGTACTTAAGCAACGGTTTCAAAAATATGCTCGAATAGATTCGGCGTACAAAACCCTTATGCTCATAAAATCGCACAACTGACCATTAATTTCATGGCACAATCGCAAGCCAGATCGAAGAATTTGTTGTCAACGAATAAGTTCGCCTGTTCAACGTCGTATGTGCGGTAGACTCGAAGAAATGTTCGAGAAATGTACAAAGAAGTAAAGAAGAGTTTTCTTGTTGTTTCCTTGAGTTGGACATGAGACCCATAAGCAAAATTCCTTTCTACTAGTTAATAGGATTAAAGCTTCTAAAGCATGAAAACTGAATGAAAACAATTGACGATTTTATATAAGGAATGATGTATGCATGTGTTACACCTTTATTAATAATAAATACATATTTATTCGAAACATTAATATTTTTTAAATAATAAACAATAATAAATAAATATTACAAAATATGTTATATAATAGAGTGAATGTATGTGTGTGTGTGTACGTGTAAGTTACATGATTAAAGGACACAATAAATTACAAAAAAAAGAGAACACATTGCCAATTAATTACAAAAGGATAGAAGGACCCACACTCACAATATTGAGAATGACTTTCTGATCACTAGGAATTTACTGCGGTATTCAAATGCATCTTTAATGGGAAATTAATGAGAAACCGCTTATACACATACGTTATAGGATATATATAAAGCTAACTTAGACAATATAATATGTATATATCTGCCAATATAAATAACACAAGATAAAATCTGGACAATAGACAACTTTCACAATACAATGTTGGCAACATATTTTTTTCGGCAGATTTTCATGAAAGAAAAAATGTATCTTAACATATTTATGTGTGTGGTGTTTTATGAGAATTGAACTTCGGTTTTGGTAGGTGTCACTTAAACTATAAATACACTGTTGCCGTTGCTATTTCGATCACCAACCGCTATCTGCTGCTCATCCCTGTTGAGCACTTCAGCTTCTTTGCCAATTTCAACAATGCCACTACTTTGCATTACTTTGTTTGGTTCGATTTGATTGCCCTCCCGTAGTTCTTCAGCCTTTTCGACAATTTTTTCAACATTTTCTCCGCCCTCTGTCTCCTTGGTGTCGCTGGTTTCCTCGCCATTTTTAGTGGAAAAGATTATTTTCTCTTCGGTGTGCACACTGATACCCTCCTCAATTGATTCACCGCTATTTTGGAATGTCACTGAGATATCTTGTTTTTGCTGATCTGAAGTGGATAAACGCACCTCAGCACTGCTGGCACCTGTTGTGGCAGCTGTTGTGGTCATTGATGACCACCAAACAGAAATTGCTCCCTTTGCCTGGGATAAGGCTCCACCCACTGCTCGACTGGTATTGTTGACGGCTTGGTTTATCTTGCGGCCGCTTTCTGTGCTCTGCATGGTTCTGAAAAAAAAAACGGAAACAAGCATTAGTTTTGAACAAAGTTACCACAATTTCTAGACTTACTGGGCCAATTTCAGTTTTACATCCGTAACCGAGAGTGTCGCCCCCGAAAATGGATGCCCCATGGGCAGAGGATCAAAGAACCCATTATCCGGCCTTACATCAAACCATTCCTGATAGCATTGGGTCTTTTGAAATGCACTCATAAAATTCGCATTAAAATGATCAACATCTTTCACGGCTGTTTCCGAGGTTGTGGCCGCAACCGAGGTACGCAGCAAGGCCAACAGATAACCCTGGAATTGTTGTCGTATCCACTGATCACTACCACCCTCGGCATCTTCTTTAGGCACTTGGACATGACGCAGTATATAATCCATAAAACGTAAATCTTCTGTACTCAAGACCAGCTGTTTTCTCAACTCCGGGTCACGCGCCTCCAAATTGCCATTTTCAATATCAATCAATATATCCGCCAAGTGTTGCCTTTGCTGGAACAGCACATTTGAGGTTCCGATGACATAACTCAACACCGATGGATCGGTTAGCAAGTCCATGTATGGCAAGGATAGATAAGGCAAACAAAGATTACCGCTGGCAAATATTGAAATGGGGGCACGATATTCGTCGGGATTAATGGTGGTGAGAAAGGACAAAGTGGCTGTGGAAAGATGAGATTATTTTTAAACAATGAAAAAAGCGGTTTTTTATACCCTACACCTTTTTTGGAAGGAACTTGAAAATTTCCAAAAAATAAAAAAATCCGCCGAAAAATACCGCACAAAAGAACCTTAATATGGAAGCTATATAAAGACGGGGTGCTGCATAAGTAATTTTTTGTCATAGGCTGTAGTAACGACTCCAAACTTTAGAAAGGGGGCTTTAGAAAGACGTGGACCTGCACAGACAATTTTCTGTTTTTGGCTGTAGTATCCATTACGAACTTCAACTACGAAATTTGAAACAATTCCGGTAATAATGTCGTTAAAATCACCAAAATATCGGATATCGGGAGGTAGCGTTATATAGAGGCTATACGAAGACGTGGACCTGCACAGACAATTTTCTGTCTTAGGCTGTAGTATCTATTACGAACTTCAAATACTAAATTTGAAACATTTCCAGTGAATAATGTCGCTTAAATCACCAAAGTATCGAATAAAGGGAGGTACCATTATATGGGGGCTATACGAAGACGTGGACCTGAACAGACAATTTTCTGTCATAGGCTGTAGTTCCATTACGATTTTCAAATACCAAATTTGAAACATTTCCGGTAAAAAATGTCGCTAAAATCATCAAAATACCAAAAATAGGGAGTTACCGGTACTTGGGGGCTATACGAATACGTGGACCTGCACGGACAATTTTCTACCATAGCCTGAAGTTACATTACGAACTTCAAATAACAAATTTGTAAAAATTCCGGTGAAAAATGTCACTACATTCATTAAAATGCCGAATATCGGGAGGCACTATTATATGGGGGCTACACGAAGACGTGGACCTGCACAGACAATTTCCTGTCATAGGCTGTAGTATCCATAACGAACTTCAAATATTAAATTTGAAACAATTCCGACGAATAATGTCGCTAGAAACATCAAAATACCGAATATCAGGAGGTGCCGTTATATGGAGGCTATGTCAAAACGTGGTCCTACATGGCCCATTTTCAATACGAAACGTCCTGCAGACATAATATACATTTGAGTAACAATTTATCAACCCCACTTCATTTCGTTCGGAAGCTAGAGCGATTTTCACAGACGGAAGGACGGACGGACATCGCTATGTCGACATAGAATTTTATGCTGATCAAGAATATATTTTCCATTCCCAGATCTTGTTGTCGGACGTTATCAGCAGACGGTCCTAGAAGCCATAAACGGCTATAGATACAATCAGATCCAAATTTGGCAGGAATGACAACCCCTTCGAGATAAACATAATACATTCCCGCTCTGCTTTCAATTTTCTACACAGATATTCATTCTTCTTCGGCAAAGAACATTCTGTTTTATTTGGACAGTTGCAACAACTATTATGCCTATCTTCAGATGTGCCCACCTCGGATTGGAAGATAAAAATTGTGCTAGTCTAAAGCCAGGCACCCTAGCCCACTATAAAACAAGAGTAGGGAAGTTCCAACAACTATCTTTGAATTCTGTGAGTCATAATCCTAAAGCATTCAATAAGGGCCAAAATATGTTGGAAATGCTGTGGGACTTGCGGCTTTAAAGGCACAACACCTTAGCAGTTGACCATGGATGTCAACAAAAGGAAGAACAGCAGGTGTCTCCGCCCGAAAATATGTCTCCTGTGATTGCTATTTTGCTGAAAAGGTAGTAGGGAGATTGAAGCGCCACCATACGCCAACAAGAAATATTGCCCCTGCCGATTTCTATACTTCTGAGAGCCTAATAAAACTTCTTCGTTTTGATCTCCCTTCGATCGCTACATTGACAACACAAGCAGATCTATTAATAAAAAATCACAAAATTTTGCCTGGACATACTTCCATTAAAACGCAAAAAAAAAAATACTTACATGACGCATCCAAGCTGTTATCTTTGGTAAATGAGCTACTTCGCTCTAAATTCTTATCATTCTGGGTGGATGGATTTTCCGATGCATCTGCTGCTGCGTCACCACCTGCCGAAATCGCCGATGTTGGCGATGAACTACTTTTATGGCTTGATTTTTCACTACTCTTCGAGGAGGCATTTGAGAATTTCCTCAACTTTTCCTGAACATCATAACCAGCAGCATTATCGGAACAATCGTCCTCTCCTGTTGCTGTTGCATTCTCATCTTTTGCATCACCACTGCTGTTGCAATCCTCTGGCTTTATCAGAGAATCCGTATAATCCGGCATGGGTGACAATGGCCGTGATGTCCTTACACATGCCACTTCCTGGAAACCCTTTTCCAATAGACGTGGTATCAACGATGATATACCCAAAATCAGGGCACACATACCGCGCACAGGAGATCCAAAGCACACAACTTTTCTTTGTAACAAAAATAGCTTCAAAAGTTGCAACGTCTTGTGACGCCAATTCAAAACAATTTCACGCAGAGATAAGCCAACATGGAAATGACGCAGAGCTCGTCGTGATTCATCACCATCCATCAGACATGCATTGAGTTGTTCATAGGCCTTGACAAGAATATCGGTGCTGGAAAAATCGCCCTCCTCAAAGAAGGCATCCGCGATCAATGACAACTTCACCTCAATGTAGCCATAAATAGGCAAACGTGCCAGACAGCAGACGGACTTTTGCACCGTACTACGTGTTACATCGGCCGTGCGAATTTTCAGCTTCTCTACCGGTATCTGACGATAACACGACACCCCGTAAACACTCTCCGTGGGGTCGGTTAGACTGGGTAGATTAAAGAAAACCGTGTCTTCAACAAAATTATGTGAACCATCCGGCAATGCCAAGGTTGACAAATACTTCCAACCGCTGGGACATTCATTTTTACCCGACGAACCAGCCACCAGAGGGGGGTATGAAAATTCCACCTACACAAAGGACATTGACAGCATTAGCAAAAAAAATACAACAACAACAGGCTTATGTAACTTATATTCCCACCAACCTGACATCCTAGCTTATGATGGAATCCCACTACCAAAATATGTAGAATTGGAGGTTTAGTTTCTTCTTGAGCCGCCGCCACCGCATTCATTGTCCTCCAAACGATTTGACAGCCAAACACCGAAGTGAAAACAACAAACCAACAAGCTTACACACACACACAAACCAAGTAGTTGGCAAATTGGTATGTATTAATCAATTGGAAATACCTTTCTCTTTGTTTTTTAGGAAACGTTCTTTTTATCAGCAATTGACAAGAATTATTATTTTTCTTTTGCTTAAAAGCAAAGTATCGGTTTAGCTCCAGCTCGTTCGTTGTGCTATGTTCCCTGTTCAGAAAATGACAGGGTTGCCAATAGTTCTTTGTTTTCTTACCAAATTATGGGTAAATTCCCGAAAGTAATATTTTTGCAAGGGAAAATTAATTTTTTTCTAATTGGAAAAATACAAAAACGACACACTTAGCCATCTTCAGATTTTGAAAACAAATGCCCCCTACCTAATAATAATAACAATAATGGCAACGCTCGCGTATTTAACTTTGACATCCATCTCTCTTAACAGATGGTTTTAAAGTTATTTGACAAAAAACATTTATGTTACATTTTATAACATTCTGACAAATTACTACCTGTCATACCTGTCATTATTTTAATTTTTTTTATATATTTTTGATTAAAAAAAATATAAAAGGATACTTTAAAAGCGTCTTTAAAGTCAGGACTGAAAGAATATCATCATTTATTTAAATTGACAAATGATGCGTTATCATATAAGCAGCCAGGCAAATGCAGGGTTGCCCACATTCGATAAATGTTATCAGAAAAATTAATCGATATCCCAAAACTGGCATACGAAACAAGATGTAATCGTTATAAAGACCGTTCACAAAGAAATAAAAAGCAGTTGAAGTTTCAAAAGAAAATGGAAATTATAGACATTATCCCGAGAAAATGTGGAAAACTCGTATTAAACTGAATAATAAAAAATGGGAGTAATATGTAAGTAGATACGTGAAGATTAATATAAAGAAACAACGGACTTGGACGTTATTTTTTTTTTTTGATATACGAATAAGGGAATTTATAACATCCTGAGTTTGCCGAAAGACCAGGTTAGAGTTTTGCAATTTTTTCATTTTTTGTTTTATAAATTTTAATTAATTTTCACCAATATTTCAATGTCATAATCGACGCGTTGGGAGCTAGAAAATATATATCAACTCACAATACAAGTAAGAAAGAATGTTGGATCGATCTCAAGTTCCGAACAAAAACGGCCTGTTGCCCACAATTTCATAGTTTAGAATATCTTTAGGCTGAACTCTAGTTTAGTAAATTTTTTTAAATTGTTTCCAGTGGTAGGTATTTTTCTGACGCCGGGAAGCTATTTTTTTCTTGGAAATATTTGCGTCAGTGCTAGGTCAGGTGTGAAAATGGACACAGTGGTCCACTCTACCCAACAAAGTGTAAAAATTTTGAATAAATATAAGTCTCATAAAATGTGATGTAAGAATCCGATTGTCTTAAAATTTCCACACATCCCAATATTTTTATAAACTCAAGAACTGGTGTGAAGATGGAATATATCGGTCCACTCCTTCTGGTACCTCCCCCACAAACGGTCGAAATTTTGAATATCCATTGGCACAGCTGAATACAGGATCTGTTAAAAAAGGTAGAGATCGGACCATTCCTTCTGGTACCTCTCCCACAAAGGGTCAAAGTTTTGACTGATTTGGAATTCTGTTATCTTTTTGTTAAATAAAACAAAATATATATTAATGTGATTATTTTAGTTTTTATTATTGTTTTTATTATTTTTTGTTTCGTTTACTCCTAATTTCGTTTTGAATTTAGAATACATGTGCGAAGCAACTAAATGTTTTCTTTTTTTATCGCAAAAAGACAATAATTATTTTAGAATAACAAATATAAACTGGATTTTATCGTTTCATAATGGGTAATTGTGGGGTGTGTGTGTGTGGCTGGCTAGGTAGGTGAGTGTATGGATGATGTGTTTTGGGAAAAAGGAACAAGCTGTCCTGTACAGTTGTATCAATTTCTAGAGTGGTTTTGTTTTGAATACAAATTTAAAAAAAAAAAAAAAACAAATGTTAATGGCAAGATAATGAAAATAATATTACAATGACAATTGATAGTTCTACTATGGAGATTTTAAGATTTTTGGAATTTGGAGATTAATAGGTGTAGAGGAGTTATATGCTAACAGTTTTCTTTTTTCGTCTAAGTCTTTTTAAGTACTTTACAATTTTGTAAAAAAAAGAGAGAGATTAAAAAATGTGTCTAAATAATATGTTGAAATATTGCAGGAGAAAAATTAGGACCTAAGGGATGAAGAGTTACTGTTATGGATTGAGGGGAAGGGCGATGATTGGCATTTTGTTAGATTTGTAAAAAAAAGAGTTCTGCTTACAAAACAACTATTGGGTTTATTTATTATTCATGGCATTTTTGTGTTTGTGTTTTTTTTTTTTGTTAAATCGCCCTACCAACAACATTAAAATAATATTTGTTGTTGTTGGCGCACATTTTTGTTAGTTACTTGATTTTTGATTGACGACTTTTTTGTTGGGTTTTTATTATTAATTTTTTTTTAAGTAATAAATTCTAGTTTTTGTTTTGTTTTACTTCAGGTTAAAAATAAAATAAATATTTCAACAAATAAAATATTAATTAAAAAAATGTTATAATTTTTTGTTTTGTTTCTTGTTTGGACTACAAATACAATGTATTATATATAAACATAATAAATGTATACAAATATACATACATAGGTAATAATAATAATATTTATTTATCGCATACAGAGATAGAGAGAGAGCGCGGTGCAGCAAATTTTGTTTGTGTGGTGTCTATGTGGTATGGATTGGTATATATTATATAAATATATATTTATATATTAAAGAGAGTTTTTACTTTTTTTTACTTCTTATTAATTAGACGTTTCTTTAGTTGTTTGTCTCTGTCTGTGTGTGTGTTTTTTTAATAGAGTTTGGAAGAGTCTGTTTTAATTTCTATTTTTGTTAATTAAAAAAATATGCATAACTAACTGTTTGACTTGACTGACTGACTGACACGGATCTCAAGCATAGCAACAACACAACAGCATAACAAACATATATGCAACGAAAATGAAATGAAATCACGACGTAGGCCCCTCACCATCATCATCATCGTCGTTGGCCATCAATCAATTCAATGGCCATTGGCATTGTTGTGATGACTACTGCCATTGATTTTCGTAGTACCATTATTGCTGCTATCATCATCATCATCATTGGCATTATAACTACTGTGTGGCTGCTTTGGTGATGTATAAGATTTTGTTCCTGAATCCTCAATGTCAACCTTGCTAGGCGGCTGCGGCGACGTATCATTTATTTGAGACATACGTTCATATCCATACAATGGTCAAAGATCCTTTAAAAGAGCACTCTTGGCATTCTTTAACTTATCTAAACGCTTGATCAAATGATTATTTGACGTTTCCAGCTCCTCAAGTTTTTCCATGGCCTCTCGATTCTGAAAAAAAAAACCAAAAAAAAAGGATAAATAATTGAGCACTTTTTATTGCGTTTTGGGAATTGCTGGAAATAGCAAGGCAAAATTCGTTGGGCTTTGTTATTTTCAGATGCAAACTGAAAGGGTTTCAAAAGTATTATTGTCTGAAAAGGTACCAGAAGGAATAGTCCGATATCTACCATCTTTATAACAGATCTTGTGTTGATGGAAATATTGAGATTTGCCAAGTCTGGATGGAATCGGATGTTAATTTCGTGTTTTATGAGCTTCATAGTTATTTAAAATTTGGACCCTTTGTGGGGTGGTATCTTCTTGGAATGTTCCGATCTCTACCATCTTTATATCAGATCTTATGTCGATGGAAATATTGAGATTTGCCAAGTCTGAATGGTATTGGATATTAATTTCATGATTTATGAGCTTCATGAATATTGAAAATTTTTACCCTTTGTGGGGGGAGTTGCCAGAAGGAGGGGACCGAGGGGACAATCTTCACACCAGAGCTTGGTTTAATAAAAAATATTGTAATGTGTGTATTTGAAGAGAACCGGATGCTTATTTGAGATTTTATGATCGTTTTGGTTATTCAAAATTTTAACCCTTTGCGGGGGAGGTACCAGATGGAATCGTCCGATCTCTACCACCTTTATAACAGATCTTGTGTTGATGGAAATATTGAGATGTGCCAAGTCTGAATGTAATTTGATCGTTTTATGAGGTTCATGAATTTTCAAAATTTTGACCCTTTGTGGGGGATGTACCAGAAAGAGGGGACCGATATATTCCATCTTCGCACCAGACCTTGGATTAATAAAAATATTGTAATGTGTGAAATTTGATGAGAACCAGATGCTTATTTCGGATTTTATGATCATTTTGGTTATTCGAAAATTTGACCATTTGTGAGGGAGATACCAGAAAGAATTGTCCGATATCTATCATCTTGTCTCTATCGTGTTTTATGAGCTTCATGAATATTCAAAATGTTGAACCTTTGTGGGGGAGGTACCAGAAGGAGGGGACCGATATATTCCATCTTCACACCAAACCTTGGGTTAATAAAAATATTGTGATGTTTGTAATTTGAAGACAATCGGACTCTTACATTACATTTTATAAGAGTTATAATTATTCCAAATTTTGACCATTTGTGGGGGAGGTACTCTTACTTAACTCGCAACTTTCCAATGACGGCAAATGAACGCAATGCCTAAATAATCTTCTTTGTTTTTAACATTTACCTCTCTTTGCAGTTTCCTTCTCTCAATTTTCAGTTCAGCTTCTGCTTTCTCAGCTGCCTCGGCTGTACTCTTATATCGTATAACTTGAGTTTCGGAACGAGCTAAACTTGATTGTAGACTAGCGATTTCTTGTTCGGCCTTTTGCAGTTTATATTTGTAATCTAAGATTATTTTGTTGGCTTCCCCTGTAAAATTGAAAACATTCAACACATTAACAAATCCAAATGGAATAGCTCTACACAGCACACATACTCTGAGCTTCATAATCATCATCATCTGAACCCAATGGCCCGTTTAGAGAGTTTCCCCTACCCCGACCTTTGCCTTGACTTTTGTACGTTTCCAATTGCTCTTGCAATTGTTGTACTTCGGATTGTAACTGCTGTTTTTCTTCGGTGAATTTTTTAAGTCGTACATCTAAAAGAAGAAAAAAATGAAGCCAATGATAGGTATACAAAAAATGTTTAAAAATTTGCCAGGAAAATATACCTAAAGAACCCTGAACAGATCCTAACAATTGTGCATTTTCTACGCTGACTAGAGCACGTTTGGCATCTGTGCCATCCTCGTTTTCAACGGCCACAATGACAAGGCCTTGTTCCTCAATCAGTGTATCCCGTTCGTTTAGCTGACCCTGCACCAGTTTCAATTCTTCCGTTAATTTATCCAACGACCGTTTCAGGGCATTGCATTCACGTGATTTTTCTTTGAATTCACGCTGTAACTGGGCATACGATTCTTCGATATCTTCCAATTTGTCTTTTAACAACTGAATTTGATACGTCTGTGATGCACGCTCGTTATCCAACTGGGCATTTGCTATCATGGCCTTGCGAAATCGTTCCTCCACATCCTGAAAAAAGAAGAAAAAACATTCACATTAAGTATTTCTGTGATGAGTTTTAATTCATTGACGACAAAATTCGCTACCTTCAGTTCGTGGCGTATGTCTCTTAAACTGCGACCTTCCTCTTCGAGGGAATCTTCACTGCTGCGTCTTGAAGACATTGAGTTACCAACTCGTGAAGAGTTCAATAAGCCACTGATTGCCGGTGATGCACTGCCCATTCCCAGTCTTGTCCGAGACAATGGATCTATGCCCGATGCTGTGGTATGCAGATCGAATACCCGATCGGCATTTAACTCCTGTTGCTGTTGTTGCCTTTCCAGTTCTCGCATTCGAATTTCACGTGCCTCGGCACGGGCCTGTCTACGAGCCGCCAATCTTGCTTCAGCCTGCAAGAAAAAGAAATTAAAATAAAAAAATAGTTAAAAAAGATTGTATGGGGACATGAAAGGCAATAAATTATTTTTGAATCTCGCAGAGTTTGGAGAGGATTTATATACAAAATTTAGCATTTTTATACCCTCAGCCAAATGGCTAGAGAGGGTATATATCATTTGATACGGATACCCTAGGTCTCTTTGGACCAAATCCGTTTCAGGACATTTGGAGTCGATCTAGCCATGTCCGTCCGTCTGTCTGGTTGGTGCGCACGATAACTCTCTAAGGGAGTATCCGATTTGATCCAAACTTGGTACATCGTAATATTATTGTCAAACATAGATCGAGTTCGAAGATGGGCAATATCGGTCCACTCCTTCTGGTGCCTCTCCCACAAAAGAAAGTAATTTACTGCACAGAAAGAGATAATTCGATTTTGTTCCAACTTGGCAAATCCTAATTTTTGCATCAGTGCTAGGTCAAGTGCGAAGATGGACAAAATCGGTACATTCCATCAAGTACCTCCCCCACAAAGCGTTAAAATTTTGAATAATTATAACTCGTTTAAAATGTGATGTCCGATTGTCTTCAAATTGCATACATTACAATATTTTATTAGCCCAAGGTCTGGTGTGAAGATGGAATACATCGGTCCACACCTTCTGGTACCTCCCCCACAAAGGGTCAAAATTTTGAATGTCGATTTTTCTGATAACACAAGATCTGTTATAAAGATGGTAGAGGTCGGACCATTTCTTCTGGTACCTCCTCCACATACAGGGTGAGATGAAAAACTACTATTTTATCGAAACCTGCGTCGCAGTGTCCGCAAAATGGCTCGCTGAACATATCGCAATATTCCATTCGGCAAATATTGAAAAATGAGCTCGGGATAAAGCCATTGAAATTCCAAAAAGTGCAAGAACTTACATCGCAACAGGAAGAAAATTGAGTCAAAAGAGCTTAAGAGTTGCTTCGCTTGACCGAATGTGATGAATTGCCGAATTTGGTTTTCTCCAATGAGAAAACATTCGTGGTCGAGCAGTTTGTAAACAAACAAAATGGTCGTGTTTACTTGCCGAAGAGGTCAGCTGAAAATGTGCACCTTCGGTTGGCCACCAGAACTCAAGCGCCGGCCAGGGTGATGGTGTAGGCGGCCATAACAGCTGATGAACGCTCTCTGCTCGTATTAATCGACCGTGGCATCAGAATAAAGGCCGAATATTATCGCGAAAATATTCTGGAGAGTGGATTAAAGCCTTGGGCACGCAAACATTTTGGCCGCAGACCTTGGACATTCCAACAGGACTCGCCACCCAAGAATGGTTACAAAATGAGGTTCCTCGCTTCATTTCCAGCGCACAATGGCCACCAAAATCTCCAGATACCAATCCGATGGACTATTGTGTCTGGAGTATTTTGGAAAGCAAGGTTGGCACTAAAAATACCAAAGTAAGAACCAGATGTGCGTTCCAGGAGGCACGGGATCCATACACTCCTCTTTTCCATTCATTTTTTTACATAGGTTGCCTGAAAAAGTTCACATTTGGCATGGCAAAGACGCTAGCTGTATATATGTACATATACATCTGAAGTGAACTTTTATAACGTTTTACTGATAAAAACTAATGCAAACAAAACACACACACACATATCGAACTCGACGACGACGACGTTCGGAGCAAATTGCTTTTTGTAAAGTATGTGAAAATTGTATTCTGTACTGTGACAACATCTTTATCTTAAGTAAGCGTAAATTGCTTTGCGTTCTACTAATACGAATTGTTTATATTCGAATACAAATACAGTTGTTATACGTGATTTTTTGGAAATTAAAAACGAAAAACAAAAAATCGCAATAGCAGTACGAAATCGGTGGCAAATGAATAGTATGACTCAATGGTGGGACTCTTAGGGGCGAGCGAGAAAATATAGATAATAAAAACGTCGTCATGGTATGTGGGCAAGGGGATTTTTCTGCAGCAGGAGCTATATTTAGTTAATTAGCCTGTGACATATAAAGGAGTTCAAAGGAAGTGGTTCATTTTATTTCAGTTTTTATTATCTGAATACATTACCCCGTTCTAGAAATTTTAGACCGCACTTTATCCAAGTATTTTGACATAGACTCTTTATGAGCTTAATATATATTCTTGAAAATCACTCTAGCTTCCGATCGAAATGAATTAGTTTGATAAAAATGTACACAAATGTGAGTTAGATCTGAGTTATCAATATAGGTCTGAGTTTTAATATAGTCCCCCATAAACTTGTACCACCAGATATTCGTTTTGATGATTTGTGTCACACTTTTTACTGGAAATGGTTCATATCTGGAATTTGAAGTTCCTGATGGGTACTACAGCCTATGACAGAAAATTGCTGATGCAGGTCCACGTCTTCGTATAGATACATACAGTACCTCCCAACAACAATATCAGCAGAAATGGTTCGAAAAGTAAAGAAGTGACTTCATCGAAACCCGCGTGGTCAGTGGCCGAAAAATTGGTCGTGAGCTGAACATATCGCAATATTCCATTCGGTAAATATTGAAAAATGAGCTCGGGGTAAAGCCATTGAAATTCCAAAAAGTGCAAGAACTTACAAATGACTTAAAATGACCATGTTTACTTTCGGTTGGCCACCAGAACTTAAGCGCCGGCCATGGTGGTGGTGTGGACCGACATAACAGTCGATGTCCGTTCGTCCGTCTGTTTGGTTGGCTGGTGCGTACGATAACTCTCGAAGGGAGTATCCGATTTGAGCCAAACTTGGTACATCGTAATATTATTGTCAAACTTAGATCGAGTTCGGAGATGGGCAATATTGGTCCACTCCTTCTGGTACCTTCTTCTGGTACAAAATGTCGGCATCTTGAATATTGAATATTCATGGGTCAGAGTTCTGAATAACAAAAACAATCATAAATAAATATCCGGTTCTCTTCAAATTGCATACATTACAATATTTTTATTAATCCAAGGTCTGATGTGAAGATGGATTATATCGGTCCACTCCATCTGGTACCTCCCCCACAAAGGGTCAACATCTTGAATTTTCAAGAAGCTCATAAAACACGAAATTAACATCCAATACCATTCAGACTTGGCACACATTATCAATATTTCCATCAACACAAGATCTGTTATGAAAGTGGTAGAAATCGGACCATTTCCTCTGGTACCTCCACCACAAAGAGTTAAAATTTTTAATAACAAAAACGAATAAAATCGAAATAAGCATCCGGTTCTCTTCAAATTGTATATATCACAATATTTTTATAAACCCAAGGTCTGGTGTGAGGGCAGAATATATTGGTCCACCCCTGCTGGTACCTCCCCCATAAAGGCTTAATATTTTGAATATTCATGAAGCTCATAAAACACGAAATTAACATCCGATTCCATTCGGACTTGGCACATCCCAGTACTTCCATCAACACAAGATCTGTTATAAAGATGGTAGAGATCGGCCTAATTCTACTGGTACCTCCCCCAGAAAGAAAAGATCCAAAGATTTGAATAACAAAAATGATTACACAATCGGAAATAAGCATCGGGTTCTCTTCACGTTTTATACATCTCAACATTTTCGATAACACAAAATCTGTTTTTAGAATGGTAGAGATCGGACCACTCCTTCTGTTATTTCCCCCACAAAGGGTCAACATTTTGGATCACCAAAATTATCATAAAATACGAAATAAGCATCGGGTTCTCTTCAAATTTCGTACTTCCCATTATTTCTACTGACACAAGATCTGTTATGAAGATGGGATATATCGTTAATTTGAAAACAAATTTTTGTCGCATAGTTAAAACTGAAAATTAATGTTGTTGTGCTAAATACAAATACAAATCGATCTAGATTAGAGGCGACAATCCCTCTCCCTTCCAATAACATCCAATTTTTTATGAGTTCAGAATACATCATATCATAATAAGAATTAATTGAACTTCTTATAATTTCTTATTCGCAAAGAAAATTGCCCATCTTCACCCCACCATAAGGGCGGACTGCCTGTTAATGTGAATACAATTGGAAATTTATAAAAATTCTATTGTGTGCGTCAAAGAAAGAAAATTTAACAATGGATTTGCTTACAATATTATTTGCTTCGTCAAGAAATTGAACCAAAAGTCCATCGTCAATGTAATCGTCGGCATCGGCGGAACCGTTGTCATCATCAGCATCATTGTTACTTGACGTTGTGTTCTTCGCTGCAACGTTTGTTGAAGGGAGAATCGCTGAACTCGAGTCGTTGTCTGTCTGATGTGGCGTTGGCGTTGACATTTTCGTTGTTGGTTGGATGTTATTATGGTTGTTGTTGCCAGTGGTGGTGGCGGTGGCGGCATTGGTGTCTTCATTTGATTTCATATTTGCAACCATGTTGCTGCTAATTTTTTCTTTTACTTCTTCGTCTTCTTCGCACACTTCGTCGGTATTCTTAGTCAGCACCAATGGTGGTGGCGGTGACTCCCTTTTTTCTGTCGTCGTTGCTTCTGCTGTTGTTGTAGTTGTTGTTCCAGCCAGTTCGTGTTTATCACCGTCATTATCAATGAGTCCCGCTGATTTTGCTTGCGTTGTACTATCCACCTGTTCGTTATCAACAACTGGGGTAACATGTTCGCCGCCCTCGTCTTTTACCATTGTTTGTTCTTTAGCTTCCTCGCATTCTTCAATAGCCAAATCTTGGTCAATTTTGTGATCATCGCCATTTGCTGGAGTAAGGGGGGATGCAGTGGCTGCAGCAGCTGCCGTTGCTGCATCCAACTCGGCCAAATCACTGGCACAAAAATCAAACTCCTCGATGACTTCATCGTTTACATTTTTTTTCTCATTGACATCGTTGTTATTTTTGTTGTTACTGCCATTATCGTTGTTGTTATTGTTGTTGCTGGTTGTATTACAATTGTTGTTTTTAGTTGATTTGTGTTGCAGTTTTGCCTTCAAACTTTTCTTATTAATCACTTTTTTACTTTTTTGATTTGTTTTACTATTCGCTTTTGTACCGCCACCGCCAGGGTTGTCATTGGATGGGGCTTGATTTGACGGTTGTTGTTGTTGTTTCCCCGACATACCTATTTCCAAAGGGGATTTCTACTAATTTGCTGATATTTTTCAAATGGATAATTATTTGCTTTTTTCGTTTCTGGCTTCTTTACTTTTTCACTTCTTCTACACACGCGTTTTCTTTTTTGGCTACGTAATCACACTTTAAGTCGCTCTGATCCGCACATTAATTTACATACATTTTGTTCGTATGTCTGTCTATTCGGGGGGTTATGGATATGTGGAAATAAACAAACGTAGGAATTGAATTGACAAAACAAATTCAAATAAACTCGCTTTTGCTGGATATATTTCAGATAGAAGCACGGATTGTTTTATTCACTTTTGGGCCACAATTTGTGTGCAGGCGGTGCGCGCTTACTCATGACTGACTTTGTCGTCCGCTAACTGACAGCCTGAGTGAGTGATCCAAACGATCAAGCAGTTAATACAACTAAAACCGGCTCTCTTCAAGGGCCATAAAAACCACAGAGAGAGACCCACAAATTATGTGTGGTAGACGTACCTACTCTCCATGGTTTTGCCTTTTGAGACAAAAATATAAATATTAATTGCCAAGAGAAACACACACTCCCTCCAACAACAATAATATCTATACATTTCTCTTTATACCTGCATGTGTAGGCTGGTTGCTGGATTTACTTATTTTTATCAACTTCTACAAAAAAAGTTAACCATATCTCCCAAAGAGTAGATCTCTTTTCCACTCTATCTCCGTTGACAAAGAATTTAAAACTCATTCTCTTTTATTAAAGAGAATATCAAAAATAACATTGCGAGACATGGAAAATCAAATGATTTAATCTATAAATTTTAATCGTTTTCTTTTATTTTACTAAGAATATAAAAACGAAATTGATTGTTGAACTCAATAATTTATTGTTTTGAAGATAACAACTGCAATTTATGGCAACGGGTAAATCGCAATTTAAACCAGTTAGGAAGAATTCAACGTTGGATTAGCAAAAAGTTGCATTACTAAGTTAAGGACATTTTAACTAACATATACTAATAATATTACTTTACTTACACTTCAAATAAATCCTCCTAAATCAGGTTAACCCTATTTTAAAATCAACATGTCATTGGAAGTAAGCATACTTACCACACTACCACCAAGAGCCAAAAAAAATAAATATTAAATACAAATTGTTCTAGTTCTTTTCGAGACATATATATTTTTTATACCCTCAGCCATATGGCCACAGAGGGTATATATGATTTGATAGGGCCAAAACGTGCCTCATCGAAATAACGGTTTTAGACCCTAGGTCTCTTTGGACCAATTGAGACGATCTAACGATGTCCGTCTGGCTGTTTGCCTGGCGGGCTGGTGCGCACGATAACTCTCGAAGGGAGTATCCGATTTGATCCAATCTTGGTACATCATAATATTATTGTCAAACTTAGATCGAGTTCGGAGATAGACAATATCGGTCCACTCCTTCTGGTACCTGCCACACAAATTGTCAACATTTAATAAAAATATGTATATCGGGCCGAGTTCCACGAAATGGAAACATACATCCGAAATTATTATAATTTGGGCTGATATTATCCAATTTTTTGCACAATAAACCTGAAATCGCAATAAGGATATATATTCTAGCCAAATCTGAGACGATCTCGATAAAATTTGGCAAAGCTATTTTCGAGCACTATAAGATATCTGGTACCAAATATCATTGTTGTGAAGTGCATGTGAGGGACTTAAAACCCCAATTTGGATGAAACATACATATGAGAGCTATAGCTATATCTGAACCTATTTTCATCAAATTTGATGTGCTTGCTTTTAGGCTGAATTAGGTTGGATGTGCCAAAATTCAGGTCATTTGGACTGATATTTGCCATTTGGTGCACTACTAATCCGAAATCGGTTGAATATATATATTAGAGTGCTCAGAGCATTTAAATGTGAATACATCTTTTGTGTCTCGTACCATCGCTGGTTACCGTGATACTGGTAGCGTAGCCCGACGTCAAGAAAGTGGACGGACGAAGAAAACAGCAACATCAGCAGAAATGGTTCGAAAAGTAAAGAAACGACTTGATCGATACCCGCGTCGCAGTGGCCGAAAAATGGCTCGTTAGCTAAACATATCGCAATATTCCATTCGGCAAATATTGAAAAATGATCCCGGGGTTAAGCTATTGAAATTCCAAAAAGTGCAAGAACTTACACAGCAACGGAAAGAAAATAGACTCAAAAGAGTTAAAGAGTTGCTTCGCTTGGCCGAAAGTGATGAACTGCCGAATTTGGTTTTCTCCGATGAGTAAACATTCCTTGTCCAGCAGTTTGTAAACAAACTGGTCGAGTTTACTTGCCAAAGAGTTCAGCTGAAAATGTGCAGCTTCGGTAGGCCACCAGAACTCAAGCACCGGCCATGGTTATGGTGTGGGCCGCCATAATAGCCGATGGTCGCTCTCCGCTCGAATTAATCGATCGTGGCATCAGAACAAATGCCGAATATTATCGCGAAAATATTCCGGAGGGTGTATTATAACATTTGATTTGCATTCAAAAATTATTCAAAAATCTACCTTGAATATAAAGCGATATATTGCAATTAGTTTTGATTAGGGTAAGGACCCTTATTCTTTAAATAATTTAATTGAAGCCAATTACTTTTTTAAACTCCAATTAAGGAAGTATGATGTTCAAGTAAAAGCTGCACGCACCACCCAAAATAGTTATAAAATGAGGTTCTTCGCTTTATTTCCAGCGCACAATGGCCACCAAAATCTCCGGAGACCAATCCGATGGACTATTGTGACGGGAGTGTTTTGGACAGCAAGGTCGGCACTAAAAAATACCAAAGTGTCGATCACCTCAAGCAAGCGCTTTGCCTCAAGCAAGCGCTTTGGACCAAAATACCACAGATCAAAATTCGGGCTGTCTAAAGATCATAATTCGTGCCAAAGGTGACCATTTCGAAGAAATCTAAACTTACTCTAAAATTTGATGCTTTTATTCAATAAAATCTAAAAAAGTAAAAATTATGGCGTTTGACTTTGTTGCAATTTTTTATCTAACCCTGATATGGGGGCCATACGAAGAAATGGGTCTGCATAAGTAATTTGTTGTCATAGGTTGCAGGGCCCATTAAGATAAGATCTTCAAATACGAAATTTGAAACAATTCCGGAAAATAATGTAGTTTAAATGATCAAAATCCGATTATTGGGATGGACCGTTATATGGGGGCTATACGAAAACGTGGACCGACATGGCCCATTCACTAAATTTGCCTCCTGGCAAAATACACATGTGTGCAAAAGTTTAGCCTTCTATCTCAATTTGTTCGTGATTACAACAGACAGACACACAATCGACTTGGACATTTACGCTGATCAGGAATGTATATACTTTTTTTGGTCTGATATGGGTATTTCGAGGATTTAAAAACGGAATGACAAAGTTAATATACCCTCCAGAGTATGGCGGAGGGTATAAAATTACATTTTGGATATTTAGGATCAGTTTAAGGTTTGTTGAATGTAATAACACTTATTTTCTAATGTTATTTTCTAAACTAAAATATTTAAACGTATAAAAAATTATATTTACCTCTTTAGCAATTTGATCTAATGCCTGATCCTCGGCATTTACCCGAGAATTAACACGGCGCCGTCCAACGGCACTCGAGCTATCCATTGTTGTTGAAATATTGATTGTTGATGGATTAACTTTGCGGCGGCCTTTTCACTTTTATTTAAAGCTTTAGCTCCAAGTCAGGCAGATAGATTTCAATTCTACGAATTAGTCGTTGATAGATATAATGTTTTTGTTGTTATTATATTTTGCCAAAACGTTGAAGGATCGCAAGCAACATACATAGAAACAAACTAACACACAATGAGAAGAGACACAGGTTTTTTGGTAACGATTGTTGTTTTCGGTTTTTGTTTTTTTTTTTGGTGTTGGCCGTTTTGTGAACTCCTCAATAGCGTTTGGTTTTTTTTTTGTCGTTAATATGTTTGTATGATTTATTGGCTGATTGGAGACTTTTTGCACGATTTCTCACTGGCACTTACTGTTGTGTTCTTTTTTTCATTTATTAGTTATAGAGAATATATTTTCAACCTTATTTGGATGTTGTTTCGTATTTCTACAACAATGCAATTGTATTGTCATTCGACAGGCAGTAGCAGCCAATATGGTTGGCTTCATCGATTCTATGGAACATAAAAATTACAAAATATGGAATATATCATCGAGTTTTACTGATGATGATGTCGGTGATGACTTGTTTCATGTCCGCATACACGCAAGAAGAAGAACAATACAACAACAATACCACATTTATGCGCAGCAAACAGCCTTAGTTTTCATTTGCATACATTTTTCTTCTAGTCAATCGATTCCTACAAAGAAGGCACACATGTTCATTTACTTTTATTTATTTTCTTAATTTGAGAATTAAGTTACTACTACTACTTGTTCTTGGCAAGCTGTTTCATTGTTTTTTCTTTTCGTTGTTTGCCGTACATTTGCTGCACTATATCTTTTTTTTTTGTCTTCTCTTCTCCTTTTTTGCTTTGCAAGGGTAGGGTGGGTTCAATAGATTTGAGATTTTGTGACAGCCAGCCGAATCGAAATCAACACCTTCGCTTTTTTCTTTCTTCCGTTGCCTTTCCCGTACGTCCCTCCCTAATTGATGGTCTTCTTTTTTTTCGTTTTGCTATTGGCAGTTGACTATATATTTTCTAATACGGACCACGTCCTGTGAATTGTTATTGTTTTTATTATCTATCTTGCCATACAATTGGAAAAAACAATAGAATCAGAGCAGTACACACATTGCATTCTTAAATTTCATTTGTAAAAAATCATGTCAATTCTTTTTCTTCTTTTTTTGCACTCTCTCTCACATAAAAATTTTCTCTGTGTGTAAAAATTGTCAAAGGGAATGTGGGATTTATTTAAACGCTTAACGGCAGAAGCGAGATTATGTATCCGGTATGAATTAAATAAATATTATTACGGAATTTTTAAGACATTATTCTTGGAATTTAATTTATTTAATGCATTTAATTATTCTTTTCTTTCTCTGTTCACTAAAAAATTCACGCTCTTAGGGATATGCAAGTCGACTTTGGGCCACTTGATTAATCGAGCAAAAACTCAATGTCGGTTTTTTGGTAGACAATCGAAAATCGATGTTTGGTTGTTATCGATTTGTTGTTATCAAAGTATTTAATTTATGACATGTTTACATTCTCGAATTTTGTAATAAAAAAACCTATGTATCAAGTTTACCTTATACGCAATACGATGTGGGCGTCAAAAGTAGAGTGCATTTTTATATACAAAATACATTTATTTTCGAAACTACATTTAAATACAAATCTTCGTGTGTATATTATTTGACGTATACGCTATGGAATTGAAATTTAGTATCGAGTGGATTTTGTAAATCTAAACGTACTTTTAACCCTTAACTAATCACAATGAATTTAACATTGGAAAACATACAATAATGGTCTGTTCCAGAACTGATCAGAACAGACCAATTTAAACTAGGTTTGTTCCAGAACTGCAAGAATGTAGGAGTTTTTACTACGACAACGGATTTTCCCTTCGTGATGTCGTAGGAGATTGCAAAACTAGTAGATTCTTGCAGATACTGGAACGGAGCAAATGTATTGTGATTAGTGAATTATCGAGGTTTACCTCAATAACGTAGCGTATGTAGACCAATTATATACAAAACTTGTGTTCCAGAACCTCCAATATAGTACTGTATTGTACTAGAGTGCGAAAACCTAGCTACTCTTGCGGCGAATTGAAGAAGAAACCAAAAGAATCTACTAGTGTTGCATTTTTTATATCATATAATGAAATCGGTTATCGTAGTGAGCAATTTTACATTCTTACAATTCTGGAACAGACCGTTAATTGCGGAGCGCTCCATTATTTTTTTTCTAGTTTTGCTAAGAAATAATCTGTTCCAGAACTACAAGAATGTTGAAGTTTTTACTGCGATAACCCATTTACCCTTTATGATATCGAAATAAAATGAAAAAGTAGTAGATTCTTGCAAATTCTGGAACACAGGGTTGTATTTCAGAAGTTTTACGAAACAGCTTTATGTCTTTATCATATCATGTAATGTTCCGGACTTTAAAGGGAACAAAATGAGTTTATTTAAGTTTCTGAAAAAAATCAAAACAAACAAAGAACAAAACTATTATAAAAGTCTCCATTCGAAGTTAAGCTATTGCTTTTTTCCAGAACCTGAATTCCATTTGACGTATTGACATTGCACTTCAAATTATCATCGATATCTGACAGTTTGATTTCTAATTGTAATCGATAGAACACTGTATATCGCAAAGAAGTCGACTTGTAGATCTCTACAGAGAAAAAAAGAAAAAAACAAACCTATAGAAATCAACTCCAAAAATAACGTAGCATAATAAAGAAACATCGCAAAAATAAGAATTTAACCTCTTCCCCCCGAAAGAGAAACAAGTACTACTAATAAGGATACATCATAAATTGCAAATCACTACTTAATAATGGCCAAGAAAACATACGATCTTTTGTTTAAACTGTTGCTAATCGGCGATTCAGGTGTTGGAAAAACTTGTATACTGTTCCGATTCTCTGACGATGCGTTCACCTCCACATTTATATCGACCATTGGTAAGTTGAGTTGCAACGCAAGCCGGCTTAAGTCCAAGTTCCAATGTACTACAACCATCGAAGGTTGACCACCACCAGCCGGTGTTCTCTTGACATTTTCATGGAGTAGATTAGGAAAAAAGGCATCTATCTACCTACTTAAAAGGGCGTGGTGTTACGAACAAAAAGGAAGCATCGAAATTATTGTGTATTTGAGGGAAAAAATTGCTAAGTTATTAATGTCTACATGGGTGTCACATTCTCCGTCTTTTTTTCGCTTGTCGTCATTACTCCCTTTGTCCTGTTATTTTTGACATCTATTTGTCATATCCCACCATATATACAGAGAACGAACGTACAATATGACATTGTATATACCTACTTGCATGCATATATCTTTGTTGGTGGAACACACACAAAACCCCCTCCTTGTTCTTCCTTTTGCACGCATTTGTTGTTCTATTTTTGTTCATTGTCTCATGGGATGGATGGATGGATGTATGGGAGCGGGGTGTAGATAGATGGACATTGCTCCACAAGTAGAATGGATCAACATCGTAGTTAATTAATTACATAAAAAATGACGCATTCGATGTTTTAATAAACTATCTAGAACCTGGGGTTGCCAGGTTTTTGATTTTTTTCTTCTTTCCCATTTTTTAGTGTGTAAATATTTTAATTAAACAAATTCAGCTGATTGATAAAGTTGAATAAATAGAACAAACATTGCGTATACCACGGTATATGTACATACATACAAACCTGGGAGAAAAGCGAACAAGTGTATGGGGAAGTCTTTTTTCGAATTAATAAAAGTCATAGGTTTTAAATTAGTTTTTTTTAGGGGGGTATTGAAAACAACTTAAAAACAAGTATTTTATATATTTTATTATTATTCGTAATGAACAAATAAACAACGATTCTATCTCTCTGTTATCATGTCTTTGCAGGAATTGATTTTAAAATAAAAACCGTTGAACTCAGGGGCAAAAAAATCAAATTGCAAATATGGGATACTGCGGGACAGGAACGTTTCCATACCATCACTACATCATATTATCGAGGCGCAATGGGCATAATGTTAGTATATGATATAACGAATGAAAAGAGTTTTGAAAACATAGTCAAATGGCTAAGAAATATAGACGAGGTAAGCAAAATATCTACCTTAAGCTTGACATATCATATTGCATTGTTGTCAATTTTTTGTTTTTGTATATTTATAGCATGCAAATGAGGACGTGGAAAAAATGATTTTGGGCAACAAATGCGATATGACAGATAAACGTGTTGTTAGTAAAGAACGCGGAGAAGCGGTAAGTTCTTATTGTATGACTATTAACCATTGATATAAAATTAATCACATTTTAGTCATCGTTTAAAAAAAAAAAAGCGTATCGGTATACGCAAGCAGAAATTCCTTATCAACATTTTTGTTCTTGAAAAATTTGCCGACACAGCGTCTAAGTACATATAACATTCAAGAAGCAAATACAGAAATATTTTGTAGAAAAAAACAAAAAGAATTAGTTAGCGTTTAGGAATGTGCATCCTCAGAGAATGTCACTGTTTTTTGTGGAAAGTACCAGAATTAATTTTAAACTCTAATGGAATATAGTCATAGGTGTGATTTGGAACACGTTATATTGAAAATTTTGCCGGAAAGAATTGACAAACTTCAATACAATACAATTTTTTTTTTATTAAAAAACGTTTTTGATTTTCAAAAAAAAAAAAAAAAAAAATTAAAAATTAACTAATTATAAAATTTGTTCTTTAAAAAAAAAATAAAGGAATCCCAGATTTTCTGCAGACCGAAATTGATTTGAAAAAAAAAATAAATTTTAACTTTTTGCTGGAATAGAAAAATGCGGCAAAAATTCTCGATTTTTAAACAAATCAAAGATTTTCTGAATTTTCTAATTTTTTTTATTGAAAACAAGTTAGAATATATCACTCGTTTTTGCTGACAGATGTATACCCTCAGCCAATGTTCGATTATTTCAAAAAAATTGACTTTTGTTATGATTATTCAAATTGTCGATCCTCTATGAAATAGGTTACGAAGGAATGGATTAATATTGACCATTTCGTGTCGGTCCTGAATACATATGATATAAATATTGCGACGTGGTTTGGACTATACTGTTTACTTCCTTCACTTTATATGAAATATGTGATAATTTTTAGAAAATGTTATAGTAGACAGAAGTTTTCCATTTTCATGATTCATCTAATGTGGCGTTTCCACTGCACTTGATTCGCTCTCTATTCGTTGTTTGACCCTTAACTATGAAAAAACTACTTTATTCTTCACACAAAATTTCCTGAGCGAACACTCATATTTGTACGTTGTTCAAATCAAATCACTCTCAGAACAACGAAAAAATATGTCCCATCCCTAACAAATGAGAGCATTTATCGAAAAAATAAATTATGACATTTAAAAATTAAAAATAGAAAAATTTAATGAAATTTAAAAAATTTTTGGGAAGACTGAAATTTATGAATGAAAACTACAATGTCGAATGGCGTATGTACATTCAAACGAAAGTTAATTTAGTTTTCTCTCTTATTCGAGGTACGCATTTGGTCCACGAGTTCAAATTTACACAGGAAACTGCAAACAAAAGAGGCAATATTTTCAAAAAGTTTCTATCGGCAGAAAAAATGTTTGACAAGTGTCTCTCCAGCAGAATTTAAAAATGGAAAAACACAAAAATATTTTCAAAATGTCAACATTTACACAAAAAGTTAAAAACCTGAATGAAAATTGTAAAATTAATTATATAATAAATCTTTGGGAGGAAAACAATAATTTCTTCTATTCATATTAGTAAGAATTTCATGTATTTTCGTATAAATTCCTATTAAAATCATCAAACAAAATTTTTGAAAAAATGAATTGTTTTACTATGAATTACGAATCGTGCCGTATGAACGGGTTAATTCGTGTACCTAATTCTGAGAGCGAACAACGTTGTTCGGTTTCCAATGGAAACATGCTATAATACATTAACAATTTTGGTATTGGCAAAATTTTAAGAAAATCGAGGATTTGTATCCAATTTATGGGAAATAATAATAAATTCCATATTCACCTCAGGTTTATGGTTGGGAGAAATATTTAGATGTAGCAAGTTGTAAAGAACCCCAGAATTGTTTCGCAAGTTATGACAGATAAAAGTATTGAAAATTGTGACCATTTGTGGAGGGGGTACCCGAAGGGGTTCGCAGATATATATCATCTTCACAACAGATATTGTATTAGCAAAAATGTTTGTATGTGTGAAATTTTAAGAGATTTGGATGCTTATTTCGCTTTCTTTAAGCGTTTTGTTTTTTAAAATCTTGAACCCAATGTGGGGCACGTAGCAAAAGAAATGGTCCAATCCCTACCATCTTTATAACACATCTTGTGTTCATGGAAATATTGAGATGTATCAAGTCTGGAATGGAAACGGTTGTTAATTTCGCATTTTATGAGCTTTATGGATACTCAAAATATTGAGCCTTTGTGGCGGAGGTACCATAAGAAGTGGACCGATATATTTCAACTTCACACCACACCTTCGGTTAATAAAAATATTGTAATGTGTGTAATTTGAATAGAAAACGGATGCTTATTTGGGATTTTATCATCGTTTTGGTTATTCAAAATGTTAACCCTTTGTGGTGGAGGTACCAGATGAAATGGTCCGATCTCTACCATCTTTATAACAGATCTTGTGTTGATGGGAATATTGAGATGTGCCAAGTCTATCGGATCTTAATTTTGTGTTTTATGATGTTCAAAATGTCGATCTTTTGTGGGGGAGGTACCAGAAAGGGTTAACGGATATATTTCATCTTAGCACCAGATCTTGAGTTTATAAAAATATTGGAATGTGTGAAATTTTAAGGCAATCGGATTGTTACATCACATTTTATAACAATTATAAATATTCAAAATTTTGAACCTTTGTGGGACAAGCACTTGATGGAGTAGACTGATATTATCCATTTTTGCATCTGACCGAGAACTGAGGCAAATATTAGGATTTGCAAAGTTGGAGCCAAATCGGCTAATCATTTCTCTTTCTGTGTAAAAATTTGTTTTTTGAAAATTTCGACCTTCTGTGGGCGAGGTACCAGAAGTAGTAGACCAATATATTCCATTTTAAAACCAGACCTTGGCTTAATAAAAATATTGGTGTGTGTGAAATTTGAAGACAATCGGACTCTTACATCACACTGTATAAGAGTTGTAATTATTCAAAATTTTGACCCTTCGTGGGGGAGGTACCAGAAGGAGTGGACTGATATTGTCCATTTTCACACCTGACCTAGAACTGACGCAAATATTAGGATTTGCAAAGTTGTAGCTAAATCGGATTATCCTTTTTCTTTCTGGGCAGAAAATTATGTTCTTTGAATTATTGACACTTTGTGGAGGAGGTACCAGAAAATAATTGATTGATTTTAAGGACAAGTCCAGTGAAACTCAGATTTTTTTATTTTCGAAAAAATATTTTGGGAATATAGAGTATTAAATATCGTCTCATTACACTTTTGTGCAACATTAAAAACAATTCCAATAATGAACTCCACTTTTCTTTTTTTGCAGATTGCCCGAGAGCATGGTATACGTTTCAAGGAAACATCAGCCAAATCAAATATCAACATTGAAAGTGCATTCTGCGAACTAGCCGAAGCAATTCTGGACAAAACAGCCGGACGAGAATCTGCCGAGAATCCCGAGAGAGTGGTAATTGATCGCAGGAACAATGAAAAAGCCCCAGCCTATAAGAGCTGTTGTTCTTAAAAACAAACGTTTGGTTACTGTTTTGCTGCTGCTGTCCCAATGCCAATACTACTGCTGCTTCGAATGACTTTGCTCCAATTGTTATATAAAGTGTGTGCGTACCGTTTGGCAGTTGGCACAGTTGAAACAAACCAAATAAAGACACTCTTCTTGCTAACAACAACTTTTACTACCAACAAACCAAGTATTTGATAAGCGACGACGATGATAATGATGATCTGCATACAAAAACAAACCACTGCTACTATGGCACATTACAAAAACAAAACAAAAAATTAATACAAAACCACAAGAAATCAACCAACAAATCATTCGTCATTACATACTTAACACTATCCCTACGAACATAAAAGTAATTAAGAGAAATATGCATAATTTATATACACCAATTTTTAGTTAAAATACAAAATTGCTTTTATAAGAAAGAAAAAACAACAAAAAACAACAACACACTAAATGCAATTGTTTTGAATTTCGAATGGTAATCGGATTTGGGTAAATTTAGGTAAATTAAATGAAATTCATGTAAAGGAGGCAGTATGAAAAAAAATCGATGATTTAAGTTTTTCCAAAATCAAAACTTGGCGATTAGATTTTTTTGGAATATCTTTGAGAATATAATTGTGGACTTTTTAAATATATTTTTGCAAAGACTCAATATATTGGGTTTTATACCCTCCAGGGAGGGAGGGTACATGAAGATTGTCATTTGTAATTTTATAACAAAGTGTATATATTTATGATCAGTGTAAAATTCCAATCCCTCACTTTGGCGGAGGATATCAAAAGTTCGCTACTATTTTTTCTAGTTTTTTTTTTAATATCACAGGCTTTCGGATCGGCGTCTTGGTGTTTACTGTAGAAAATTTCTTAAAATATTGTCTCTGAATTAATTTTTATTTTATGCAAGAATTATCTGATCTATTTAGAGAGTCATTATACATTTTTAAAATCAGATTAACAAAGTGGATTTCCCACAAATATGATTTCATTACCAATAGTACGTAGGGTATATTAAGTTTGCCATTCCGTTGGTAACACCTCGAAATATACATTTGACAGGGTGAGATGAAAAAAAACTTCAACCTACTTCAGCTGCTGTCATTTCTAAGTCACTCGTCCGACAGCTGTTAAAATTATTCCAGTGACAGCTCATAATATTGTTTACAAGCGTACAGAAGCATTTAGGTGAGAATTTTCCAGCAAAAAAAAAATTATTCCAGATGGAATTCATAGTGATAGTGTGATTTCTTTATATTTGGCTGGAAAACCTTAAGTGGCTATCGTTGGAGCATTTCAGCATTTAAATGTTAATACATCTTTTGTGTCTCGTACCATCGCTCGTTACCGTGATACTGATAGCGTAGCCCGACGTCAAGGAAATGTACGGAAGAAAATAGCAACATCAGCAGAAATGGTTCGAAAAGTGGCCGAAAAATGGCTCGTGAGCTGATCATATCGCAATATCGCAATATAAAATATAACAGCCGATGGTCCACTCGTATTAATCGACCGTGACATCAAAATAAATGCCGAATATTATCGCGAAAATATTCTGGAGGGTGTATTGAAGCCTTGGGCTCGCAAACATTTTGGTCGCAGACTTTGGATATTCAAACAGGACTCTGCATCATCGCTCTCAGCACGGGCCACCCAAGAATGGTTACAAAGTGAGGTTCCTCGCTTCATTTCCAGAGCACAATGGCCACCAAAATTTCCGGATACCAATCCGTTGGACTATTGTGTCTAGAGTATTTTAGAAAGCAAAAATACCAAAGTGTCGATCACCTCCAGCAAGCACCTCGCCGGGAATGGGCCAAAATACCGCAGAGCAACATTCGGGCAGCGTGTAACGGTTTCATTGGGCATTTAAAGGCCATAATTTGTGCCAAAGGTGACAAATTCAAACAAATCTCAACTTATTCTGAAATTTGATGCCATTTCCGACATTTTTTGCTTTCATTCAATAAAATTAAAAAAAAATTATAAATTATGGCGTTTGACTTCGTTGCAGTTTTTTTACCTCACCCTTATATATCATGGTGGAGGGTATCAAAAGTTCGTTACTATTTTTTTTTAATATCAGGAGGTTAATAAAAAGTTTTGCTCCCCAGCCCCTTTATTTGGTTTGATGTCACTTGATGATAATCTGGGACCCATAATTAATGACGCTCACTTTTTTAAACCCTTATTTGAGGGTTTGTCTGGTAAACTAACGTATGGCCACTTGAACTGCCAAAGTATTCGCCCATCGAGATTCAATAATAAAATTGATGAGCTTCGATCCTTGCTGGTTGGTAGTGGTATCAGCATTTTTGGTGTCACTGAATCTTGGCTTAATTCTGCAGTCTCATCGAAATCGTTGGTTGTTCCAGGATATAAGCTGGTGCGGAGTGATCGTGTTGGTCGTGTTGGTGGTGGGGTATGTCTCTATATTGGTAGTGGCATTCCTTATAAGGTAGTTTTTCGTTCAAATAATTTTGGTGTTTGTGAGTCGGTGTGTGTTGAGTTGAATATTGGGGCATTGGTTTTGCTTGTGGCGGTAGTATATCTTCCCCATGGCGATGTTCAGTCTTTCTGTGATGTACATGAGAGTTTGTTTGATCGCTTCTCTAATATCATTGTCCTTGGCGATTTTAACTGTAATTTATTTGTGTCTTCGAACTCTGTTTCGATGAGAGGATTATGCAGATCATTGGGGCTAACTATTGTGCATAACATGAAACCTACCCATTATGATTTGGCCCATAACTCTACCTCGTTAATTGATTTTTGCCTTACTAGTGATAATTTGTCCTTGGGTTTCTCGTCTCAGGGTCGATGTCCTGGTATATCACACCATGCCTTTGTTTTTGGTTCGCTTAACCTGCCTGTATTTTCAGAGGAGAGATTTATTGAGTATCGTAACTTTGGCCGAGCGGATTGGTTGGGCATTCTAAATTTCGTATCCGATTTTGACTTCAACCCCTTATATTCCACTTCTGATGTGAATTGTCAACTTTCACTATTTGATTTGTTGTTTAACGCGCTATTGTCTTTCGTTCCTGTTTCTGTTCGTAAGGTCAACCCCAGGAATGATGCATGGTTGGAATCTGATGTGGTAAAATCGGCACGGATGTTTAGAGATCTTGCGTACTTTGAGTGGCGCAAGCGACCTATGGAGGGTAATAGAATAATATATTGTATGTATAGGAATCGTTGTAAGGCTGTGATGAGGAATGAGAGGCGTAAGTACTATAATGATTTCTTTGGTCGTATGAATAATAATCAGCTGTGGAAATCTCTAAAGTCGTTTGGTGTTTTGGGTAGTGATAATGAAGCTCCACCAATTGATGTCAATGCTGCTAATCATTATTTTTCCAGTGGGAATCCTGGTTTTGTGGGTGAGCGTGGTCAGTCTCTTTATAGTGAGGGTCATGTGGGAGATGATGTTTTTCGGTTTTATTGCATATTTTATTCTGATGTTGTAAGGTCATTAAATAAAGTTAAGTCGGGAGCTGTGGGGGTTGATGGCGTGCCAGTAAAGTTTTTTAAACTTATATTTCCATACATTTCCTGTCATTTCCTGCATTTTGTTAACTCGATTTTTATGACATCTACTTTTCCTCGGGCGTGGAAGGTTGCACGAATTGTTCCTGTGCCGAAAACTGGCGAATCATTTGATTTGCCGAATCTGCGTCCCATTAGCATTCTACCTGCTATGTCAAAAGTCGTTGAGCATATTATTAAAGAAGCGATTGTTGACTTCCTTGATGATCGTAGGCTATTGAGTAGTTCTCAGTTTGGTTTTCGGCGACGATGTAGTACGACCACGCACTTATTATATCTTACTGACATGATTAGAGATGTATTTAATTCATCTGATGTTGGGTTATTATTGGGCCTTGACTTGTCAAAGGCTTTTGATTCGATAAACCATTCCCTTTTACTTGACAAGCTGAGGGTTAAGTTTGGTTTTTCATCTTCTGCGTGTCATTTAATGGCTTCATATTTGGAAGGTAGGTCTCAGTTTGTTGTTCATTTGGGTGTTTCGTCTGAAGTTTGTAGTGTCCAATGTGGAGTCCCGCAAGGTTCTGTACTGGGACCGTTGTTATTTATTATGTTCATTAATGACATTGTGCACTCAGTGGTTGATGACAGGTGTTGTCTGTTTTTGTATGCAGATGATATTCATGTTTTCTTCAGAGAGGCTGATATTGCTGGGTTGGAAGGATTGGTTAATTCTATTGTTTTGTCTCTTTCGTCGTGGATTTCGCTAAATGGCCTTATGATTAATTGGAATAAAACTAAAGCTATGCTGTTCAATGATCATGGTAATGGTGGTTCTCTTAATATTACTGTGGGTTCTGTGTTAGTGAAATTTGTTGATGAAATGAAATGTCTTGGTATTATAATTGATCGGAAGTTGGACTTTAAGAGACACATTGATTCCTTGCTTTGTCGCATAAGGTTTCAGCTGCGGAGGCTGTATTGTCTTAATGCTTATTTGCCTTGTCATGTTAGGAAGAGAGTGGTTGTATCCTTGCTGCTATCGCAGGTAAATTATTGTCTAGAGGTAGTCTCCGGTACTACTTCTTCTCAAATGCAACGTATCCGTAGGGCGGTAAATTCGATTGTTCGTTATGTGTATGGCTTGCGTCGTGGTGATCATGTTTCTTGTTTTGTTAATGATCTCCTGGGATTGCCATTTAGCAGCTACGTTGATCTTCGTATTCTTCAATTTCATTACAGTGTTATGTGCAATTTTGACTCGCCTCTTCGTGACAACTTTGTGTTTTGTAGATCATCTCGAAATCCTCAATTGTTGTGTCCAATGTTTTCGTCCTCCATTGGTGAGAGATCATTTGTGGTTAGGGCGGTGAGATTGTGGAATCAGCTGCCTTTGGCCTTACGTACTTTTGCCCATACCAATTATCTGTTTAGGGTTAAAGTAATTGAATACCTTCGCCTAAATATGTAGGCTATGTTTTTGTAGTGGTTGCGTCGGTTTATTATGGGTTTTTCTTTTTGCTTTTCTTTTTGTTTGGGCTGGGGAGCCACTATATTATCTTCTTAATTTTATTTGTAGGGTATAATGTGAGTTACTATTTATACTCTGTTTTGTGAGTAATAAAATAGTTATCTCTTATTTTTAGCTCGTTTCTGCTACACTTTTTCACTGCTCTACTAGACTATTGTTTAGTTGGTGATGGTGAATCGAGGTGTAGGGTTCGAATTATCACGTGAATTATTAAGATAACTTATTAGGTTTAATATGTTATTTGTTAAGTTTGAATTAATCATTGAATTTGTATTATGTTAGGGTATTGTAGATAGATAATATAAGTTATGGGCCCTGTGGGCTTATTTATATTTCTTTGTAAGGTAAATAAATGAAATGAAATGTACATTATGTCTGCAGTACTTTTGGTATTGAAAATGGGCCATGTATGTCCACGTTTTGGTATAGCCCCCATATAACTTTACCTCCTATTTTCGGTATTTTGATGATTTTAGCGACATTATTCACCGGAATTGTTGCAAATTTGGTATTTGAAGTTAGTAATAGATACTACAGCCTACGACAGAAAATTGTGTGTGCAGGTCCACGTCGTCGTATAGCCCCATATATGGGTACCACCCTATATTTTTTCAAGTTTCGCATTTGAATATTATGGCAAAAGTTGCCTTTGTAGGTCTACGTCGTCGTATAGACCCTAATATAACGTCCTCGTCGTATAGACCCTAATATAATATTTTTAAGATTTGAACAGAATTTTTAACGGAGTTTTTTTTTTGAAACTAAATGATGGAATAAACAACAAATGTAATAACTTTTTTTTTTGACAAAATATTTATTTGGATTTCAAAATTTATTTCTCAAAATGAAATTGTACATTCATCAGCCAAATGCTTTTAATTACTCGATATACAATTACGTAGAAAAATGCATCTCATGTTTTTATTGGCTCTTCTTGCTTTCACCCTTCTTGGCTGAGGCAGCTGTTGCTGGTGCACTTTCATCTTTGAAGTGCAAGAATACAAACGAGAATAAAAATACTCCAACCATCATTGAGAAGGCACTGCAATAATAGGGGAATGCACTTGGAATAAACCGTTCATATTGAGTATGTTCCAATGGCCGCACCGATACTTGTGTCGTATCGTACAGCTGAGTGTAACCAATGCGATCGTAGTTCACCTTGAATTGGTACACACCATAGACGTCGGGTATTTTAAATTTAGCTTGATATTTGCCACCGCCAACATGCTTCAAAGTGGTGCGTACAAATGGATCAATGCGAACAAATTCTAATTGTACATCATTGGCATTAAAAGGCTGCCATTTATCTTCAACCAATTCTTCAATTGTTATGGAATAAACAACGGGATCGGTAATGGTGTATGCCTCAGCTGGAGGTTGTGTCTCGCCTTCCAGATGATGTTTCACGCCAGCAACACGTAGCGCGCCTGTTTCTCCGAATACCCATTTGCTAATCGAGTTGGCAACATCACGATTTCCGGATTGTTTAAAGCTTTCTCCGGTTTGGGCATAGGTTACGGAATTGGTAAAAGCTTCATCGGAAAAGAAGTACAAAGAACCGGAGAAAACAACACGAGCATTGTTTCTAGCCTGTAATGCAGCAATTAGCAATGTATTGCGCCCAACAGCATGTGGATAATCCTTAATAGCTTGGTCAGGATTGTAACTGTATGCGGTACTTTCGGCTGTCAATAGCTGTAAAACCAATGAGTTCTCCTTGTCTGCCAACAGACCTGTGCCCTTGTACACTAATGGTTTTTTGATATCATCCCGGCTATTACCAACAATAGTACGAGAATTGATTAAATTCTTCGATGCAGTAAGTATGGTTGTGTGGTCACCCTTGTCGGACACATCATAATGCAAATGATCCATAACCGATGCACCTTCCTCATCAATTTCGAAACCACACTCCGATGCGAATTCTCGCAAAGCATCGCCAGACTGTTCACTGCCGGCGACCAGAACATTACCACCATCATCGACAAACTGGGCTAATTTTTCCACGCTTATTTCGCCACCAAACTCTTCAACGCTAGGTGCGAAAATAATTAAATTTTTATACAAATATTCGCCATAACGAGACAATAGTAGACCAGAATCATCAGCCAATTTGTAGGTCAATTTAAATCCTCGATCTAATGGAAGATAAGCAGAGTACACAAATGTTACCACGTCATAGTTGCGAGCATCGAAATACCACACCTACCTTGAAGGGATTTAAAGAACATAGAATGCGTTTCGCGTATTGCCAAATTATCCAGTAAAACTAGAGTATCAGCATTAGATTGAAGTACGGCACCACCATTATGAAATAATAGACAAATTAATGCAAGATATTTCCACATTTTCCTTTTTTTCGGGTGACTACGAGTGAAAAATGCCTATCTTGTGCCGGTATTAGGGATATGTAAGCCGACTTCCGACCAATTCAGTGGAAGCGAATTGGTAAAAAATACAGCTCTGTCCATGGCTCTGTCTGTTAATTTTAATATCAATTCTTTTTTTTTTTCTAGGCGAAAAAATGAAGTTTTAAAAATTTGTGGGAAGACTGAAAATTATGAATGAAAACTACAATTTTAAATGGCGTATGTATATTTAAACGAAAGTAAATGCTTTCTCTCTTATGCGAGGTGCGCATTTTGTCCACGAGTTGGAATTTCCACAGAAAACTGCTAACAAAAGAGGCAATTCTTTCAACAAATTTTGTATCGACAAAAAAATTAAATTTTTGACAAATGACTCTCCAGGCTGTGGAAAAGAGCAAGTCTTAAATTGAATTTAGCTCTAGCTGGCGGGAAATTCTGATATTTTAACCGAAGGTAGGTCTTCCTTCCGAACGAAATGAAGTAGGTTGATAAATTTTACTTTTTTGGTATTGAAAATGGGCCATGTAGGTCCACGTTTTGGTATAGCCCCCATAAGGTGGTATTTTACTATTTTCGATATTTTGTTGATTTAGCGACATTATTCACCGAAATTGTAGTTGAAGCTCGGAATTGTAGTTGAAGCAGCCTATGACAGAAAATTGAATGTGAGGTCCACGTCTTTGTATATCTCCCATATAACGATACCTCCCGATATTCGGTATTTTGATGATTTTAGCGACATTATTCACCAGAATTGTTTCAAATTTGGTATTTGATGTACGTAACGGATGCTACAGCCTATGGCAGAAAATTGTCTGTGAGGTCCACGTCTTCGTATATCCCCCATATAACGGTACCTGATTTTAGCGACGTTATTCACCGACTTTTTTTAAGTTCCAGCTGGTAAGTGCGACGTTTAATAACACAAATGAAATATTTTCTTGTTTTAATGTTTCTGTCAAGGATTCATAAATTTAAAAAAAAACAACAGAGAAAGTGTTAAATATTATCATTTATTTTCCCAAGTTATTAAAAGTAATCAAAAAATATTAACGTAAAACTTCCTGTATTTCCTCATCACTGTCATTATCATTGTCCATGGCATAAGACTGACTTGGTTTCCAAATCAAATCGAAATCCAAATTGCATTCCTTTGCTATTTTTTGTATTAGTGACTTTTCCAAAATACCCGATGAACACCAACCAGGATCTCTGACACTTAGTTCTTTCAATGCTTTGGCTGCCTCGTTATATTGTTTTGTATTTGTTAGGGCACGTATAAGTAAGGCAATTATATCCGACTGTCGTATGGGTGGCATTTCCGGTTTTACTAAAAGATAATAAAAAAATACCCACTTTAGGGAACTTCATTTAAATACCCATTTAAAAATAGACTTACTTAACATATTACGACACCCTGAAATGGCCATTTGATTGTCACCATTTTGCAAAGCATTCTGTATATCCAAGATGCTCTTCACATCGGCCATTGTCCTTTGTAAGTTATTAATGGCTTGTTGACTGTGTCCACCCAATTTACCCAAACAGGTATGGGCCTCCTGCATTGCCTTCAAGGCCTTCTCATAGTTGTGATATTCATCAATTTCAATTTGTGCACAGATGGCATAAAAGTTTGCCAATGAATCATAGGCCTGACCCTTGGAGTAAAAGGTGACAATGTGTTTCAGAATGTTGTTGTCATCCTGCCAGTTGAGAGCTTGCAAATAATTAGCAGCCATTATATAGACTTCATGTTGCCGCGACATGTTGGCAAAAAATATTATTTTCTCGGTATTTCCCGATTTCAAGAGACTTTTCATGGCTCTTACTTTATCTCCAGCCTGGGTAAACTTTTTCGTGGCCGTATGATAATCACCCTGTTGCTGTAATAGTTCTCCCAACTGTGAGAGAATATAAATACGGGTATCCTCCTCCACTTCCCCCTTGACGGGAGTCAACATTTCTGCCAGATCTTCAGTGATGGGAACACCTTTCTCAACGCATATTTGTATGGCATTTTTAAGCTGTTTCGTCTTGGCCAGCAAATGAGCAGCTTTTTGGTGTTGTTCAACGCCCATAAAGAATTCAGCACAACGATGTATTAACTCTGGGTCGGAATCTATTGTCAGTTCCGAGGCAATAACTTCCAATATGTCAGGTTGTTCCGATTCAAATGCCATATCCACAGCCTTGTGTAACATTCCCGCTCTATGATATAGCTCTACGGCTCTTTTGAAAGCACCAACTTCTTCGAAATAGGCTGCAGCCACAGCCTTATCACGATTGCGTGATGAACTGGCCACGGTCCACAGTTCATCTTGGAAATCGTTTTCTTTGCAAATACGTATTGCATTGCTGAAAGTTTGGGCTCGTGTATAGAACATAATGGCATCCTGGAATTTGCCAACATTTTCATAGTGCCGCGCCAGGTGATAGCAGGCAGCACGATCACCCGATTGCCGGGCAATCCCATCGGCCTTGGATATTTTACCCAGGTAGCATAAAATTTTCACCTAAAATAAGAAGAATCGAAAATCTCTTTGGGAACTTAGATGTTCACACCGCTCACCTGGGAGTACCAATCATCTGCTTTTTGATAAATCGCCAAGGCACCATCCATATCCCCAGAACTTTCCACATATTGACCCCACCACTTCAGCATATTAGGATCCGTTGTATTCTGCATATAACGCTGGAAATATATTTTTGCAAATTATAGACAGTTGCGTAAATCAAAGTCCAGCCTACCTTTAATGCTATGGGATTATCCAATAGCAGACGAGTAATATTCTGCACTGGATTTTGGGTCTTTTCAAAATATTCCAATGCACCTGCAATATCACCCTGCTCGGCCAACTCCTTGGCCTTGTGATAATAGGTATTCTTTAAATGTATACGGTCATGGGTTTCGGCAATTTTCAAAGCCTCATCCATTTTTCCTATGGCTCGAAAATGTTTATTCAACAGATCATACCTTCCGCATTTCTCCAACAGTTCTTGAGCCTTCTCGGGCATATTCAATTCAGTAGCAAGTACAGCAGTTTTAGCTTCTATTTCTAAATCATCATTTTCCATGGCTTCGCGTATGGCCCGCACAGAACGGGCCTGGCCCAAATGACCCAGACAAACTTTAGCAACATCCAAGCGTTGGCTTTCAATGCACATTTTAGCCAAATTAGACCAAACGGCTTTCGATTGTATGGATCTAATGCTGCGATAGGCTAAATCCATATTACCCTCGGCCACATGCATACTAAAATTCAAAACCATTTTGCGCGTTGAAGCATCGCAATCCTTTAAATCACTAAAGTCGCGCAATGGAGTCTCTCGTATAAGGTTTATGTCCAGAGTTATCTGTTTGGGATAGAGAGGGTGTATTAATAGTTTTTACTTAAGTTTTATGTTTTTTCTTACCACACAAGGGATACATATGTTGACAAGCTGCTCCCCGGGTGTTAAATCCTTGGTTTCCAACACACTCAATTTATTACTGTCCGAATAAAAGAAAACCCAAACAGCTGCCTCAACATATTGATGGCTGCCCCCCACATTATCATTCAGTTTAGCACGTTGTTTCTCATTGTTTTGCTGTTGCTTCATAGATTTTATTTCCATTGCCAGCAATCTAGGTTCATCTGAATCCCACCACAATGAAACCGGCATGCAGGACTCCAACTGCTCTGACTTATCCATGCCATCTTTGCGCAAATCAAACTCCATTAAATTATTCCTTTCAAAATCCCAACAATAGAGGGTGGGTTGGGGAACGAAACTACGATTGGCAATTAGAATCGACAAATGCGTCCCATCCGAGTTGCATTTAACCAAAATAACTTCTCCAAAATCCTCAAATATATCATAGGCCGATTTGGCGGGGAACAAAATCCTGGGGTCATGACGTGACACATCATAGCATTTTATATAACCATTCATTGTGAAAATGGACAAATATGTAGACGTTAAATCCATGCCAATAATTTTACCTTCTGTGGTGCTGGCGATCACTTTGTGCAGTACGACGCCACCTATTGAGTAAATTGTCACATCATTGGTTGTGAGACAAAAGACATTTTGCTGACGCAATCCCAGTGCCAAACAATCGGCATTAAAGGTTTGCAACAACGTCACAACAAGTTGATTGGAATTATTTTCGGTTTTGATGCTGTCGCTGGATGAAGTGGCATCCGTTGCCTCCGACTTCTCCTTGTCTATGATATATGTGGAAATGCTGCGGCCATTACTCAATGCCATATTGGCCACATCAAGGGCCAGTGATGTAACACAAAATTCCGCCTGTACAGTACAACTTCGTTTGTCGTGATATTCAAGAAGAATATTTCTGGCACTCTGTTGGATTGCCCAAATTTCTCGACTGTGAACTGAAATCAAAGGTTGTTCCTGTGTGCAAATTTGTGAAAAATTAGAAAATATTAAAGTTTAATGTTTATATCGCCCTACCTTCAGCACATACACATTGGACACACAGTTGACTAACAGACACGGTTTCGCCAATTCATTGAAACCCCACAGGCATTGTTTAATAGATCCACGTAAATATGAAATATTTGTCAATTTCCACATATCTTCAGGTGCTGCGGATTTATAGCCCACATTACGTTTCCATGTATATAAATTTCCCAGATTTGTACCGGCATTCAGAGTCTGATTATCATTGATGTAAGTAAGGCAAGTAAAGTATTCATTGGAATTATGCGGCATGCTCTTGAGATGTCTGACGGCACCACTTGTATGATTCATCATCAAACTGTTTTCAATGCTATTTTCCTGGCTAAAGAAGTTCGATGCCGACGAAGAAGACTGATAGTCGCCCACAGATGAAGTCTTGGCACCAGGCAAATCCATTTTCAAAACATAATTGTCGCTTTTTTCAATATCCCAGATTCGCACGGATAAATCTCCTGGAATAAAGGAAGAAGTAGAGAGTGAGTAAGTATTGACTTGGTTATCTGCAAATTTGTCTGATTCCTGCTAATTGTAATGAAATGAACGAGGTGAGGACATTTTCCTCCCAATCCAAATCATTTATGGAACTTGGATATGTTTTCTAATCTTTCCTCCTGTTTTAAGGTTTCCTAGTTTTTTTGGAGACATAAAAATTTTTTTTTCCCTCAGCCATATGGCCACAGATGATGATATGATACGGGCAAAACGGGCCTCATCGAAATAACGGTTTTAGTCACTAGGTTCTTTTGGACCAAATCAGTTTCAGGAGATTTGGAGTCGATCTAGCGATGTCCGTCCGTCTGTCTCACTGGCTGATGCGCACAATAAATCTCGAAGGGAGTATCCGATTTGATCCAAAATTGGTACATCGTAATATTATTGTCAAACTTAGATCGAGTTCGGAGATGGGCTATATCGGCCCAATCCTTCTGGTACCCCACCCACAAAATTTCAACATTTTCAAAGAAAATAATTTACTGCACAGAAAGAGGAACGATAATCCGATTTTGCTTCAACTTTGCAAATCCTAATATTTGCATCAGTGCTAAGTCAGATGTGAAAATGGACAATATCGGTCCACTCCAGCAAGTATCTCCCCCACAAACGGTCAAAATTTGGAATAAATATAATAAAAAAATGCTCATAAAATGTGATGTAGGTGTCCGATTGTTTTCAAATGACACACATCACAATATTTTTATTAGCCCAAGATCTGGTGTGAAGATGGGATATATCGGTTAACTCCTTCTGGTACCTCCCCACAAAGAGTCAACATTTTGAATATCCGAGAAGCTCTTAAAACACGAAAATAACATCCGTTTCCATTCAGACTTGGCACATCTCAATGTTTCCATCAACACGCGATTTGTTATAAAGATGATAGATGTCGGACCATTCCTTCTAGTACCTCCCTCACAAAGGGTAAACGTTTTGAATAACCAAAAGGTTTATAAAATTCGAAATAAGCATAAGATTATCTTTATATTTCACAAATCCCATTACATCTACTAACTCAAGATATGCTGTGAAGATTGGATATATCGGTCTACTCCTTCTGGTACCTCCCCCACGAGAGGTTAGCATTTTAAATATCCATGAAGCTCATTAATCGCAAAATTAACATCCTTTTCTATTCAGACTTTTGTACATCGGAACGTTTTCATCAACACAAGATCTGTTATAAAGATGGTAGAGATCGGACCATTTCTTCTGGTACCTCCCCCACATAGGGTTCAAGCTTTTGAAAAACATAACGCCCAAAGAAAGCGAAATAAGTTCCAACTCTCTCTTAAAATTTCACACATACAAATATTTTTCTTTAAACAAGATCTGTTGTGATGACAAGATCTGATGCGTTATGGCACCTCACTCACAAAGGGTCACAAATTTCAATACTTTTATCTGTCATAACTTGGGAAACAAGTCAGCGATTCTTTACCATGGTTTGAATAATACCGAAAACTATCCAAAATTATTTCAATTTCAAAAATTTCATATTTTCAAACTTGAATGTGAAAAAGTCTAAAAATTTCGAGATAAAACAATATTTTTATCATAACTTGGATTTACTTCAGACTAGATACGTACCCGTTATTATTGCCAGTGTAGAACCGACCCATGTTATGGCTCCTTTCTTTCCGGTAAGTTTACAGCTCAACTTTACACGATCCAATTCCGTTAAAATACCCGTTGATTCGACCAAGAACAACACCACCGACATGTCCTCCGTTAGGCATATCACAGCATCTCTTCAAAGGTATAATTAATTTGAATTATAGATATATACTCCCGGACCCGGAATAATGCCGATAAACTTACTTTTTTGGATGCCATAACATTTGTGTTATGGGAACGGAATTGTTGTTGAGAGCTTCCGTACATGTTCCACCCTGATTAATGTAATACATTTGACCCACCTGGGTGCAGACGAAAAAACAATAGTTGTCTTTGATATCGGTGTGTGTAGCGGTACGCACCGCCGTGCGTGGCCTCCAATTTGTCAATGTATCCAGTGCATTTTCATCACCGGCCACTGCAGCTTTAGCCAAATTTACCATCTCTTCACGCAATTCGCTGCATATGGTGCGACGAAATGTTATCAACGAAAGGACATCACGTAAATCGTGCGAAAACATTGTAAGAAATTGATATTGGCCATCACAACGCCAACCGGTTAGCAGACCCATTGTATCGGCCGTAACCATGCGACCACCCTGTTCACTAAACTCAACCAGGATAATGGCGGCCTTGTGTGGACCACTGACACTGGCAAATTCACGATGACCATCGAACCACACATGAATGTCACCGTTTTCCCAACAGCTTACTAAAAGTATTCGTTCGGGATGCCAGGCCATGGCCGTGCACTGTGAGGTGGGGTGTACCGGATAGGTGACATCGCGCTGGGGTTCTCCCTAAAAAAAAGAATTTCAATTTAAAAAAAATTCAACGCATAACTTTAAACTTACCGTATCAGTAAAAACGGTTACCGATCCACCTCTTTCTTGGCTGTATGATGCCACAGCAAATATCGGTTCCCGTGAATGCCAAGAGCCTATAGTGCCCACTGCATCTGCATCTAAAAATTCAACTTTGGTATCAAATAAAAGCGTCATTTCGAATGAAAACTATGAATGAATGCGTCTTTTGCTTTCATTGTCCTGAATATTGCTATTCCTTGTTCCTTCGGAAAGTTGCCATGGCTACAAAAGTTCTACCCTTGAATGTACGAACGAACGGTTGTTCATTCATTTCTTATTCGAATAAACAAAGACACTAACGGCCATAGACATTTGTTGTTTGCTAATGTCATGCTCACCGGTTTCCGTTTTCGTTTTTGTTGCCGTTGTTTTGCAATGGGGAGAGAGATATTCATTTGTGGATATCTCTGAATATAGATTTATGTACATAGGTATGTGCCATGGGTAAGTGAGTAAATGTGAACGAGTGAGAACAAATAAAATGAGAACAATTGTTTTTTACTTGATTGGAATTACAGCACTTGGAAAGTGCACAAGAGACCTATCTACGCTGTGCATTCATCTCTGGAGAGTTGTGGAAAAATACATGTATTTTTTATAGGTAAAATAAACACGTACACTCAACTTGAATGCCAGTGTGAGTTAGAAGAACTTCACAGCAACAGTCACTTCCAATTGGATTTTTACGCAGCGCAAAACAAAACCCCTCCACCTTAATATTTTAACTAAGTGATCCATTGCTTTGGCATATTCTGGAATTTATAATAACATGAGCGAATATTGGAAAGTAGCCGGTGCCGTCATCCTTCCCAATGTGGGAGGCATAATGGGCGGTCTTATTACCCGCAAAAACCTAGATTCTTGGTATAAGAAATTGAATTTTCCCTCTTATCGGCCACCAAATTGGATTTTTGGTCCAATGTGGACTTCGATCTATTCCTCAATGGGCTATGCCTCATATTTGGTGTGGAGAGATGGCGGTAGTTCATTCACCGGCGATGCCAAGTGGCCACTGATAACTTATGGCACCCAACTGGCTCTGAATTGGGCTTGGACACCTATATTTTTCGGTAGTCACAATATTAAAGGGGTAAGTGGAAAAATGATTTCATCATCTGCACTCTACCAACGTAATGCGTGTCTCTTTTATTTCCATTTACAGGGGCTAATAGACCTTGCAGCCTTAACAGCTACGGCTTCGCTGTGTGGAGTGTTATTTTATCATGTCAACAAAACTGCCGGCCTATTGTTTGTTCCATACATTGCTTGGTTGAGTTTTGCCTCTATGCTTAACTATTCGGTATATAAATTAAATCCAGAAGAAAATAAAAAATCAAAAGCTGTTGAGAATACAAAACAAGAATAAGCAAAGAAAAAACGAAATTATTGTTGGTTAAAATGTAACCCTGTAATATTTTTAATGTACAAATGTCTTTATTCATATTTTCTGAAATATTTGGTTTGTTATCCACCATGTTATGAAAGAATTTGCAGAATAATAAAAAAATCGCATAAATAAAATTATGGACGCAACTATCCAGACACCAGACCGGTTTTAAATTAGTAAAATAATCAATTTGTGGAGACGGATTTTTTACAAATCACCAGAAAACCAAGAAAAAAAATATGTTTATTATATGCCACAAATTGGCTGACAAGTTTTCCAACACCGCTTACGCCGACCAAAGTTTTTTCTAAATTTGTGCTTGAGATTTTCCCTGAGATTTATGCAACATTGGAAATTGGATTCTTTTCCACACCAGGTTTTCAGATATTTTTCTTTAGGAAGTCAATATTCATATATTGGCTGCATTTATAGACCATAAGTAACAAACCTAATAATGCTACTGACTGAAATGACTTAACTTCCTTAATTTTATGGAAATTCAATTTTTCCATAAGTTATTGTAAACTTCAGATTTTTCGTACGCTCGACGTATTTGGGTAACATTCATATAAATTTATGTGTTTTACATGAGTGGTGAAATACGTCGAATTTTAGGTAACACTGTAAGTTGTAATTCATTCTTTCTTCATTTTGAATATATAGTAAAATTTGCCTCTTCGAAATGTATGCACAACTTGTGTTTTGTGGCAAAAATGCATTATTGTCTATGGCATGAAATTCCCGGTTTTTATGCACAACAAAATCAAATTCAGCGAAAACAATTTAATCGCAGAATAGATAAAATTATTATTTTATAATTACCTATAAAGTGACCTGATACGATTTCCTTTAGTGTATTTATGTCAATAGACATATGGGCATGAACACAAACAAAGAATTGATTCACGCGAAAGCGTCAGATTCTCGCGCCAGACGGTTTGTATGAAGGGTATATTAAGTTTGTCTTTCGGCTTGTAACAACTCGAAATATACATTTTAGACCCCACAAGGTATGTATATTCTTGATCAGCATAAAATTCTATGTCGATTTAGCGATGTCCGTCCGTCTGTCCGTTTGTGGAAATGCTTTAGCTTCTGTCCTTTTTTGTTATTTTCCAGGAATAAACCTAAACTCGGCTGGCTCCCAAATGACAAGACTGGCAGGATTTCGGCAAAATAAAAAGCTGCGTTTATTTGGTTTGTTTGTTTACAAATAGTGAGTTTAGTTGTCGTTGTTTATTCTCTGTAAGAATTTTAAAAATTTAACAAAAATTAAGTTTACAAATAAAATAACAATATTAATTTAAAAACAATAAAAATTAACACGACTTACTTATTTTTGGGTTCTAACAAAAAAGGGAATAAACAATGGCCATAAGGGCCTATTTATATAAAAAGTGACATTAAGCAAAACAACAAAAATAAACAAAATGAAGATGTTGGCTTAAATTTAGTTTCGTCTCCCTCTTCGCTTGGGATATTTCGGCCATTTATAACAGTGGTATTTCAAATTTGGCTACACTTTTTTAGCTTTGGTAATTGCAGGGTTACCATCTCTAACATCCCCACCCCCGTGAACTGACCCAGAGGGGGAGGCTTCACCAACTCCGTCTCCAGCCGCTTCCACGTCCAAAATGGCAAGTTTGGACACAGGTCTGTGGTATACACCGGCACTCGTTCTCACCTTGGCTGATCGTGCCACTCCGTCTTTGCCCCTGAATACTTCGATGACTCGTCCACGTCTCCATTGCCCGTTTCAGCCTACGATATTTTGAAAATCTATTAATATCTGGAATACAAAAACATACCTGGCAAGCCACCAAAACTTTGTATTTGTTTCTTAGCTCTGTTTTGCTGTGATCCACACATGTTCCAATTTGTTCCTCGTCCGGCCAATACTTCTCTTCTTTTCTCAGGAATTCTGGCCCATTTTTCCAACGTCCTTCTGGCTGGTACTTCTTGGGTCCTTTAGCACGGGTCCCTTCGTCAGCTGGGTTTTCCGCTCCTGGACACCACCGCCACTGCTCCATACGGCTGCTTTCCAGAATCTCCGACACTCTATTTGCCACATATTGTTTGTATGTACGGTGTTCTGAACGGATCCAACTTATCACTGTTGAGGAATCTGACCAAAATAAATGTATTAATATTCTTCAAATGATTTTCCAAAATTTTTTCCTTCATTCGCACTCCAATTACTGCTGCTTGCAACTCAAGCTTAGGTATAGTATGGTATCTTGTTGGGGCACAGCTCGTCTTGCCCATAACGAACACAACACTTACACCACAATTTGTTACTATACGCCAGTATGCCACAGCAGCCATTGCATCTTCACTGGCATCCACAAACACATGCAAATCTACTATACCATTAAAAAATCCATTACTGTAACACCTCGGAACTTTGAAATCCTTTAATTTAGGCAATTCCTCCAGCCAGGTCTTCCAGCGGCTATAAATCGCGGACGGCAACTCCTCGTCCCACTTTATACGACTTTTCCACACATTTTGCATAATTATCTTCGACGTCACCATAAAATCACCAAGAAACCCGAATGGATCGAATACGGACATATTTAAAGACAACATTTCGCGTTTCGTTGGCACTTTTTGCAATTTCAATATCTTTTCATCCACTTTGTGTAATTTTAATTCAAAACAAAATACATCTGATTTTGGCAGCCAATGAATACCGAGTACCCGTTCCATTCCATCATCAAAAATGGAGTTGCCATCACTTTCATCAGAAATAGGGTTGCCAAACATACGTTGTAAAACAAGGGAATTAGACTTGATGTGCGGAGATTAAATCCACCCTCTTTGTGAATTTTTATGACATCACGTACCACTTCAACTGCCTCACCTTCAGTCTGGAAACAGTCGACGTAATCGTCTACGTAATGACGATCGATGATTCCTTGTACTGCTCTTGGCGACTCATTTATAAACCTTCGGGCATTTAGGTTTTTTACATATTGGGCTATGGTGGGCGAACAAGTGGCTCCAAAAATCATCCGTTCCATTACATAAGTTTCTAAGGGTTGACTGGGATCCCCATTTCTCCATAGAAATCGCTGACTGTCCTGATCTTCTTTGGCGATTACAATTTGGTGGAACATCTCTTGTATATCTCCGCACACGGCTACAGGAAATTCCCTGAATTTAAAAAGAATAGAGATTAAAGAGTTATTTATGTCAGGTCCAGGTAATAAGGCTTTATTTAATGAAATTGTTGAACTTCAGCAGCAGCATCGAAGACGATACGAATTCCATCTTTGTTGGGATTTTTAACGCCAAAATGTGGCAAATAAAACGTTCGGTCGCTCCTTCTTTCTCGTTCTGCTACTGAAAGTTTACGGCAATATCCTTTTTCCTCGTAGTCTCTTATCTTTTTGCAATATTGAGCTGCATATACACTGTCCTTTGCCATTTTTCGTTCCACACACTGCAATCGGTTGTACGACAAATTGTACGATTCTGGAATTGGAGAAAAATGTTCTTTCCACAAAAGCGGACACTGATATCGCCCATCGATTCTTTTCGTGTTTTCTCTCAATATTTTTAACGCTCGTTCATCATCTATGGACAGAATTGGTGTCACATTTACCTTGGTACCCAATGTCTCCACGTCGAAATATTGCCGCATCATGGTATGCATTTCCTTAAGAAAGTCACAATTTTCTTCCTCGAAACGTTTCCTAACGTGTAAAGCCCGCTTAAGATTGGAACTCTTCTCGCCTGGGATCGGTCCATAAATTACGGCGCCTAATCTCGTTAGGGTAATGATTGGTCCAACATCGGTCATCATACGAGGAGCTTCCAAGGGAACTGTTAAAAATGAATGTTGCAAGCTTAATATTAGTTTAGGTTGAACATTCGAATAATCCCGGAATGGAATTTCGGCGATTTGGTCGATTTCACGGGATTTAATTAAATGAGCCAGATGGCAACTCTGTATTGGCAATGACAGATTGGACGAAATGTAAACATTGGTTATCGGGTACTTGTTGTTGTACTCACCGACACCACTAATTGTCAAATTAATTTTTTCTGTTTTTTCGTTTATGTTTTGGTTATTAAGCCACTGAATTTTTAAAATCTCCGGTTTCCCGTGTACTCCGAGTTCGCGAGCACGTCCTCGTCCAGCATGGACACATTGGCGCCGTCGTCAATGAACGCGTACGTCGTTATTGTTTGTGTGTTCCGTATAGCGTCACGGGCAAAATCTGGAACAGTACGTTTTCGGTGTAGTGGGCGGCATGACAATTTCTTCGTTGTGTTTGAGACGGCGGTGCGTCGGGAAGAGATGGGGTGTTCGTTCGTGGCTCCAAATCGTGTGTGGGTAATGTTCGGTTTCGGTTCCTGGGATGGCGTCGCGAGTGTTTTGTGCAACAATTGGTGGTGTGATTTTTGGCAATCATTTATGCCACAACGACGCTTATAGTGGCAATTTTTAAGTTGGTGGCCTCTCTTTAAGCAACAAAAACAAGTTTTAATTTGTTTAATTTTATTCCATCGGTCATCGATGGTCATTTTTAAAAGTGTGGACAGATTTTTATATTGTTGCACTCTCCCTGACAAATTGGACAGCTCGAACTGACAGCGACATATGCGTATTTTTTTTGTTGTGTTTGTGTGTGTCGGCGATTGGACGAGGTTGCTGAAATTGGCTGTGTGTCGTGGACCATATGTGCGAGACGGCGTAATATTCCCAACCAATCGCTGAAATCACTATAGTGGCGGGGTGCTGGAGTTGCAGACATTTTTCGGCCCATTGCATTTGGCGGTTTATCGGCAGTTTGGACACTAGCTCACTCAGCAACGATGGATTGGATAGATGGTGTTCACCCTTGGCGTTTTTTAGGAAAGTGGCCATATTGGAGAGTTTGTTGGCAAAGTTGACAAGTGCATCCAAATTATCATCTGCCAGCGGTGGAATGCTCGGACTTTTTCTACTTGGCTTCGGATAAGTTGCTCTGGTCGACCAAATGTTTCCTGCAGAATTTCCAAAATGGCGCTGACGTTGGCAGAACTCCCCAACATGGATTCCACTGTTTCCCTTGCTCGGCCCTTCAATGCGTCTCTCAAACGCATGATGTTATGGAGATTGGAGTAACCAAATTCGGTTGTGTGCTCTCGTAGGCTTCGAAAAATGCCTGCCACTCCTCTGGAAGACCTGAAAAAATAGGCAAGGGATAATTTTTTTATGTGCATTTCCGTTGGAGTTATTTGAAAGTGAATTTGGAAAAGACTCATCTGTGTTTGATAGACAATGGCGGCAGTTGATGCACTTGAGTCTGCAACTGTTGACTTGTTGTTGGCGGTACTGTTTGTGGTGGCAAAACTACTGAATGTAATGGCAGATTCAATGGCGGCTGTGGTGGCAGATTCAATGGCGGCTGTGGTGGCAGCGACTCCTTTGTGGCTGTTCGGCGTATTCAATGGCGGTGTTGTGTCGTTTGATTTTGAGAGAAATTGGTGGTTGTGACGTCTTTTGTAGGCAATGCTTGCTGCGACATTGTGTTTTGCAAAGAAGCAAACTGCTGTGACGTAAATAGACGGTATTTTTGCTTGTGCTGCTACTAATTCGTCTGCATTTGTCAAAACAAACCAATTTGTCCCCATAAGGAGAATTAAAACAAAGGAACCAACACTAATTTTACAAGTTTTTTAAATAAAAATGTTGAAAATTGTCTTTTATTTTCTTATTACATATTAACATTTACGTTTTTCACATTTTATAAAGTTGTTCTCCAAAACTATTAGTCTTGCCAATCCAAAAATATATTTTAAATTGAAAGCACAAAAATAAATAACAGACAATAGAAAACATCTGATTGAATGCCGATGAATGAGAAGAAGAAGAGTTGCAAGCGATTGCAAGAAGAAATTTTTCCAGCAAGAATTTGCAAATTCTCACTGAAAGAACTGTCAAAATTTCTCTCTCCGACCGCTCTCTTTTGCAGAACTTTTGGGTAAACAGACGACTTCCAGTAACAATTTGTAACAATTGTTATAAACTTTAGGGTAACCAGACGCCCCTTATATTATGTTTGGAGGTCTTTCGTTATTGAATATGTAGGTCCACGTTTTAATATAGCCCCATTTAATTGTACCTCCCTATTTTCGGGATTTTGGTGATATAAGCTATATTATTCACCAGAAATGTTTCATATTTTGTATTTGAAGTTCGTAATGGATACTTCAGCCTATGACAGAATATTGTCCATGCATGTTCACGTCTTCGAATAGCTCCATATAACGATACCTGCCGATATTCGGTATTTTGATGATTCTAGCGACATTATTCACCGGAAATGTTTCAAATTTGGTATTTGAAATTCGTAATGAATACTTCAGCGTATGACAGAAAATTGTCTGTGCAGGTCCATGTCTTCGTATAGCCCTCATATAACTATACTTGCCGATATTCGGTATTTTGATGATTCTAGCGACAATATTCACCAAAATTGTTTCAAATTTGGTATATGAAGTTCGTAATGGATACTTCAGCCTATGACAGAAAATTGTCTGTGCAGGTCCATGTCTTCGTATAGCCCTCATATAACGGTACCTCCCGAAGTTCTGTATTTTTATGATTTTAGCGACATTATTCGCCGAAATTGTTTCAAATTTGGTATTTGAAGTTCATAATTGATACATACTACAACCTAAAACAGAAAGTTGTCTGTGCAGGTCCACGTCTTCGTATAGCCCCCCATATAACGGTACCTCCCGATATTCGGGAGTTTAAGGATTCTAGCGACATTATTCACCAGAATTATTTCAAATTTGGTATTTGAAGTTCATAATGGATACTACAGCCTAAAAACAGAAAGTTGTATGTGCAGGTCCAAGTCTTCGTATAGCCCCCATTTAATGGTACCCCCTGTTTTCGAGATTTTGGTGATATAAGCGAAAGTATTCACCGGAAATGTTTCAAATTTTGTATTTGAAGTTCGTAATAGATACTTCAGCCTATGACAGAAAATTGCCCGTGCATGTTCACGTCTTCGAATAGCCCCCATTGAAACACTGAATATTTTGGTGCCAACCATAACCATTTATTGTTATCGACATAGATTACAAAGTTCGGAAATGGATGGTATATTTTTTGTGTTTTTAATAATTAACAAAATAAAAAATCTGCTGATGGATTAGTAAAGATTTAAAAAAAAAGATAAACGTGTGCAATTAAATAGAAATTAGTAATGAATCAAATGCGTGAGAGAGAGAAAAAAATGCTTGCTTAAGTGATAAGTTAAGGATTTGGTTTCGGTGCAGGTTGTTGGGGAGCAGCACTGACTGGTTGATTGTTGCTTGTTTTTTGAACAGTAGTTTGTTTGGGATCTATTTTTGGTGGTGATTTCGACTTGGCTTTGATTGCAGCATTGTCCGGGGGCTTCGGAGCAGTAGATGTCTGTTTTACTGGCTTATTATCTTGTTGAATAGAAGGAGGTTGTTTCTTGGCTCCTGGTGTTGCTGGTGTATTTGGCGGTGATGGTTTACTTCCAGTACTAGCCGGCTTTGTTTGAGCTGTCTTTGCGGTTTGTGTTGGTTTGGGGGCTGATTGGCCTTGGGGTTTCTTTTGAGCATCCGTTTTGGCATCACTGTTCTTAATTTCGGCTGGTTTGTTAGGAGATTCAGTCGGTGTTGCAGGAGGTGATGTTACTGGTGATGAAGTTGCACTGGTTTTTTTCATAGCTGGAGATGTTGCCAATTTCTGAGGAGATGCTGCAGTTTTTGGTGTGTTGGGTTTTTCTATGGCTTTCGGTGAACTCTGTTTTGTTTGCTGATTGGGGGGTTTTGTTGTACCCGTCGGCTTGGCATTTTTTGCTTGGGATGCTTTTTGGGCACTTGCATTGGACGTTTTTGTATCGTTTTTAGCTGGCATGCCGGCTGAAGCATTATTGTTCTTTGGATCTTGTTGAACGTCTGGAGATTTTGGTGCTGCAGTTTGCTGTTGAGCACTATCGGATTTCATGGCACCATCTTTTGCTGTTTCAGATTTGATTTCAGGAATTTTCTGGCTATTATTTTCTTCTTTGACTATTTGAGTACTGCCCTTTTCTTTTGTTTCCTCTTTTATTTCTTGTTTCTCATTAGTTTTGATTTGAGAATCTTTATCTGCTTTGTTGGCAATTAACTCCTGTTTCTTTCCATCATTTGGCTGAGGAGATTTTGATTTCTGTGGTGAAGGACTTTTTGTTCCTGTTTGTCCCTGTACGTTTAGATTCTTCGGAGCCTCTTGCGTTGGTTTACCCTTGGGTTGTGGTGACTTCGATTTGGATTTGCCCTGCGCCATGGGCTGCGGTGATGGACTCTTTGGAGCCAATTGAGCTTTATCGTCTTTTGGAATATCCATTTTAATGGACTCTTTTGATTGTTGTGTCATCGGTTGTGGTGACGGACTCTTTGGAGCAGTTTGAGCTTTGTTGTCTTTTGGCAATTCAATTTTCTTTGCATCTTTCGGTTCTTGAAGCGTAGGTTCTGGTGATGTTATCTTTGGGGCTGTATCATCTTTCGGTGATTCCATTTTCTTTTCATCTTTCAGTTCTTGAATAGCAGGTTGTGTTGATACACATTTAGGCGATGGCTGAGGCGATGGACATTTTGGTAATTCCGGCTTCTTCATATCTTGTGGTTGAGGTGATGCACTTTTTGGGGCTGTACTTTCTATTGGCATTTCCATTTTCTTTATATCTGTTGGTTTCTGCCCCGCTGGTAGGGGTGATGGACTCTTTGGGGTTGTATTTTCCTTCTGAATTTCCATTTTCTTTAAATCTTTCGATTCTTCCCCAATAGGTATTGCATCGTTTGGCGATACTTTTTGCTGCTGCATGGTTTTTTCCTTCGGTTGTGGTGACTTTGATTTAGATTTTCCTTTTGCCATTGGTTGAGGTGATGGTCCTCTTGGAGTTAGATGATCTTTTGGTAATTCCATTTGCTTTGATTCCTGATGCCCTGGTATTTGCATATCTTTCGTTTGTGGCGATATTGGTTGAGGTGATGCAGCCTTTGGGGCAGATTGAATTTTATCGTTAATTTTATTTACTTCTTTAGGCTCCTGAACAGTTGGCTGTGGTGGTACCGGTTTTTGATCCTTATTTTCTGGCATTTTTATGTCTTTAATTTCAATTTTGTTCTCTTGTTTTTTCTCATCCTTGATCGGCTGAGCTTCAACCTGGACCTGTGTAATTTTGGTTTCAGATTTTGGTACTTCATTTGAATTGTCTTTGGTTTTTATATCTTTCTCTGCTTTCAAAGGAATATCTTTCTTTTTATCAATCTTTGGAGAATCCATTTTGGTCTCCAATTTCGGTGCATCAATTTTGGATTGCATTCCACCTGCAACTTGTGTTGCCGGTTTTCCCTCCAAGTTTGTAGACTTGACATCTTTGGAGTCTTGCTGTTTTCCTGCACTCTTCTCACTTGGCACAGCAGCATTTTTTGCTTGTTTATTTGGCTTCTGTTGCTTGGTGTCGGTTTTAGACGTTTCATTTTTATTTTTAGCTGTCCCATTGGCCGACTGTTTATTTTGTTGTTTTTTATTTGTTTTCTTGTCCATTTTTTCATCGCTCTTTGCAGCAATTGACTCGATTTTTGGTTGTTCTGCACTTGGTTTCTTTTGGCCGATATCGCCATTTTCTTTATTTAACGGCAAGGAGTCTTGGGAGTTGGCTGTATCAATTTTCGGTTTTTCCTTAGCGGTTTTGCTTGCTTTAGCTTCATCCATTTTGGCTATTTCTTCAAAATCATTTACCAACATTGGAACTTCATCATCTTCTTCGGCTACATTTTCTAATGTGCCTATCTTTTTGCTCGACTTTGCAGCCTGGCTGCCTGTCATGGTATTGGCAAACATACGTAACTGCATAACCGTATCTTGACCCAACTGTGGCAAAATTTCCGGTAACATTTCTACTATCTTTTTGGTTTCTCCATGTCCTGTAACGGCAAACGTATTGGCAGATAGAGATGCTTGAGCTTTTGGATTATTAAAATGTATAACCGTTAGATCGTCTTTGATTATGTTGACCTCTTCTATGCCGGGTATGGTGCTAACGGATAATTTTTTCAAAGAGCTTTGCAATTTCTTGTCATCTGTGGCAGCCGATTGATGCATTACCTTCTTCTTGCGACGTGGAGTACCCTTGCCTCCTATCCGAACCTGGGCCTGTAACCTACGAAGTTTTTCAGCATTCATGTTGAACTGAAAGCAATAGAAAAAATATAATTCAAATAACTAAACTATTTTAATATAATTATGATGAGAGTTCTACAAAAAGAAACGATGCAAATATTTTGTTATATAAAAGTTCACAACTAGGCACTCACCTTTGTTTCTATCGTCTGCGGCGACAAAATCTGATGCACATGCAGAAGAAACTCCTCGTTTTAAAAGAAAAGAATGATTCTGGTGCGAACTGAAGACAACGTACTAACGAATGAATTGTGGTAATGTATATATAGATCTGCGAAGATCCCTTTCTTCTGCAAAATTTAAATGTGGACGTACAAATATTAAACCAAACAACAGCAAAAATATGTGTAAATTCGTCTCACACATGCACTTTTTGGTTTGGGGGACATATAAATAAATCAGCAGCAGCAACAGCAGCGACGATAGTTTGTTGTGTTTTTTTTTTTTTCAGCACAAGACAAAAATTCTATACTGAAAATAATAATTAAAAGTGTCGCCGATTGGGCTGTTTTCTTTTTGGATGCTTTTCCTCCACTGAGCACTGAGATTGATGGCTAAATCACAACTAACCGGTGCTGTACAGTTGGAGGCCCATCGTTACCACTAACGGCTGCAGTGTTTATGCTGGCTTCTGACCGATCACAAACACACTGGCATTATATGCAAATTTATTCTCTGAGCGGCAGCATTTTGCATAATATCCCTGCGAAGAGAATACTTTCTTGTATTTAAAATAGAAGATTTGTTTTGCATAAATAGATACATATATACAGTCCTACCTCTTCTTCGTGGACCTCATTCCTTGGCATACATGCATTGTAAATTCCCAAATGTTTATATTTCTTTGGATAAATGATTCAAATAGGACTATCCATCTCTGCATTTTCTGTAATTTACCTTTTCAAATGTCACTGAATAAAAAACAGGATCAAATTCTCAAATGAATAATTTTGAAAAAGATGTAAACATATGAATGCATGATTTTACCTTCTTAATTTTGTCATGTTTTGGATTAAGTTTCTAGACAATTCATTTGTTAAATAATAATTATTAAGATTAATTTTTATTTATTATTTTATTAAATAACAAATAAATAAAACCAACTTGTTGCATATAATTTTGAATAATTGTGACAGGAAGCGGGTAAAGATAGCCTCAGAGATGTATTTCTGAAATATACAGGGCGAGATAAAAAACTGAAACAAAGTCAAAGGCCATAATTTAAACATTTTTTTTAAATTTTCTTGAATGAAAGCAAAAAATGTCGGAAATAGCATCAAAAGTTAGAATAAGTTTAGATTTGTTTGAATTGGTCACCTTTGGCACGAATTATGACCTTCAAACGGCCAATGAAACCGACACATGCTGCCCGAATGTTGCTCTGCGGTATTTTGGCTCATTCCCGGAGAAGCGCTTGCTTGAGGTGATCGACAGTTTGGTATTTTTTAGTGTCCAACTTGCTTTCCAAAATACTCCAGACACAATAGTCCAACGGATTGGTATCCGGAGATTTTGGTGGTCATTGTGGGCTGGAAATGAAGCGAGGAACCTGATTTTTTAACCATTCTTGGTTGGTTGTGTTGCTGAGTCCTGTTGGAATGGCCAAGGTCTGTAGCCAAAATGTTTGCGTGCCCCTCCAGAATATTTTCGCTATAATATTCGGCATTTATCTCAGTATCACGCTTGAATTCCATCAGGAATAACTTTTTTTCTGGATAATTCTCACCAAAATGCTTTTGTACACTTGTAAACAATATAATGACCTGTCACTGGAATAATTTTAACAGCTGTCGGACGAGTGATTTAGAAATGACAGCAGTCTGAGTTTTTTCATCTCACCCTGCATGCTATGCTTATCGGACCGTTAATATTTAAATGAAACATGTAATAACAAAAAACAATTTTTTGTTTAAAGATGTTACATGATACAGTCAAAGGCAATTTGCACTTAAATGAAAAGTGCTATGGAATGAGATGTTGACAAATCTTTACGTATTTATGACCGGTTATTACATCTTTTCGATAGATAAGAAAATAAGTTATTTTACGTTATCATAAGTGTCATTTAAACATGAACTGTCCGTTAAGCAAAAGGTCCGATCAACTTCCCTTTATCTTTTAAGGAAAAGTTTACAGAATTCATGTTGCCATATTTTATAGTGATATTATGGAAATAACAGCAAAATATATTCAAATACAAAAATGAATAATGCAAATCGTTTATTTTTTCATATTGAAGAACTAAATAATATATTTATTTCAAATTCGCTTTGTTTATTATTTTTAAACTAAAATGAAGATGCCACTGTGAAAAAAATGCACAGTGACTACCAGTTACATTTACAAAAGGCTTGCCATATCTCTTGAAAAAAATAAGTTATTTTAAGGGAAAGATGTAATGCTATTTTCTTATTGCAATCTCAATGGCATTGCTCGCTCTCAGAATTAGTACACCAATTAACCCGTTCATACGACACGATTCGTATTTCATAGTATCATAATTCCCCTAATTCCAATGAATAGTCGAGTACTCGGGTTTTACCCAAATCCATAGTCGATTATTCGATTAATCACAAATCGTCTTACCTATCCCTAATTGATTTCGTTCCCCAAGTGCAACAGCGTAGTTTCATTTCATACTTTCGTTAAACAATTGTTTGTTCTCGGATAGTTGAGTCGTTTTTGTGGTTTTGTGTTTAGTCATCGTCTTTGTTAAATAAAAAGAAAAAAGTTATGCGTTTGCAATTAGTCTTGCTTGCTGTGGTCCTAGCCTTGAGCCAGGTTTTGGCCAAGGAGGACAACATTTTGTCGGATCAATTTATTGAGATTGTCCGCAATAAGGCCAAAACATGGACGGTTGGAAGGAATTTTCCCGAATCCGTATCTTTAGCTCACATTCATCGTTTGATGGGCGTTCATCCTGATGCCCATAAATTTGCTTTGCCCGATAAGAAATTGGTGTTGGGGGAAGAACATCATTTGCAAGATATCGAAATACCAGAGGAATTCGATGCCCGCAGTCAATGGCCTGATTGCCCTACAATAAAGGAAATCAGAGATCAGGGGTCATGTGGTTCATGCTGGGCATTTGGTGCTGTAGAAGCAATGTCTGATCGAGTATGTAAACATTGAGCTGATTCAATACGCAAATTGATTTGGCGTTATCAGTTAAATTATTAAGCTTCTTTGTTTGTTATTTAATTTGATTGTTAATGCCCCATCTTATCATTGCTTTGTTTCTTTATATGATTGTAGGTTTGCATTCATTCGAATGGAACTGTACATTTCCATTTTTCGGCCGATGACTTGGTTTCCTGTTGCCATACTTGCGGTTTTGGTTGCAATGGCGGATTTCCCGGTGCCGCTTGGAGCTATTGGACACGAAAGGGTATTGTAAGTGGTGGTGCCTATGGTTCCAATCAAGGATGTCGTCCCTATGAAATCGCCCCATGTGAACATCATGTAAATGGCACCCGTCCCCCATGTGATGGTGAACATGGAAAAACCCCCCGCTGTCAACATCAATGTCAAGCATCCTACAATGTTGACTACAAAAAGGATAAACACTACGGAGCAAAGGCCTATTCTGTTACCAAAAACATCCAAGATATTCAAAAGGAAATTATGACAAATGGTCCAGTCGAAGGCGCTTTTACCGTCTATGAAGATTTAATTCTGTACAAGGATGGTGTCTACCAACATGTTCATGGCAAAGAATTGGGTGGTCATGCTATTCGCATTTTGGGATGGGGAGTGCAGAAACCACAAGGAACACCCTATTGGTTGATTGCCAATTCATGGAATACAGATTGGGGCAACAATGGCTTCTTTAAAATTCTACGTGGTGAAGATCATTGCGGTATTGAAAGTTCGATTTCAGCAGGCTTGCCAAAGCTTTAAATGACAGAAAAAAACAAGCCTTTTAAGAGATATTTAGCAAATAATCTTATATTAATGTATTCATATTGTATTGTCGAAATTGTGAATTTGGGTTTTACAAATATATATGTAGAGAACATTCCTTTAGTGTGATCTCCGATTTTAAATAAAAGGAAATTTTAAATATATCAGAATAAATTTAGATGCTTTGTAATTTACGAATGCATACGAATGAATGGATGTACTTTGATGAAATAAGGTTCTTTGGCAAAAATGAGTTACATTTCATATGGACCACTAAAATTTAAATTTACTCGGAAGCTACGCTGTTTTCATTGTACCTATATGAACAGGAAAAAATGGTTGAAGCCCATAAGGTTTTTTTAATATTTACTTATTTTTAGATGAAAGTTTACCATTTACTTAGAGACGAAACCGAATTGCACACTTTGCACAGCTTAGGCCTAATGTATGATTTGTGGATACATCCACAACACATGTCAAACAAACATTTTGAAGCCGAATTTGGAGGTTTCAAATTTTCCTTATAGTCATAGGGTGCTCATAGTTAATAATCCAAATTAATTGGTGGGGTTTGGAAATCGTGATTTTGAATTTAAAATCAGGAGGTAGCTTTGTATGGGCGCTATAACAAACACTGAACCTATATAGAAACATTTATTAAAAATTTACGTAATCCGATCCCGCTCCATGAACTGGAAAGTATGGCCCCGATTGTGTGACTGGCATTGGTCATCCATATTCAAAAATATTTGGAGTTTCGTCAGTCTCTGATTGTTTTAAAAAATGCATGTACTTAGTTTTTGAAGATTTTAATTATGTTTCTCTCTATACAATTTAAAAACTAAACAATTAGGTAGGCATAAAAATTATTCAATATCACAATTTATTTTTTATTCTAAGACTAATTTTCTTCTCTATCTCGTTGCCAGAAGAACCTCTGCTAAACATATGGATTCCAATTGCTATCATCTTCGGGTGTTAAACGATTAGTAATAAGTAATATAATATCGACAATCCACCAAACACCGACTCCACCCAAAGTCAACAATTTGCCCACGGCTGTTCCGGTTTGTCCCAAACAAAATCGATCCATACCCAAAAAACCCAACAGCAAACTATACAGCAGAGTTGTCAGAAAATAATGTTCGGAATATCGGATGCATGGTACCCCATCTCTGTGGAATGTTCTTGGACCGTGGCAATCGATGTCATTAAATACTGTACATTGCACTTTAGTATGTTCTACGTCTTCATAGTTGAGACCACCAAATTTCAAACAGCCGTAACCTTTTTCTTCTTTGGCTGTTTTGTTGTCCTTGTGATCGATGGGTTTGTTGCATTCCAGGAAATCATCGGGGAGCATAGAGCACAAGACTTTCGGTCCCCAAACTCGATAATTAGTGTTGTCGCCAGCAGCTACACGAGCATTATTACCAATTGCAGGGGTAACCTGCTGTTCACGATCGCTCCGTGCCTGTATAGATATCGCCAAGTGGACGTAGGATAACAATATCAACAAAGCAAGTTGTTGGCAGTAGATTTTTATCATTTTTTCGTAAAAGTTAGAATTAAAACTATGGAATTGTTTGTCACCAAATTGTTGGAGCAGATATGGAGACGACTCTATTGTCGGCGGCGCTCGTTTTTACAAATATTAGCCGCCGATGGTGTCGGCCCAAAGCGGCTAAAAGTCACCGCCAACAAAGAAAATAATTTAGCGCATCGATACTTTAAAACTAATCTTTATAAAATTAAAAAAAAAAAAACATAAAAAGAATATATAGAATATAATTAAAATAACAAAAAAAAAGAAGATAAACTGCACCGAAATGATAATGTGCCGCCGCAGATTGTTTGCAACGCCGGCAAACCGGCATGCTTCGTTTTCTGCGTGAAGTGTTGTTTAGTTCGCTATGGAATAGTTCAGTAAAATGATTCACCGAAAGGAGCAAGTAAGCCAATTACAAAAAACTAGTTTAAATTGATGTGTGTTCTCTTAATTTTTCTGGAAGTTTTGGAGGTGTGGGTACATAAACAGCTTGAATTCTTCGCGTGGCATATTTTGTGACATATCAGAAAGGAATGTCAGTAGCACTCGAATCCTGCCGTCGTTTCCCATCATTATTTAACATTAATATGTCTAGCCATGATGCCAAGCTGCTTATGTACCGTCGCCTTTAATAGTTTTTCGTGTACGGGAGTGGATTTTAATCAAATACGGGTAAAAATTCTACTAGTTTTTACGAAAATTGTTTTGAATAATTTCTAATCTTATTTTTATTTATAGTGAAGCTGGGAATACATAAAGCGCTTATTTGGCTGGCTTAAGTCATCGGCTGGCTTCTTCGGAAATGAACTAGGTCAACCTAAAACTCCTTTGTTCATCTACGAAGAAGTCAGCCGATGACTTAAGCCAGCCAAATAAGCGCTTTATGTATTCCCAGCTTGACTTTTAATAGAAAATAAAATTCATATTTATAAAATTTGTGGGGAATAACTTTTTCACTTTTAAGGACTACCAAACTGCGGCCAAAACACATTTTTTAATTTACGCCTCCTGACCGATCTTATTGGATAGACTCCTCAATAACCGCCGTACGCCTTCGATATGAAATACCACGAATATACAAATTTTTCAAGGTAAATAACTTTAGTTTTGAAAAGGGTATTTTTTTGTATCTTAAAAATACAACAGTAACTCGATGTTCTCTTTAATTAGAAATTGTGTCAGAAAAATACTGATCCCAACTTATGGATTTGGCATTAACGAATAATATTCAGTCACCTCTTCACAACAACCCATTTTTTTTTGTCATACTACAGTAAAACGCGATACACCTCTCGCCTTAAATTGTTCTAAAATTGACATTGTATAGTACTCAGTAAAAAATTATAAACACATTTTTTTTATTATTTTCTTAACATTACGTTCACGTATAAATATATGTATAAAAATTTGTTTAACAAGTATTAATCTTAATACTATTACATAGCTTATTTTCTAAGGATCTATAGTAAGTACACAGTGCCAGTGGCAAGATTAACACAGATATAAATTCGGGAAAAGTAAGACTCAAATGGTGAAATAAAATAAAGCCATTGCTGATGCTAGCCAATGTCCAAAAAATTTCATATTCGACCAGACCAACAAATTATCTAGTAGGGCTGCCGTTGAATTGTTCGAATTTAACATAACACCCAAATAGGCCAGCTGTACAACGGAAATAAGACCGAAAATAAAATTTACGCAACGTACCACTAGGCAAGGGGTAGTATACCAGGGAAGACGACTATTACGGGGACAATGCTTGTATTTACAACTATTACGGCAGGGTGTAGCTTCTATGCAGGCATTAAATACTTGGGCCAATGTGCGCCGCAGTTTATTTTCAAAATAGCTAAATAAACCCAACGACATGAGTATTAAATAGACCAAATAATTAAATCCATGTACTAGGCAGGATACCAAATAGGTGAGAAGTATTGCAAAAACATATGATGAACGTACTCGCTGAAAGATGGTCGATTTCAACCACACATGCATGGGAATATTCCAATGGCGTATTGCCATTGAAAGCGATCGGGGGAACTCGATTTCAAAAGGCTTTACAACTCGAAATGGCCCAGAAGATATTGTCAAATATGAGGAATGTGCCCATGTATTGCACAATAGGGTTGCATGTGAAAGATAGCTAATGAAATAATGACTACATCGAACAGACATTGCATCCAGGTACGTGCGATACCATAATCCGCCATTCCAAAGTTGTTTCAACCACGGTAACAAACAATTGGAGAGATTCAAATGCAAAACGGACAACACAATATAGAATATTATGTTCAAAATCTGCTTTACAGTTTTTGCACTAGTCTTATTATGCTCCTTATACATTTTATAAGGAATCCAAGGACCAAGTATCAAAGAAGATGGACTGCACAAATACCCTATAATTGGAATCCATTGGAATGTCTCACGGCCATCCTGGATTTCGAAGGCGACCGATATCATTTTCATACTAACCACCATTTGAGGACCACGTATTGTCTCGAATTTTTCGTGTTTCAACAGCAACTCGGCCAAAAGTTGACTAAAAATTATATATGTACAAGACCACAAACCTTTGTGCCTTAAACGTTGCAGTGCGTAGAGTATTCGAACAAAGGAGCATATATTTAGGATATTAACAACAATATACACTGTGGACGGACCAACGTAGAGCCATAAACTTAGTAATCCACAACCGATCGATAAAAAATGATATGCCATCTTTATTTCCCGAACACGCTTTATTAGTTCCCACAGCATACGATGGAGCAGACCACATCCTAGCAAGATGATGATATATTGTTGGATTTGCTGCGTTGTCTGGATAATACATCCCTTGCATACGTCCGCAAAGGTTTCTTCCGCTGTCGCGTCATATTCATAATCGTCCTCCGCATCGTTTTCGTGTATATGTTCATCATAGTAATAATAATCCATAGTATAAACAAAAAAATATATTTTCTTTGCGGTACCGGCAATTAAATAGTTTTTATAAACAAAAGAAGAGGCGATGTGACGCCGACAAATACAGTGTGTCGTAAAAGAAAATGCTTTGATGCCGTCTAAATATGAAATAGCTGCCAAGGAGTCTGAAATTTATTTTGAAGAATACACATACACCATGTAGCCACAATCATGGCACAATTGCAGAATGTGGATCAAATCTACGTCCTATAGTATAATTCGCTAGTAATTTTTGTTATGCATTGAGTTTATTTTTTAGATTAATCTAGCTATATATAAATCAAAAATGTATATGTCCTTTAAAACCATTTTGCTTTCCTTCTTTTAATTTTGCCCAATTTTTTTACGAGTTATTAAAGTATAGAAATGTTTTGCCCATGGTAAAATTACCAAGGTAGAGCCAAGTAATCATATACTTGCAAATTTTTCATAATTATTCATTTGACAACATTTCATTGTCAAAATTTATGTTTATATTTCTATGCGGTAGGATTTTACAAGGTAAATTACAGAAAATGCAGAGATGGATTTGCTTAATTGAAATGACTTTACCTTCTTAACTTTATCATGGTTTTGTTTGTATATACAACAAGGATAAAAATCGTATTTATGGAATTTAGCAATAAGTCTATTTATTAAATAGTCAATGTCGACCTACAAATCCCTTATCGAAAAGAAAATAAAAATGGCGAGCAAACTCTGTTTATAGTTGGGAAAATATTTTTTGAAGTATTTTAATAAATTTAATAAAAAATATACAAACTAAATCAAAACAAAAACACATTCGAGGAATAGAATTTGGATACACATAATTTATACTCCTAGGTACCGATTTTCGCGAAAGTCTATACCCTTTATCGAGTTGCCTCGATATTTGCAATAAAAATTGTTTGCAACGATAGAAAACAGAAGAAATGGTATGATTTAATTATAATTAAAATCTAGTCATTTGTAAAATATGCACGCGAGTATCATCAAATTTTCGAATAGGTTTAGATTTCTTCGAACTGGTCACCTCATGAAACCGTCATACGCCGAATGTTGCTCTGCGGTAATATCATGGCACAAGAATACAGGTAGATGCATCAATACTTGGGAGCATTGATATGTCAAAAATTTTAAATGTTCTTTCAAACATAAGTAGATTTTTAAATGTTTGCTTATACGACGTCATTTGGAGGTTTTTATAATTCGGATTTTTCAACAATTTTTACGAATTTAAATATTTTTTCATTCAATATTTTCAATTCTCAAATTAGTTTGACAGCTGTTTCGATGCGACTACCTGTATTCTTCTACCATTTGCTACCTGTAGTAATTATACCATGTTCACTATTCGAGAGGGCAAGCACCCAAATTACTGAGTAATTCAAAGTTGACAAACAGACGCTCCCCCGTCCTAACCCATTTTTAAAATTGAAAAATAATTTGCAGAATTACAAATTATCTGGATATATATGTTTGTTATTTACATTTATAACTTTATTTAAAGTACAAAAAATTGTTTCGTTTTTTACTTAAACAATGTATCTTTCATGAGAGCCGGTCAATTTGGGGAATTGTTTAAAACATAATATCCAAAAATAATATATGTGTATATAAGTGTTAATGTATAAAAACAGTCCGTTGTCGTTCACACGCTTTCACAATATTTTAAGAAATCACACAGAAACGGAATAATTATTCTCTGAATAAATTTGGTACGAATTTACAAAAGGAAAAAAATGTTAGCCGACAATGAAAATGAATAAAAAAACCAAGACACATTTTATGTATAGTGGGGGGGTAGTACATAGATCTCTCTTATTATAAAGCAAACAAAAAGCATTACAATTTAATCAAGAATTTAATTCTGATTTTAGATTTTTTTGTAGTCGAAACAAGTACAAATCAGGTTAAAATATTAACTTGAAATATCCCGAACATGCAATAGAATCTTTATTATTTATTCGTGTCTTCATTTCATTGTTTGAAACATTGAATGCAATCAGTATTTTAATTACGATCAAATCGAAATATTTTTTTTTTTTTTATTTTGGTTAACGAAACCAGACGCATTTTTCAGCTGAGTATGTATGTAACGGAGGAATAGTTCGGGGTAACAAATTGGCCGCCAATTCTTTTTCAATTTATAAATAGTGTTTATACATAAGTGAGAGCTATGTTTTATTTTTTATTTGTGTGTTGTATATAGATGTAAATTAGTTTTTTTTTATGAAAAATCATCATTATATGACGAACCAGCACTATAATTGGACATTTTTGGTAAATTAACCACGTCACGTCGGAAGGATGATAAATTATGAATGAATCTGAAAGAAAGTACAATGTATCAGTAGGTTTTTCAAAAGGATCGAGACGATGCCTGTAGCACAACTCTTACTTCTCCTTATTTTTAGTAGAAACGTTCCGTTCAATTCCATTCATTAGATCCTCAAAACATTGAGCCATAATTTGCTGTTTTTCTATTGGTTGTGCGCGTAGAATATTTTCCTTAAGAGTTCTAGAAAGAAAAAAAAGTATAATTAATTGTAATTTTCGACTGCATGAAAAAAATGATAAAAATGATTCACTCACCGGAAATAATCTTCATACAATAATATAAGAACTAGCAAAGGTTTGGACATGGACCATTGGTTTTTGCAATCTTCAGCCATGACATTGTTCATTAGAGTTGACATCATGTTTTGTAGAATGTCAGAATTCATTTTAACAACCTATGGACAGGCAAAACATGAAAATACAAATTATAACAAGTAAAAAAGCTATAAGTTCGACCGGGCCGAACTTTGAATACCCTCCACCATTTGGAACGAATTGGGCAATTCTCAAAAACAATCACATCCGTTAAAAATTCTGTTAAGATCTTAAAAATAACGAAAGTCTTAAATATACAAAGACGTGGACCTGCACAGAAAATTTCCTGTCATAGGCTGTAGTATCCATTACGAACTTGAAATACCAAATTTGAAAGAATTCCGGTAAATAATGTCGCTTAAATCAATAAAGTACCGAATATAGGGAGGTACCATTATATGGGGGCTATACCAAGACGTGGATCTGCACAGAAAATTTCCTGTCATAGGCTGTAGTATCCATTACGAACTTGAAATACCAAATTTGAAAGAATTCCGGTAAATAATGTCGCTTAAATCAATAAAGTACCGAATATAGGGGGTACCATTATATGGGGGCTATACCAAGACGTGGACCTGCACAGACAATTTTCTGTCTTAGGCTGTAGTATCCATTACGAACTTGAAATACCAAATTTGAAACAATTCCGGTGAATAATTTCGCTAAAATCATCAAAATACCGAATATCGGCAGGTATCGTTATATGGGGGCTATACGAAGACGTGGACCTGCACAGACAATTTTCTGTCTTATGTTGTAGTATTTATTACGAACTTCAAATACCAAATTTGAAACAATTCCGGTGAATAATTTCGCTAAAATCTTCAAAATACCGAATATCGGCAGGTATCGTTATATGGGGGCTATACCAAAACGTGGACCTACATGGCCCATTTTTAATACTAAAAGTCCTGCAGACATAATATACATTTGTGTAAAATTTTATCAATCTACTTCAATTCGTTCGGAAGCTAGAGAGATTTCCACAGACGTACGAACATCACTAAACATCACATCACGGACATCACTAACTTTATGGGGTCCATGATGAACATTTAGGGATGTTACAAACGGAATGACAAAGTTAATATACCCTCCTTTCCAAGGTGGAGCGTATAAAAATCAATTTTAATTCTTACCTCTAAAAATCTCGCATTTTCAGGTGTTAAACTGCGTAGTTTCTTGTTGGGGAATGTAGACACTGAAAGTTAAATATATAGAAATTTATAGATATTCCGGCGATCTGGACTGGCAAGTTTACTTACTTTTCAATTGTAACTGTTTAAATATATAGGATATAATGCTATCCAAAATGGAACAACAGGTTATATAAATAGTTGAATCTGGAGGTGTTACAAAAAGATAAAAAGCAAACATTAATTCAAATTATTTCTCGCTTTTAATAGCACGTAACCCGAACACTTACCCAAAGCCGTAAAACCTTTAGATAAACTTTCAAGAATGTAAACAAATGCACCAGGTTCTAACCCAGCCAGAAAACTAATATGCTCTTGAGATAGGCAGTTCAATAAATTGAAATAGGATGATGCCAATTTCGGATATTCCTAAAAAGAAGACGGATTAAAAAATATAGCCCGACCTTTTCATAATCTACTTACCAACAAATCGTTTTGTTGTATAGACATTATCATTTTTGCCGCAATGTTTAAAACATTATCCAATGTATCATCACCGTATAGCTTGAAAACGCCAAAATTCACATAATTGCCACCCAATGCATTTTTCAATATGGTAAAGCATACCGAGATGCCTTTTAAACGCATTGGATATTGCTGATCGCGGGGTACATCTAAATGCAGTATACGATTTCCGTATATACAGATGAGTTTTGAAGCCTCTCTAAACAATAGTATGCCCATTGGACTTGAGACATTGCCTTGCAGGCGTTGGGTGCGACAATGGAGCAATTCGGCAAAAAGCTTAAGGACAGGTGTTGTAACAGCTGGATCATGGGCCCACAGTTCCACTGCACGTATCAACATGGGCAAATAGTCCGAGTAGTAACTTCAAAAACAAATGAAAAAACTTTACTAAAATTTGAACTATTTTAAAACCTAATTGCAAGAAATCGAACACGAAATGTGTTTTAATCTCTTTGTATTCCCTAAAAAACAATATCCAAATGCATACACTTACAGCCACTCGAACAGCATGGTATAAGGAACTCGTGATGTTAGTGGTTGGGCCAGACCACGCAGATCACGTGCCAAACCAATTATAGCCTTTTTGGCCTCTTCATTGGGAAAGCTATTGGCATCCATTAAAACCGGCCCAAGTGATTCAAATTGATCTGCAAAGAAACAAGTGAGCTCATGAACATTAACACAAAAAATAAAAATTAAACAAAGTCACTTACTTGTTAAGGGATTTAAAAAGCTATAAAAACGTTCTTCGTCTTCTCCCAAGTCAAACATTAAAAGACGTCCCAGTGATGTGTAAAACATTGTGCGACAACGCATTTCAGTTAGTGATGAATTTGTACCCAAGAATGGAAAATGTTCGCTCTACAAAAAATCACATGATAGTAAAATGTTTAAATTCCATGAATTATAATGCCTACCGTATGGTGTGTCAACATGAACTGGACTTCCTCCAATTTAGCCAATTTCCTCACAGAATTAAAGTGCACCGATAAATCTGACAACAACATCAAGGTTTTTGTTATAATTTGTTCTGAATGACCCCAAAACTTTAGATTTGTAATACTGGAAATATACAGAGAAAATGAAACTGAAATGTGAATGTTTGATACTTGGAAAAAAGGGGTGAACATCTTACATTTTACGATTTATAAAACTCAATAGCATTTGCTCATCGCTTATGCCAAAAACCTCATTCAATCTTTTATACACATTGGGCTTTTGTGTTTGCTCACTGATATTCATTTTTCGTACTTGTTCCAGAAAACTTAGGATGGCTAATTCCAATTTTTCACAGCCTGCTTGTGGTAGTCGAGCATCAGTTAATCTCATCAATTGAAATACCCTTATGATCAATTCGGCGTCCATGGTATCGTGATCGTCATTCGAGTTCACAGTAAGACGGCCCACTATGGCCGAGCCAATGATATACACCAACCATGTCAGCTGCAGCTCATGAATGGTAACATTTATAGGATCTGCGTTTGGCGTCTGCAGTAGGCTTTCATATTCGCTGGCTTTTTGGTCGAAGTGTCTCACCAACAATGAACATGTTTTATCGTATTCACAACGTTCGATAACCGATAATTGTTCCAACTGTTGCAGCACCATGCACAAATCATCCAGTGGATCATCCATGTGGTCATTGACAATGGCAGGAACGGCATTCAAACGTGATTCAACATAGGCTTTTGTAACTTCCGGTGTATATGTACCCAACAAATGTGGTTCGGGTGATTTAACGTATGGCACTGAGGCAACCATTCTCTGCCACAAAGTAAGTAGGTAGTGGACACTATTTGGAGCAAATTGCCACATCTATGAGGATGAAGTTATATATGTGTATTCTAAGTTTTCGACTTCTATGAGGCCACAGATGCATCCCTTACCTGAAGTGATTCAACTGTAAATTTTGCTATTAGAGCCAAAGCTTCTGGATAACAAGGCACAGCAATCAATTCTCCTAGTTGGTAATTCGATTTTAGACGTGCTAAAAGACGGCAAAATTCGTGATAATTGTCTGGATCACGAAGTCCCTAAAAAAAGGCACTGTTTTAGAAAAGAGTATAGGCATTTGGAATTTCATTTACTTACATGCAAATTAACCAATATGTTTTTTACACCTTCCACTAGGTGAGTGAGAAACTTGTTGCGCTCTGAGTTACTAAAAAGTGAACGCCTCACGGATGTCATCTATAAAACAAATAATTACGGATTTTTAATTTTCCTTAATTAGGAGTCGTGCATGGATTTCGGATATGTATCCGGTATTTGCAAATAGGAACCGATTTGGTGATTTAACTCCTTTTTTATTCATTCAGTATTTTCAAATAGAAATCGGTTGAAAGCATAAGCAATAACTTGACATTTAGAACTACTATTCAAGAGGTGTCTGTCTCATATAAATTATGGCCTGATGTAATTTTACTTTGTTTTTAATGGGATCGATTACATTTTTCTCCCAAAACTTTTAAGATAGACACTATCACTCACCTGCACCAAACATGACAGGGAATAACTGGCTAAACCATTTGGTAAAATTTGATACAAGTCGAAAAACAACTTCAATGTGTTTGGATCCAGAAATGCGGGGCGCCAAGATGCTGGAATTTGTACACTATTCATATCATCTGAAGACTCGTCTGTCGAACTACCAATAAAATCGAAACTCAAGCAGTTCTTCGTTAAACGCAACACATGTGATATAAGGCTGAAATAAAAATATGTATATCAAAATATACTTCTCGTACAAAAATGTTAATATTTTTATAGCATACTTAACATAAGCCTGTTGGGCTTCATCCATGAAATTGATTGTTTTGCTATTATCTCGTGCCGTGACCAGTAGATTACAAGATAATAGAAATATATCATACAATTGTTGATCACGAAATGAGGTGGCAATTTTACGACTTGTTGAAAAGGTTATATGGGCATCCACTTCCACAATGGAGTTCATTTCCAAAACAAGTTGTGATAATATTTGCACACCAAATGTACAATGTTCAACAGATCCCTGGAAAAGACAAATGTTTGCATTTATTTCTATTTACCATTCTCAAACGGAAGCGAATACCTGTAAAAATGTTTTAACGTCTTCCAACAAGGTTTGAAACACCAGCTCATTTTTATAGGTATCAAACCAACCATATTTTGTTATTTTTGCAAGTAGTGTAACCAATGACTGGACCACAAAATGTTGTAGGTTTGGTCTATTTGCCAAATAGTTTAAAACGTAACTCCTAAAAAACAGGCAATTGTTTGAAAATGTAATTAAATGTGATTTCTTAATAGTTGTACCTGATGTCAATGCGTTGTTCCAAATTGAGTCCCTGTATGAGCTTTGTTAGCGTTGTTGCCGCCAAAAGCTGGGCATAGCTGGAATCCGCACGATCCAATAGCATTTGACATTTGGGCAATGCATCTTGACTGCTTACAAACTGTACAAGGGTCTTTTCTGCATTGGAGCGTAATACAGAATCTGTAGCTTCGTACAACTGTTTGCATAGGATTTCTAATTGTTGAATTTCCTAAACAGAATGAAACGGTTTACCAAAAAATTATTTCTTTTTTTTGCACATCTCAGAGCTGCATCATAACCTCTAAAGAAAAACACCGGACCGGTCGGTGTTGCATACATTCAATATTTATGTAAATGCAATTTATTTGCGATTACATTTAATACTTTTGTGTTGAAATTACTCCCGTGCATATTTTACAAATCATAGATTTTAATTATAATTAAATCATACCATTATTTTTATTTCTGTTGTTTCTTCTGTTTTCTATCGTTGCAAACAATTTTTATTGCAAATATCGAGGCAACTCGATAAAGGGTATAGACTTTCGCGAAAATCGGTACTAGGAGTATAAATTATGTGTATCCAAATTCTATTCCTCAAATGTGTTTTTGTTTTGAGTTAGTTTGTATATTTTTTATTAAATTTATTTATTAAAATACTTCAAAAAAATCTTTTCCCTACTATAAACAGAGTTCGCTCGCCATTTTTATTTTCTTTTCGATCAGGGATTTATAGGTCGACAATGACTATTTGATAAATAGACTTATTAGCTAAATTCCATAATATGGAAGAATCCATGGTACAATGAATTCAAGGTAGGGCAGAACTACCATATGATTTCAATTTTTTCATTTTTCTGGCTTAATATGTCAACTTCATATGCTTATGTGTGTGTCTTCTTTTCAATAATAAACAATTGTTCAGAAAATATTCAAATTCGGGCGTTTTCAAAATGCTTATTGCAACGAATGCATCGACAAAATCTACAGTTTTTGTCGCGAAATAACAAATAAGAGATATATAGAACATGATTTTGAAAAGAAATTTTGACCTTTCATTCAGTTATCGCGGTTTTCAATTATTTTTTCAAAATCAATGCAACAAGTTGTTTGCTTTTTTATTGTTTTGATAGTAATTCTGACATTACAAGCCAAACAGGTAGACCTCTATACTTGCAATTTTTTCAAAGTTGACCTACCTTCTCTTCATTGTACCATGGAAGAATCTACGATTTTTATCCTTTTTGTAAGTGACAAAACCATGGTAAAGTTAAGAAGGTAAAGCCATTTCAATTAAGCAAATCCATCTCTGCATTTTCTGTAATTTACCTTGTAAAATCCTACCGCATAGAAATATAAACATAAATTTTGACAATGAAATGTCAAATGAATAATTTTGAAAATATTTTAAGCATATGATTACATGGCTTTAACTTCTTAATTTTTCCATGGGCAAAACATTTCCATACCTTAATAACTCGTAAAACATTTAACATTTGGGCAAAATTAAAAGGAAGGAAGAAAAATGCAAAAATTAAAAGAAAGAACACAAAATGGTTTTAAAGGACATATACTTTTTTGATTTTTTATATTTTTTGGATATAGAATTATAAGTTTCAGAACTTTCGTTTTTTTCTATTTAAAATTGTCGCATAGGTTATTTACATACAACTCTTTTACAACATTTGTACCACGGTGAAACAGTAAATTGGATAGGTTATTTTGATACAGTTTTCTCCGGGGTTGACATTGGTATGTCAAAAATATTACAATAGACTACCTGCATTTTCCACCATGATGTAGAGGGTGAGATGAACAAACTGCGAACAACTTCACACTGCTGTCATTTCTAAGTCAATCGTCCGACAGCTGTTAAAATTATTCCAGTGACAGCTCATTATATATTACCCATGGTAGAAGAATACAGATAGTCACATCGACACAGCTGCTGGGACAAGGAAATGTCAAACCGATTTTGGAAAAGAAAATGTTGAATGACAAATTATTGAAATTTTTAAAAATTGTTGAAAAAAGCTAATTATATTATTATATTATATTATTATACTATATTATTATTATAGCCTCTGAATGACGTTGTATAAGAAAACATATACAAATCTACTTATATTTGAAAAAAAAAACATTCAACAATTTTTGATGTATAAATGTTTCCTAGCGTTGATGCATGATTCATCTACCATGGTATTTATGTTAGTAGTACATATACGGAATTGCCAGAAAATTATCAGTACGAGCATGGCTTAATAAGAAATGTTGCTCAACTTTAAAGAAACTAGAAAAATGCAACTCTTATAGTGTCAAATAGGCTTTTAAATATACAACACAAGATGTGTATATGTTTTGACAGAATAAGGACATCATAGGGGGTAGCTTTGTTCTACCTGCAGTAATTTTGCCATTACGCTTAACCAATCCAATGGCATATAACTATTATAACATTTCCTATTAAAAGTAAGTTTACACATAATAAATCTACTGGATTTCAATTGTCAGTTCCATTGCGTATACATAAAATGAAACCCACTGGATTTTATAGTCGATTATATTTGACGTATAAGCAATGAAGTGGAAATTTAAAACCACTCGATTAGCAACTGTGTCGATCGGTCTCAAAAAAACTAAAATACTTATAATAACTACAACAGCAATAAGATTTTTGGTAAAAACCAGACTAATTTAATTGTTAATATTATTGTGATTTTTTAATTATGACGTTCAATTGTGAATTATAACAAAGTGAATGTAAACGTACTTTTATTCTTCACACATAAAAAGTACGACATACGCTTACAATGGCAAACCGTATTTTGTTTCTACATGCCATGCGTCCTTACTTATTTCATTTAGATGCAGTCATATTGTGTTATAAAGTTTCGTTCAGTTCGTGAAGTTTCGTTTAAAAGAGATATAGGTGTGGTAGAACTGTCAAAAGTGTCGCTTATTATTGTGGTGGAGGATATAAATTTGTTAGCAGAAGAAAATTATTTTTTTAGCTTGTAATGAATATTTTACTTGAAAAAGAACTGAAATAATATAGCAAAAATAAAAATAGCACAAATTTTGTGAATTATTAAGCACAAAACGTAAGTGTATGTGTGTGAAATGCAGTGTAAAGTTTTAAGGTGTGAATTATGAATACGCGAATCGGTCGGAAAAAATTCTTCATACATATAGATGTGAAAAAATTAAATACATTAATAAGAAACCCCCCGTCCACCCCCACCTCGCTCTGATTCTTCTCTTTGCTTGTGTATGTGCCTGTAGTGAGAATAAATAAATGAGAGCCGTGTAATTGTGTCTCCTCCAGTCGATGATGATTTTCCATTTCATTTTCCAAGAGTGAGTCAAAAGTGATTTGGTTCTTTGCTTGGTGTGAAAACAACCACTGTATGTATGCATGAAGGCAGGCACAGGCAGGCAGTCATTTTATCGTCGTCAAGTTGTATTGTGTCGATACACTCTCTCCGTCTCACTCAGTTTTTTTCGTTGTATTATTAATCAAGTGTTCCCCCTGTGTCGTTAGTTCGTTCGTTCGTGGTGGTGCAAATTGCAATTTTGGATTTTGGTGTACAAAAAACCAACCAAAAGAAGAAAATCGAAGTTAGTGAGAGAATATTGTATCGTATGTGACTAGATTAGAATTAATAAAAAAAATATTAAATAAAAACACCAGTGGTTTTTGTTGGTACATTGTACAAATTTTGTTTTAACGGCATTTCCTAATTTGCATACGATAGTAATTTTTTTTTTGAAGAGCAATGAAACTGAAACAGAAATGAATAAATTTCACCCCTTGTACTACTAAAAGTACGATCGAAGTCTCGAACGGAGGAGGAAGACATTAGAAAAAATATACATATACATACAAAACGGCAAAAGTAAAGAGAAGAAAAAATTGTGTGTGGAGAAGTGGTGGAGCGGACGTCAACTGTGAACGAAGCACAAGAAAAAAGGAGAATCATTTATACAGCAGTGTTTTTTCAACAGGAGAAAAACGATACGAGAGTACTCCCAGGCAATTTAACAAAAAGAAAAAGTAATATATTCGGAAAATTATCAAGAAATTGCGAATTTGTCGGCCGGACTAGGATTGTTGTCATCCGAGGCGGAGACCAGCGTAGTGAAAAAAAACACCTAGGTGAGTTGTAACACATATGTACTGGGAATTGAGTTCCTGGTAACTAAATTGTCAAGATAATTTATTAGAACTAACACCGCACCTTTTCGTAACTTTTTTCTTCTCATTTGCCACCCCCTGACGCCCGCCGACCCGTTCGTTTGCCTGTTCGTGTTCATCATCGCCGTCATCATCATCATCGCCGTATTCAACTCAATCTCACAATTTGCGGCCTTATTCGAACCTCCACCTTTAAAGATATAGAGATTTTCACCATCATCATCAAAACAAAAAAAATTAAATCAGCAGGAAAATAATAATTATTTGCATTCGAACCTAAAGGAGTTGGAAGAATCAGCAGCTGCCGAGTACACTTGTCGGCCGTAATTCTTTTTTATACAAAACCCCACTGCACAGGGAACCATCAAATAGACCACACATATACGCACGCACGCACGCACACACATTATATATAAAAGTCTACGAAAATGAATGAGTTGGATAGTTTGAGACAAGAAGCTGAATCCCTCAAGAATGCCATACGCGATGCCCGAAAGGCTGCCTGTGACACCAGCTTAGTGCAGGCAGCTGCGTCCTTGGAGCCCATTGGCCGTATACAGATGCGTACAAGGCGCACCTTGCGAGGACATTTGGCGAAAATCTATGCCATGCACTGGGGCAATGACTCACGTAACTTGGTATCTGCCTCCCAGGATGGTAAACTGATTGTTTGGGACTCTCACACTACAAATAAGGTCCATGCCATACCACTGCGCTCGTCATGGGTAATGACGTGCGCTTATGCGCCCTCCGGCAGTTATGTGGCCTGTGGCGGTCTAGACAATATGTGTTCAATTTACAACTTAAAAACCCGTGAGGGCAATGTTCGCGTCTCCCGTGAATTACCCGGTCATGGTGGCTACTTGTCCTGTTGCCGTTTCTTAGACGATAATCAAATTGTGACCAGCTCGGGTGATATGACATGTGGTTTGTGGGACATTGAAACCGGCCAACAAGTAACCTCGTTCTTGGGTCATACAGGCGACGTTATGGCGCTGTCGCTGGCACCCGCTTGTCAAACATTTGTGTCGGGCGCTTGTGATGCCTCCGCCAAGCTATGGGACATCAGAGAGGGCGTTTGCAAGCAGACATTCCCTGGCCACGAATCGGATATAAATGCGGTGACATTCTTCCCCAACGGCCAGGCATTCGCAACAGGTTCAGACGACGCCACCTGTCGTTTGTTTGATATACGTGCCGATCAAGAATTGGCCATGTACTCGCACGACAATATCATCTGTGGTATTACATCGGTGGCATTCTCAAAAAGTGGACGTTTACTGTTAGCTGGCTATGATGATTTCAACTGCAATGTTTGGGACACAATGAAGGCCGAACGTTCGGGCATATTGGCCGGCCACGATAATCGGGTCTCCTGTCTGGGTGTGACCGAAAATGGTATGGCGGTAGCAACGGGCTCATGGGATTCATTCTTGCGTGTGTGGAATTAAGGAGGAAACATAACGACAACAAAAACAACATTACATTATGTTTTAAGTCAAAAAAAGAAAAACCAACAACAACAAATCACAACAAAAATCAACAACAAACAGCCTACAACAAACAAAGATGATGTTTAGTACTATATATTATTATAGTTTAATACAAATAATATGAACAAAACAAAAAGAAAAAAACAACCACAAAATCTGCAAACAAGCAACATAAACCAACAAACAAATGCCGTGGTTTTCGCATATACATATATAATGGGTAAAGTTAGGTTCTGAGGATGAGAATCCGAATCCGAAAGGTCGTAATGCAAAGTTAGATTTTCTATCAGACTAAAAGAATATCCAACAAAACTAGTCTTGTGTTTTGAATATAGTTTACAAATCCATTTCAATTTGATATTGGTTATAATGAGAACAGTATTATATGAATTCACTTATTTATTGGTTGTGCCATAGTGGGCATACCTGTAATAGAAAATGATAAAAAAAAACAACTTACAAATTTAAATCAGTTACTGCTAATTTTTTTAAAATTTATTTCAATGTGTTGTTAATTTAATTATCGTTATAACCATATGTATTTGTAAGTTATATTCAATACAGCACAAATATCCAAATCTAAAACTTAGCGCAAAACTTTGTAATTTCTTTCAGTCCACCGTTAGCTTTTTTACTATTAATACTTTCCTCTATATACCATTTTTCCTTGTTTTTAATTTAAACAAATGATTTGTCGTAATTTTTCGCCAAATCATAATCTCAATATCCTGAAACAAATTTGTCCTGGCATAAAATATTATTTATATTTTATTAGACAAAGAAGGAGAACAACTATACATGAGAAATAACACGCGCGCAATTTACACGCACATTCATTTTTACACAAATCTTAACTTAAACGAAAAGTGAAACTGCATAACAAACAACATACGCGACACGAAAACACACACACACACAAATATACTATTCAAAACAAATTTGCAACAATAAAAAAGCGATATATAAATGGTGAAAAGTTGAAGGCTTGATTAACAGCAGAAATGTTAGTCAATCATAAAGGAAAAGATATATACACACCACATACCATGGTAGACGAATATAGGTAGATGCATCAATGCTTGAGAACATTGATATGTCAAAATTGTTGAATGTTTTTTTTTTTTTTTTTTTTTTTCAAAAATACGTATATTTATATTTATTTTTGTACACGACGCCATTCGGAGGTTGTTATGATATGCATTTTTCTAACACTTTTTACAAATTTGAATGATTTTTCATTCAAAATTTAAATTTCAAAATAGATTTGACAGTTCATTGTCCCAGCAGCTGTGTCGATGCGATTATCTGTATTCTTCTACCATGCCACATACTTTAAATATACGTTATGTATATTCGAGTCGGCTGAAAGTGGTTCAAAATTCACATAATTTTTACCACTATGGGATTATACTACCTGTTTTCTTCCTGTATGTCGTATGATGCCCTATTTCAAACAATAATAATAATATTAATATACAATGACGTCAATGGATAATAATCGTCGTATATTATTCGAAGATGAATTTACAAATTTTCATTTCTAACATTTGAGTATGTTGTCTAAAAATGTGCATGGAGATTGTTAATCAATCATTTCGATTTCTATAAGAAATTCCCTCCCTAAAAAAGTAGTCAGCAATTTCCCAAAACCTTTCACTTCCTTTTCTCAATGAAACCCTTAGTTTATTTTTGGCTTAAATACACATTCAAATACGATTTGAGGAAGAAACCGGCGCCATTTTTCGAACAATTTTTGGAACTCCTCTTCGACAGTATGTGTTATGTGTGACGTATATTTTGTTTTAATATAACAGAGAAAAGTTTAAATAAATATTATTTTTTTAATTTTTCTACCTTAGGGACATTTATTATACATCTACACACACGTACACACACACAGAACCAAATTATAAGAAAAAGTTTAAGAATAAAGCATTTACAAAACCACAGCAAGTTTATTTAAAAATAATGAAAGCAAAAAAGAAGAAGAAGAAGTAAAAAATTAAACAATGGAATAATTCTAGAAAATAAAACACACAAAATAACCAACCACGTCAAACAACAACATGAAGAAACCACAATGAATAATTAATTTAATAAGTCTTACAAAAAAATAAAACCATTTATTAATAATATTTAATTATAATAATGAATCATACACTACAACTTTATAAAAAAAATAAATACAAAATAAAGTTTCGTATTTAAGGACTTTAATTTCTAAAAATAAAAAAAAAACAAAAACAATTTAAAACAAACCAAAACAAATATAAACAAATTTTATATATGCATAAAAATTCTTATAACAAAAAATACAACAAATTAAGAACAAGAAACTAAACTAATCAAAAAAATTTATATAAAAATTAAACTAAGTTAAGAATGTAATAGGAACCGGTACGAGTTGAAAAAACAAAACAAAAAAACTAATGTCATAACACACAAATTATACAATTCTGTCTCGTAAAAAAACCTATTTTTTGTATTTTTCCAAAAAAAGCGACGTCGAAAGAACTTTTTTATATACAACACCACCAGCCAGCCAGCACATTGTATTTGACATTATAAAAGGAAAACAAAAACAGAAAAGCACCATTCATTTTGTCTCCAAAACCAACTGAGACTGACTGAGTAACAATTTCCGACCGACAGACGACAATGATAACAACAAACAGCCTAGTTATTAGTGTAGGGTCATAAAGTAGAACGCACACACAAATTAATCTATTTAGTTTGAGAGGGAGAGACAACAAGTAATGTTGTTGTTGCTCTTGTTGTAGTAGGCTACACGATGAATACTTGGTTTGCATATTTTTTTTTCGAAAACGTTCATGATGCATTAAAAATAATCATAATGATTTCGCGTTTAATATTTTTGGGGCTCACTTTTCATTGTTTTTCTACTTCTTCATCTTCTTAAATTGTTGTTGTTTATTATTACAAGAATGCAAAAATTGTATAAAGGTATAGACTAAAAAGTTATCTGTTATCTTTGAAAAAAAGTGCTTCAATAGATGTCATTTATGCTGTGAGAGAGAGCTTAAGTCTGGTCACTCAATTCTCTCAAAACACAAAATATTCAATATTTTTATGATTTGCTATAATGTATCAATTGTGAAAACAAGACAGTGACTCTGTTTACATTTACATTACCTAAATATGCAGTGAAATATTAAAATATACATCTTAAATAGCAGAAAAATGAATAAATTGTTTTCGAAGTCGAGTGACTTTACTGTTGTCCCAATGATCAACTATAGTGACATCTGCTGGAAGGGGTAAATTTTTAGACTTTTTAGTCTATTCCTTTATTTGTCTATGACCATATGTCAATGCGATACGATTTTTGTTTTGTAAAGGAATCATTCACAATTCTCCATTCAGGTATTCAGAACAAGAGTTTATGTTCAATGTCGGTAAGAAAGGAAGTTGGTCTTTTGTGTTTATCATTTCATTTTTATGGGACATTTTAGGTAGGACGTCATTTTCTCAACATCGGCATTAACACACGAAAAGTTTTATCAAACTAAAATACTAGATTTTCAAGAGATACAGAGGGGCTAGGAAAATGATATATACCTGTCATAAACTCAATTGTTTTCTTCGCAACATTTCCGGTGTCTTGAAAAGTAAATCTTGATGGAAACACATAATTCATAGAAAAATATATCCCTAGATCCTGTAACAAATCTATATTACTTCATTTATGTTAAGATTGTATGGCTTGCTGTGATTTGTAAAAGGAAAGTAAAGTACAGTTGGATTATGTTATAGACATGGTAGAAGAGAATACAGGTAGATGCATCAAAGCTTAGAAACATTGATATGTCAAAAAATGTTAAATGTTTCTTCAAACATAAGTTGACTTTTATATGTTTTCTTATACGACGTCATTCGGAGGTTGTTATAATTCGCCTTTTTCAACAATTTTTCCAAAATTGGTTTGACAGTTCATTGTCTCATGCGTCTACCTATCTTCTTCTACCATGGTTATAGACAACAAATAATATTGCAAGGCACATTTTCCCTATAAATTTTGGCAAAGAAAATTTGAGTATTTATCCCTAAAAGAGGAGATAAATATATTGGGAAAATGACTATTGTTCCCTTTGTTTCAACAACACCCTTTTTTCTTTTTTCAAAAAAAAAAAAAAAAAAAAAAAACTTTCTGTGTCTCAGACCCAAATTAAAGCTAAGTTTGTCTTATTTTGTATCCAGCTGTTGGTTGAAAATTTCTTGTAATAGTTCTGTAATCTCTTGCATTTACCAAAAATAACGTTTATAACGATTGCCAACTGGCAGTTGATGAAATATGTGTTATTGCTTCACATTATTATGTTTGAACAGTAAGCGAAATTTTCAAAACCGAATTGTTATAAACAAAATCTATTTCTCTTCTCATAATTCGAGGCAAATAATGTTGGCTTAAAATTAAAAACTACTTCTTCATATTAGTAATTATTACAACAATAAATATTTGAAATATTTCTAAATAAAAACTAAAATTTGGTTATTCATTTCCTGTTTATCTGACAGCCAGCCAGCCATTCTGAGTTCCTTCGAAAACAAAAGTAAAATACCGTTGGTTTATAAAGCTCTTTAAGTTTAAGTATATTACAAGCCATATTAATTTTAATAAAGCGCACACACACACCAATACAGAGGTTCTTATGTTTTGCCTAGTATAAACCACTAGAACCCTAACTAAATCGAGATTCTTAAAAATTAATCAAACCAGTTAGTTTTTTTTTTTTTTTTTTTTTTTTTTTTTTTGAATTACTTGCATTTAGAATCTTGTATTCGTTTTTTTGTGTTTTTTTATTACAAAAGAATTACGAATCTATGCGTTTTTAATTTATACGCACAAAGCAAAACAATATTTATTTTGAAGAAACAAAAATAAAACAAATTATTATATCATTCTTATGTAAATGTATTATTTTTATAGTTATAAATAAAAATATATATTTTTATTTTTAGAATATTTCTTCAGTCTATATTATATACATTGAAAACTACACTACTACTACTATATAATAACTATATACATGATACTTCATTATTTGTTTATTGTTGTTGTGTTTTTATGTTGATTCTCGTGTTTGAAAACGTCATTTTCACACACACACATACTAATGAAAAAGTAAAACCAAAAAAAAAAAGAATGTAAAACAAATCATCTCCTTACATTAATGTCTATGTTTATGCTTATTTATTTTATTTCTTTATTTAATAATTAATAAAACGACAAATATATTTGTTCCCTTTTTAGAATGTATATCATAATATAATAGTCCCAACAAAGAAGTGCAACGGTCATGCATACAAAAAAAATAAAAATTGTGACTTTAATTCTTATAAGCTTACCAAATGACATGTGTAAATAATTGAAAAAATGAAAACCGCCCACTCTCTCCCCCTATCATTAGGTGTGTCTGGTTACCCTAAAATTTGTAACAATTGTTACAAATTGTTACTGGAAGTCGTCTGTTAACCCGAAAGTTCTGCAGAAGGGAGCGGTTGGAGAGAAAAATTTTGACAGTTCTTTCAGTGAGAGTTTGCAAATTCTTGTTGGAAAAATTTCTTCTTGCAATTTCTTGCAACTCTTCTTCTCATTCATCGACATTCAATCAGATGTTTTCTATTGTTTGTTTATTTATTTTTCCTTACAAAAGAGTATAAAACTACCTTACTCTCTCAGGAAGAAGTTGCTGGACAATTCCTGCAGGAAAAGTTATCAGACACACCTAGTGCATCATGTGCTTTACGCTTTAGTGTGGTTCCCGCCAAGCTGTATTATAAAGGATCTAGTAAGGGGAATATAGGTGAGAGCGAGTCGTTAAAAAGTTTTCTGACAGGTCTGAGTAGTATTCATATTGAAGAGATTTTCAACATGGCATACAGAATCTTCAATCAGTTTTTCCTAGTTTTTTTTTTTTTTTTATTTCTAAGTTCTCTTATTTTTACAACATTTTGGATTTTTAATTTTCTTTTCATTTGAAAAATCCCATACCAACATTTATTATGATAATAAGCACTTCATTCGGCCGTTCGTTCAATCGTTCATATTTAATATAATATACATACAAACATCATATAGAACGAAGTATAACCACAGACGGGCCGATATATTGACCTGCTCTAACAGACAGCCCATATCCATACAACAGCCAGCACTACAAAACATCATACATTTACATTGCCATTGCCAATTTTCACACTTTTTTCACACGCAGTGCAAAACAACAAAAGGAAAATAAAAAACACACATACACACCCATATATAGTAATAAATTTTCAAAGGGTCATATAAAATCTAACATAAAACAACTAATAATAAATACAAATCTTAATAATAATAAAAAAAAAAACAAACCAAAACATACATACATACACGCAACAGACTTTCTTTCCAGAAAAAATGCAAAAGTAAAAAAAAACAACAAAGAGGAAAGCCCAATAAAATAATAATTCTAATACGAAACAAACAAAAGTTACACCCATCAGAAAAATTATAAACAATTGAAATTATTCAATGAACATAAAAGTAACAACAAAAACCAAAATTGAGATAAAAAATTGACATCTAAAAGGAAAAAAGGAAACTCATATTTAAAAATCTGTAATTATAAAAATTAAAAATAAAATTTAAATAAAAATACATTTGCTTAGTTAGTGTAAAAGTTTATTTTTATTTTCAATTACTTTTCCAGTACGATTTAATTAATCAGTGTTCTTTTACATTAGACTACTATTGTACAAAAAAAAGGACTTCCAGTACCACATTTTCTTTTGCAAACGGTATTTGTGAGAAAAAAATATATAGTTAGGTAAGAAATTTAGGTTTTTTTGAGGCTTTGTAGCATGGTAGGAGAATACAGGAACGCTGAAAACATTGATATGTCAAAAATTTTAAAATGTTTTTTCATATATGGTTTCTTATACGATGCCAAATTAACGTTGTTATGATATGCATTTTTCAACAATTTTGACTTCAATACAGCTGCTGGGACAATGTCAGGGCGATTTTGAAATTGAAAATCGTGAATGAAAAATTATTGCAATTTATAAAAATTGCTGAAAATACATATCATTACAATCTCTGATTTGCGTCAAAACACTTTCAAATTTTTGACATATCAATGTTCCCAAGCATTGATGCATCTACCCATGGTACAATGATATCAAGGTAGGGCTATGATACCATATGATTTCAATTTTTTTTATTTTCTTGGATTAATATGTCATCTTTATTTGTTTATGTATGTGTTTTCTTTTCAATAACAAAAAATTGTTCAGAAAAGATTAAAATTCGGATGTTTTCAAAATGTTTATTTCATCGTATGCATCGACAAAATCTAGAGTTTTTGTAGCGAAATAATCCTTTAGAGATATATAGAACCTGGTTATGAAAAGAAGTGCTGACCTTTCATTCAGTTTTCGCGGTTTTCAATTATTTATTCAAAATAAATGCAACAAGTTGTTTGATTTTGTTATTGTTTTGATACTATTTCTGACATTACAAGCCAAACAGGCAGACCTCTATACTTGCAATTTTTTCAAAGTTGACCTACCTTCTCTTCATTGTGCCATGCATCTACCTATATTCTTCTACGATGCTTAATACAATAAATGTCTCAATGTTTGCATGAGGTTTACACAAGACGATTGGTTTTCTATCTGAGTTCTATTAAACTACTACAAGACATACAGATCCGGTATTGTAGTCACAGTCTATTATATTTCCAAAAGAGTGAATGCAAACAATTTCGATATAAATGTCAGATTATGAGAAGAAGACTGAACAAGCTTTATTTTATTGCCAGAACTTAATAGATTCCTCCCCGATACGTCTAGAATTCTCAGTAAGGAAAAAAATATTTCCCCAATTCGTTCGCTTTTATAATACTTTTAGGTAAGCGGACAATTCTCTACTCGATGTACAGAGTGAGATGAAAAAACTGCAACCAACTTCAGACTGCTGTCATTTCTAAGCCACTCGTCCGACAGCTGTTAACATTATTCCAGTGACAGCTCATTATATGGTTTACAAGCGTGCAAAAGAATTTTGGTGGGAACTTTCCAGAAAAAAAGTTATTCGTCGGCTGGATAACCACAAGTGGCTATCGTTAGAGCACTCCAGCATTTAAAAGTGAATAAATCTTTTGTGTCTCGTACCATCGCTCGTTACCGTGATACTGGTAGCGTAGCCCGACGTCAAGGAATTGGACGGAAGAAAACTCCAACATCAGCAGAAATGGTTCGAAAAGTAAAAAAAGAGACTTGATCTAAACCCGCGTCATAGTGGCCGAAAAATGGCTCGTGAGCTGAACATATCGCAATATTCCTCGGGCTCGCTTGGCCGAAAAAGGTGAATTGCCGAATTTGGTTTTCTCCAATGTGAAAACATCGGTTGTCTGTTTATTTGTTTACAATCTGCTGGCCATGGTGATGGTGTGAGCCGCCATAACAGCCGATGGTCGCTCTGCGCTCGTAATAATCGACCGTGGCATCATAATAAATGCCGAATATTATCGCGAAAATATTCTGGAGGGTCTAGTAAAATCTTGGGCACGCAAACATTATGGCCGCAGACATTGGACATTTCAACAGAACTCAGCACCATCGTACTCAGCACGCGCCAACCAAGAATGGTTACAAAATGAGATTCCTCGCTTCATTTCCAGCGCACAATGGCCACCACCAAAATCTCCGGATACCAATCCGTTGGACTATTGTGTCTGGAGTATTTTAGAAAGCAAGGTTGGTACTAAAAATAAAGTGTCGATCACCTCAAGCAAGCACTTCGGCGGGATTGGGCCAAAATACCGCAGAGCAAAATTCGGGCAACGTGTGACTGTTTCATTACCCGTTTGAAGGCCAAAGGTGACCAATTCGAACAAATCCAAACTTATTCTAAAATTGTATGCTATTTCCGACATTCTTTGCTTCATTCAATAAAATTAAAAAAAATGTAAACAATATGGCTTTTGACTTTGTTGCAGTTTTTTTTTATCTCATCCTGTAAACAACTGCTTGTTTTTTTTCGCAAAATTAGGGTTAAAGAACATTTGGATACAAAAGTTCTCACCTGACATTATCGCGTAGGTACCATGGTACAATGAAAATAAAAGTAACCTCATAACAAATTAGCATTCCCAGCTCTGCATTTTCTGTAATTTACCTTGTCAAATTTTAATGCATAAAAAACAGCTCCCATCTCTGATTTTGTGTGTATACAATGGATTTATGAATATAGACTTTGACAATGAGATGTTGTTTAAAAAATTGTAAACATATGATGGCATGACTTTACCTTCTTAGTTCCACCATGCAGGCGATCTATACAAAATCTAAGCCCGTGCTAGCATACTCTCATTAGCAAATCCGGTTGAAGAAGTTTACCTGGCAAAAATCTAATGTAAACATACTATCACATTTCTATCAAAACCTACTTGTTTAGACTAGTTTAAAATTATAAAAAAATGTCAGTCAGCTGATCTTAATGTACGTATATATAATTAATTTATATTATAAAAACAATATATGAGCACTCTTAATATGCGAATGTCCGACAGAATTTTTTCCTTGGGAAAATGCTCAGATAAATTATCATCGAATATATAGTTTACAATATATATGTAATTAAAGGCATAATTTTCTTTCGATTCTGCATACATATTATTAATTAATTTTTCCAAATGCGTTTGCTTTTTGTGTTTCTCTTTGCAATTACTTCAAAATTGAAAAAAAAAAATCAAAGTTTTCTGTTGATTTATTGTTTGGTAAATCATCGATAAAGATAAAGCCCTTAATCATAGTATATCTTTTCGCACCAAGACCACCACTAAACCATGGTACAATGAAATAAAGATAATCTCATTTCCCAGCTCTGCATTTTCTGTAATTTACCACGTTAAATTTCAATGCATTAAAACAGTTCCCATCTCTGCGTTTATACAATGGACTTATGAAAATTGATTTTGACAGCGAAATGTTGTCAAATGTGTAAGTTTTGGAAAAATTGTAAACATATTACATGACTTTACTTTCTTATAGCACGTTTACGTTGTACAGGATTTAGAAAACCCGGTCATTTTTAATTGTCAATTCCATTGCATATATCTCAAATAAATCTTTATGAAGAATGTTAACCCGGAAAAGGCTTTAACGTAAACATGGCTTTAGTTCTGCCATGCACTAAAATTCGATTAAACTTGTTTTTTGTACTTTGTCCTAAATAAACACAATATAATTGAAATATGTGTGCCAAAGAACAGCTGATTGATTTTTAACGGCGCTCGTTGACGGCGTAGTTTTTCACACAAAACGGCTACGACTTTGTGTTTCGCGCGTTTTTCTGTCAAAAACATTTATTTTGCAGTTTAGAGAGCTTGAGCATAATATATTGTTGATTTGGTTAAAGTTTTGTTTTTGTCAATAAAATTTGTGTGTTGCGATTCGCTAGGACAGTTCTAAAAACGTATATCAAAATTTGCAATTAAGATTTGCGAATGATGCGCAATTCTACAGGTGGAACATCAACTTCGGCCAAAAAGAGTCACAACACTACATCAAAAAATGATGATGAAAAGAACAGTGCAAAGAAATTGGTGCAAGCACGATTACCTTTCAAAGTTATTGCACCCGGTTCATCACCGACCATTGCTGCCGAAGCTGCTACTACGCCTAATGAACGGGATGCCTTGAAAGAGGGCAAAAAGGATGCGCGTAAACGCAAACTTTCATATGAATCGGAGGAAAATGACACGGAAATTGTTCAGGAAGTTGATAATGTGAGCAAAGAAAACGTTGAAATTAAAGGCGGCGCCACTGCCAAGAAGAAGAAAATTACTTCAACAAACAATGAAGATGAAGTTGAATGCATTTCGCTTTTAGATGACGAACAGGAAGATTTAAAGAATAGTTCTCGTGTAGACACATCGTCCTCTAAGGCTGGATCCACACTAAAAACGCCTAAAACAGGAACCAAGGGAAAGTCAAAAGGTGCTGGAACACCGCAACCAACCGTCACACCCGGGAGTGAACACAAGGGCAAGGGTGGTGGTAATAATACAAAATTGCAAATCAAATTGCCACTAAGTGCAGGCAAACGGAATAAACGTCGAAAATCAAAAGCCAATAATTCTTTGGCTAACACATCGGCGCTAGATTCGTCTTTGCAAAATAATTCGTGTGCTGATTCCTGCGATGATATCGAGGAAATATCTGGGGAACTGAATCCACAGAAACGGACTAAACTAGATTACGATGAAGGAACACAAAAGCAAACAAATGATACAGCTGCGAAAGTAAGTACAAACTTAATGGTTTTTATTATGAAGACTTGGGGTTTATCTTCCTGTATAAAGATTATAGGGATACACTTGACTCCATATTTATCAAAATTTCATTTCTTTGTCACACTCATCATTTTTGTGAAACATATGTATGCATGCTTTAACATTTCCCGGGAAGTATATTCTTAGCACACACTTTAAGGTTAATCCTAGGAAAATCCTCTTTAACTATTCAAAATACGCCTTAAACCAAATGCGGTACAGTCTCAGTTTGTCCGAAATAAGTAAATTCATACAATCGTTACCATCTAATAGCGGACATGAATTTCCTATCTAGTCAATTTTCTCCAGATACCATTCTAAATAAAAATATTAAGCTATTATTTTATAATAACAATTATTAAAAGAAATTGATGATCAAACTTAATTATATTAGAAATTAAAATGTATTGTTTTGCTTCAAATTGTATGAGTATTAATTTGGTTTTCAATTGTAGGACAAAGAATCTATACCTTTAGAAACCGATTCTTCTTCCGATGAATGTAATAAATCCGAAAAGGCGACAGAATCTCGTAAAACATCAACGGAAGTTGAGGCACAAAATGAACATAAGAAGTCCGAAAAAAACATATCCAAGAGCATTAAAGGAGTTTTAAACCCATCTTCTGAAAATAAGAAAATTTTAAGTAAAAAAGATAACCTAGAAGAAAGTATTGTAATAGACAGCGATGATAATAGAACTATTGATGATGATGAAGAAAATGAGGATGATGATGATGACGATGATGAAGATGCTGATGATGAAAGAGATAATAATGTGACCGCAAAGATATCAGCAAATACCTCATCAGACAATAATGAGGTATCAAACGTGTCCAAACACAATACCACAATCGAATCCATAAGAGATGAGGATGGGTTAAAAAACAAAAATTTAACACCAAAACAAAAAAAGCTTTTGGAACAGCGACAGAAGGCCCGAGAGGAAAAGGAACGCAAACTACAGGAAGAAAAGCGCAAAAAACAACAAGAAAAAGAAGAAAAAGAGTTGGCAAAGAAACGCGAGCGCGAAGAAAAAGAAGAACAAAAACGCAAAGAACGAGAAGAAAAAGAGGAGCAGAAACGCAAAGAACGTGAAGAAAAAGAACGTAAACGTCTAGCGGAGATAGAAGCAAAGAACGAAGAGAAAAGGAAACGCAATGAAGCTAAAGAAGAAGAACTGCGTAAAAAAGACGAAGAACGCAAGCGTAAAGAACAGGAAAAGGAAGAAGCTGAGCTTAAAAAGAAGAAGGCAGCGGAAGCATTTACTAAATTCTTTGTAGCCAAAACTCCCGCCACTAATCAACAAAATGTTGAGGACGACGAAAACACAGGAGATGGCACCAAAAGCTTGGCATTTCGACCATTTCAAATCAAGGGTGATATGAAACTGGCTCCCATTAGTCGAAAAATTCTCTCTGAGGATGCTAAAAGTCGTGTTGACCATCTCTTGGGATTGCATGGAAGTGCAGATGAGGACGATGAGAAAGTTGTACGAGTCAAACCACTACCAAAATCTAAGTTGTATTTGTCCGAGTTACGTTCAGGACAAATATTGCCAGGTAAATGGAGACGTCCTTCAACAGATTCAAAGGATGATGTGGTCATAGTTGGTAAGTAACATGCAAAACAATCTTTTCTTAGAATTACAACTATAAACACAATGTATTTAATGTAGAAGACGAACTGGAACGTGTTGGCGAAGCCATTGTGGAAGACACTCCTGCGTACATACGTGAAGAGATGCGGGTGAAATTCTATAAATTCCATGACAACCGGCGTCCCCCTTATTATGGTACTTGGCGTAAAAAGTCCAAAGTTATTACTGGAAGGAAACCATTTGCCCAGGATACCGTATGTTATGCTAGCTATAGGCTATACCATATTTCGCAATTTATAATTTTCAATATTTCAGAAATTTTGCGATTATGAGGTGGATTCGGATGATGAATGGGAAGAAGAGGAACCTGGCGAGTCCCTTGAAGATGGCAGTGACGACGACAAAGAAAAAGAATCAGAAGATGATGACTATGAGGTAGACAATGAATGGTTTGTGCCACATGGACATTTAAGTGAAGAAGAAATGCAAAACGAAGATGAACTTGGCGAAGACTGCAATGATCGTGAAGCTCAGAAGGCGAAACTGAAAATTATACAACAAGAATTTGCCCAAGAAATGAAAAAGAAGACCGAAAAAATTAAACCACGTCTTATTGGCTGCATATGGATTGATAGCTCTGGCCGGCAACCAACATCTTGTCCAAGTATTATTTGGGATAAATTAAATACAAGAGCGATGCTATGTTCAGATCCGCCCATATTGGAGGAACCTGAAATTGAAGATCCACCCTCACCATCTGCATCAAATTCCGGATGTGAAAAATCATCGACAGCCGTTGAGAAGATCAAACCTGTCACAATAACTGAAGCGATGGTCAAAGATTTGGTTAAGCTGTTGCATGGAAACAACAAATCCAAGGTGTTCCTTATTAAAGAGTTTATAGCCTATATATCAAAAACTGAAGAGTCCGTAATAAATGGCGAATTTGCAAACCCCCTGAAGAGTGCAATTCGTGAAAAAATTGATTCCATGGCAGAATGGCAAGTTGTGGAGGCCCAACCGCAAACCGCCGATGATCTTAATGAAAGCCTCAAGAAAAAAAAGAAGACCAAGAAACGTCTGTGTTGGGTTGTAAACAAGGAAACTCTTGATAAATTGGATATGTCGTCGTTAAGTTTAACAAATGATTGGGAATACACGTTAACACCAAAATTAAAAGCAGACAAAGGGGAAAATACTAAATTAGAAGAGGATGGAAATCCTAAGTCATCAGGTGAAACTGTAGAAATGAACGGAGATAGTAAAAGTCACGTTGCAACAGTGAATAATATTGTAGATATTAAGGAATCCAAAACAAAGAGTGTAAATTCTCCTATTACAAAATTTGCTCAAGTCCTTACAAAGGCAGAGGAAAAGGCCAATAAAGATGTCGCATCATCTTCCACCAATTGCAATACATCCCCCAAATCACCAAAAGATTCCAGTAACAAAAGAACTACAGAGAGTAAAACCAAAACTTCGCCCGGTCCAGCCAACAAAGAAAAGAAACGGGTGTCTCTTGGCAGAAGTCAACAAGCCGCGACACCTGCTAAAAATAAACTAATCAGTCAATTTTTACAGAAGGGTAGCAATAAAAAAGCTGCCTCGTCCCCTTCAACTGCAACAAAAAGAAATCCGAATGCATCAATTGTGGTTGATGACGACGACGATGTTGTAATACTGGACTAATGACAATAACCTACGACAACTGTATTGGAAATTGTTTGAAGTTTTGATTATTTATTCTTATGGATTGTCCGCTATTGAGTTTTGTCTTTTCTCCTACACATATTTGGCATTGTATTAGGTGCTCCGATATATTGTATTCATATATGTTAGTGTTATAAGTAACCTATCTAACGTTTATTACATTTTATTTAGTTAACAACTCTAGGTGTATTTTTACAAAATAATTTTTATCATTTGAACACGCAACACACACACACTCCCCGCACATAATTACTTGTAGAGCATAAAAGAAGAAAGAAACCATAAACGTTTGTAATTTTAAAAGTTTACAGTTTACATTTTTACACAATAAAATAAGTGTTAATAAGAAAATATTTTTTTTTTAAACAAAATGGAATTTGGAACAAATTATTACTTTTTACGAACAGAAGTTATTAGCAAAGGTAAAATACGGCGGTTGTTTATTTCAAAATGTCAATAATGATCAAAACTTACCGGCCGAACTTTTCAATTAATTTAATTTCTTAAACCAATCATATTTTTCCAGACGCTTGTGTACAGCTTTTCCACAGACATACAATTCAATTTTGCTATCCTCCGAGTTGTCGGAATTTGCATCATCCATGGTGACGTCATTTTCATTACGGCGTTGTTGATGGAGTGCAAAGTCAAATGCAATGATAGAATGCAACAAAAACAAACAGCCACAATAGAGAGCAGCAATGCTTTGGGCTTTTGAATATTTAAAAAATGGATGGGGTTCTTCTTTTTCGTCGTGCTCGTCTTGGCGTGATATTAAATATGTCAGGTAGAAATCTTTCTCGGCATGAAACATACTGTCCACAGAAACTGCTATAAAACATACAGCAGCAAGTAGATTAATGCCACCCTCCCACCATGGGTGAACACTTTCGGATTCCTGTAGGCAAATGGCCAAACAACCATACATAGCCATCAATGTAAATCCACCGAATATACAACAATAGGTATAGTGCGTTTGTACAAAATCCACATTGAGAAAACCACTGGTATGATATCCAAGGCAGATTAGACCCAGAATAATTTCCATTATTTTGAAGAGAAAGTTGACCTTCTGCATTTTCTTTGTTTAAAAAATGTTATTCTCTATTTGAAAGAACATTTAAATTACGTTTCGTTTGGGTGTTGCCAACCTAAACATATACTACATGGTTGGCAACACGACGAAATGTGAGGCCAACGCCATCTGTTACATAGATAAATAGAAAATCCAAAGTAAACAAAAGAGCGCAATTTAATTGTGACAATTTGACGATAGGTGTCGTTGGCATAGACAAATGAAAATATAGACGAAGGAATGCTCTACCGCTTATCATCGAAAAAATTCGAATCCGTGGATGATAGACGACGTTTCAGTGAGAAAAAGTTAAAAATGTAAGTAACGCGATGACGAATAACACGGGTACAGTCAAGTGAAATTCTTGAAAAAACGGTGAAATGTGTTTTCGAAGTCGAGTAGGTCGACCGCCTAAATTAGCATGTTGAATATGCAAAATCATACTAACTTTCCGTATTTAGCTTCTTCAGAAAACGAATTTTTTTTCGGTTTGGCCATGTAGGTCCACGTTTTGGTATAGCCCGGTATTTTGGTGATTTTAGCGACATTATTCACCGGAATTGTTTCAAATTTGGTATTCGAAGTTTGTAATGAATACTACAGCCTATGACTGAAAATTGTCTGTGCAGGTCTACGTCTTCGTATAGCCCCCATATAATGGTACCTCCCTATATTCGGTATTATGATGATTTAAGCGACATTATTCACTGGAATTGTTTCGAACTTGGTATTCGAAGTTTGTAATGAATACTACAGCCTATGACAGAAAATTGTCTGTGCAGGTCCTAGTCTTCGTATAGCCCCCATTAACGGTACCTCCTGATATTCGGTATTTTTATGGTTTTAGCGGCATTATTCACCGGGATTGCTTCAAATTTGGTATTCGAAGTTTGTAATGAATACTACAGCCTAAGACAGAAAATTGTCTGTGCAGGTCCACGTCTTCGTATAGCCCCATATAACGTTACCTCCCGATATTCGGTATTTTGATGATTTTAGCGACATTATTCATCCGAATTGTTTCAAATTTGGTATTCGAAGTTCGTAATGAATACTACAGCCACTACAGTCCACGTCTTCGTATATTATTTCAAGTTTCGTATTTGAATATTGTAATGGATTATGACAAAAGTTGCCTATGTCGTCGTATAGACGCTTATATAACGGCTACATTTGACATTTTAAAGATTTTAAAAGAATTTTTAACGGATTTTAATTTTTTTGAAAATGGTCAAATTCATTCCAAATGATGGAGGGGTAGGTAATCACAGTTCGGCCCGGCTGAACTTACAGCTTTTTTACTTGATCAGGTACTACCAAATGGTACAAAATGAAATAAAAAAAAAACCAATCCATATACATATACCTCTGTCTGCTATATTTATTTCAATTTTTCTTAATACGAGAATATGGGTTGTCATCATCATCAACATTTTTGTTCTTTACTAAAAATGTAGAATCTACCTTTGCTTTTTGTTTTAGAAAAATAAATCGTCTTTGAAGGGAAATAAAATATAAAGTAAATAGTTTTTAGTTGATGTGTGTGTTTGTGTGGGTGTATTTGTATGGGTGCTAGTGGTAAATATGTAATGGTTATGTACATGAAACATGTTTTTTTTTCATTTTCTTGCATCTATTACAAAACTCTAAAATAAGTTGTCATATTATCGACAATGTCTTTGAATTAACATTAATAAGGCATATGATAATAAAAGTAGTTATTTTTAAAAAATACATAGGTAATTATATAATGTTAATTATTATTATCATCATCATGTTGTTCTCGTTCTTGTGTCTGTGTGTATGTGTCTGTGTTGGTGTATGTAATTTTTTTTTGAATTTGTAAAAGACTGTACAAATAGTATTCTACATATCAACAACAAATAATGAATGTCGCGCTTTATCTTTTGTCTTTTTGCCTTCTTTACTACTACTATCCACTATTATTTTCACATAAAAAATAAACAACAAAAAAACCTATACCTAAAATGTGTATGTGTGTATACATATATGTATATATATAATATTCATTAATTAAAGACTAAACTATATTTTAGTACTGCTTCATTATTTTTATCTGTTTGTCTGTTTTTTTAGAGTGTCCATATTGATGATTGCCACATTATTGTTATTATTGTTATTGGTAGTAGTTGTAAGTTTATAATTTTTCGATTTTCATTACGACGTCTTCCGATAAAATCGTATGTCCTCTTTGAAAAAGTGTTGCTTGTTGTCTTCTCGTCAAGGAATACTCAAAGGCTTGAAATAAGCTCGACAGAAAATTGTCGCCGCGGATGGCGGTAAGTCCTGATTCCGATAATACATATTACATTCTTTCTCTGTGAGTTTATCGAAGACCGCAGCATATTCACGATGAAATGTGACCAAGTCCACATTGGAGCGTCCAATGGCGGTGAGAGCCAAAAACAATATATCCCGATATATTGAATGTGAACGATCCACACCACTGTGCTTTAGTTTGTGGCGTTCGTTTGCCAATTTTTTGACGGGCATCAACAGATCATTGCAACGTATGGCTGTGACAATTTGCTGGATAACACTGCAAAGTAGAGGAAGCAATTTTGTTTTAAAGTGGGAATAATTTATATATAATTTTTTATATACAGGCTGATATTAATAAACTGCAACAAAGTCAAGAGCCATAATTTTTAAATTTTTTTTAAATTTTATTGAATGAAAGCAAAGAATGTCGGAAATAGAATCAAATTTTACAATAAGTTTAGATTTGTTCGAAATGGTCACCTTTGGCACGAATTATGAGTCTTCAAACGGCCAATGAAACCGTCACACGCTGCCGTGATGTTGCTCTGGGTATTTTGGCCCATTCCCGGCGAATCGCTTGCTTGGGATGATCCTTTTGGTATTATTTAGTGCCAAAATTGCTTTCCAAAATACTCCAGACACAACCGTACAACGGATTGGGATCCGGAGATTTTGGTGGCTTCTGTGTCTGGAGTATTTTGAAAAGCAAAGTTGGCACTAAAAAATATCAAAGTGTCGATCATCTCAAGTAAACTCTTCGCCGGGAATGGCCCAAAATAGCGCAAAACAACATTCTAGCAGCGTGTGACAGTTTCATTGGCCGTTTGAAGACCATAATTCGTGCCAAAGATTACCAATCCGAACAAATCTAAGCTTATTCTAAATTTTGATGCTATTTCCGACATTTTTTGCTTTCATTCAATAAAATTAAAAAAAAAAATGTAAAAATTATGGCGTTGTTGCATTTTTTTTATCTCACCCTGTATATAATAAGAATCATATTAGGCCCAATTACGTAAAAATATAATAGTCTCCAAAAACGGAAGGTATTATAGATTAATTTCAATTACTTTTTAAAAATATTTCATCGCTTACAGAATGTACTTACTTCTTATTCAGCTGAGCCTGATCGGTGAGCAAAGCTTTTATCAATGGACTTGTGGTTGGCGTTTGCCTATGCAAAATATACATAGGCAAACCTGCCTCACTGTGCAACTGTAAGTTATCCCACAGGCATTGAATTTTAACATGTTTCACTTTGCTAAGCGGGTCAATATTGCCATCATCCTAAACAAAATAATCGATATATATATATATATATATATTAATCTCAATTCTATAGAAATGCATCAAATCACAATAACCTACCGAGGGTGGACAACATAAATCGGGTAAATGGGTTTTACTTTCGATACGTTCCATAATCCACAATAAATTCCAATAGACAATTTTATGTTCTTCCACGAAATTGGCTTTAAGCAATGCAAGGTCTCCTTCTTGGGTCAAAATATTTTCCAAATACTTGCGCAAGACCAGGGGGTTTAAATAGGGCACATTTGTTTCGATAACTTTTTCGTCAGTTTTGCTGGCATCTTGGACAATGATGCGCACACTTAAATTGGGGACGGTTGGTTTGTTACACGCATGGCAAGTTGTATTCAAATTTGAATCTTCGGCCGACCAGCCAGACATAATCTCTTCGTCGTACAGCAGAACTGAGCAGTTGTGGCATTGGGAACATGATGTCATTTGTATCAACACATCGCAATCCCTAGAATCTTCCAGACCCTGGGGAGCAAGGAGAAATAGTAAATGACATAAATAAATTCAACAATTGACCAGAACTTACATCTTCCGGAGGTGTATAAAGATTTTCGGGCAATGAAAGCAGAGCTGTATTTAAATTCATTGTCGAAGTGTTCTCCCCCAGAGGTACCAAATTATTGTAGCTGGATTTACGCGATTCACTTAAACGGCTCCATGGATGTTCTAAATCACTTGAAACTCTACGTATTTTCAAAGTACCATCTTCGTGGGCAATCATATCCTCTTCACTGACTCCACTGTCTATGTAGTTTTGTGCTGAGCCGCTGGACTTGACCGGTGTGGTATTGGCCGATATGGCACCTTTAATTTCATCAAATTTTCGAGTAATGGAAGTGGCGGCATGTTTAATGCTGCTCAAACTTCCCTGGATAATTTCATTTGATTTTTTGCCAGTAAAATTTGGACTGGAAGACATATGGTTTTTAAAAATTAAATAATCAATGCAATTTATTAAAAAATAGATATTTTACTAAACTAATTGGCAGTTACTAAATAATACAACACAAAAGCAAAATGTAAGGTGTATAAATTAGTGACAAAACACATTACATAGATATTTTTTTAATAGTACCCACCACCACCAAGATATATTGAATTCGTATAAAACACACACAACGAAATCAAAAAAAAAGACCTTTGTCTCGTTGCATTTTGATTTCTTTTTTTTCTAAGAATTTGCTGCTCTTCACACACTTACCTCATATTTTGAGCAATATTTTCAATAATATTGGTGGGCAATTTCAAGTCTTTCTTAAAGGTGGACATGCGTGCAGGTGAATAACGTCTACGAAAACATTTTACAATTGGACAGGTGTATAGAAAAACAAAAAATATACATCAATGAAATTGAATGATGGAAATCATAGAATAAACTTAATTCAAAACAATAATAATGGAACCAAACATGAATATCGCGTAGCTTGGAAATTATAGTTACAAAATTGATTCTTGTAAGCTACAAAAAAGATCAATACATATAATTTTCCAAAAAAAAAAACCTAGCTTAAATCGCCGCAAGGTGGGACACATAAATTTTGGGTTTTCTTGAGCTGGAATTAACGACTCCCCACTGGTTTGAAATGAACTTTTTCCCAAAATATATAGCTTCTTAAATCAGTACTATCAGTCACTAGTTTGATAGGAGAATGAACCATATCACAACAAAATTTACAATAGGCCCAATTACGATTTTTGTTGTTGTAGCAGTAGTACATGCAAGTGTTCTTCTGATCTCTTTCCAGCTCCAGGTTTAAAAATTCGGCTACTTTAATGGGCTGTAGCCAGAGATCTTCTAAAGTGATTTGGGTAGGTTTGGCTGTGCAATTAAAGAGGTGACGCGTATGTATGTCACTCAGACCTGCCTGATAGGCTTCTTGATCTAGAGGTTCTCTCTTGTAACGTTGGACCTCCCTCTCTATCGTGAATGTCGTTCCTGACACGCCTGGGTGGGGGAGATTTATCCACTATATGATGGTTGGGATGACTCTCACGGTAACACCTAAGCAGGTACTGCAACGAAAGCATATGATTATGCTGACGTAAGGGAAGGACTTTCGCCTTCTCATGTAGATTTCCACTGGTGTCATGAGAAGGCACCCAGTCCACTGAGTAGCACTAGTGTTCGCAGCCGGCAGCACTTGGGGTGCGGACAAGAAAACCTTGTTGACCTCTTATAACGTGATAGGTCAACAAGGTTTTTTTGTCCGCACCCCAAGTGCTGCCGACTAACGCCTTGAGGACCTTGTTCCTACTTTTCATCTTGTCGCAGATGACTTGAACATGCAGTCGATTGTGACCCCTAGAATCTTGGGGTAGTTCGTGGTCGGTATAAAATTCCCCTCGACCTACACATTCACTTGCGTTCATATCTCCGCAGACCATATGGTAAAGAGTGTGGCCGTTGATTTCGTGGCTGATATTTTCATATTCCTCGCGTGGAAGTATGCGACAAGCACCGTGAGATAGGGGTTCAGCCTTTCACATATGTCATCGACCACTGGACCCGACGCCATGATCGTACAATCATCATCATTTCGGTTGTCGTTTCTATAGTCGTCTTATAGTGCAAGTCACCATCGCCGTTGCTTAGATTCGAAAATGGTATTATGGTAAGGCATAGAAGCGACATAGACAGTTTAAAAACAAAAGATGGCAAAACAGTAAGTTCGGCTGGGGCGAATTTTGAATAACTTCTTCCACCATTTGGAACAAATTTGGAAATTTTCAAAAAAAAAAAAAAAAAAAACATTCGCCCAAAATTCTGTTAAAATCTTAAAAATACCGTTGTATCGACAATCTTAATAGCAATCATTCATCGCTATCTACAAAAAAACGACAACACTAATGCCGTTATTGTCGCCTCGACTTCATTTTGCGATGACGAAGACAACGGCAGCCGATTTATAAAATCAACTTCCTTACAATTTAAAAACAATCCTAAGGTTCCATTTCTAATTCTCACTTCAATTAACTTTAAATGATTGGAATAATAGCGCTCTTTGGTTCAAGAAACATCAATAATATCAATATATCCAATTTGTCATGTCCCACTGTACGTCGAGCAATAACTTGATTATATCGTTTCTGTAAACATACCCAAAATTAATTTTAAACGATGATCCCAAATTTGCCAAACTGGATGTAACACTTGATCCAGGCATTGTTTCGGAACGGTGCATTTTATTCAATTGTGTCGATTCGTCAAACGTGGCGCTGCGTTGGCCCTTAAACAGTATTGGCTTATCGCTGTATAAAGTGTTATTGTTATAAGAAGTATTCATATCGGACGTTTGATCCTGTTGTGTGGACGTTGTTACGGTGTTAATAGGAATGGACGGTTGTTCATCTTCATTGAGGGCACCCAGGGGATCATTTTGTGTGACGGGAGTTCTTGGCGATATTCTGAATTGAAATAATTAACACATATTAAAAAGTTACAAGAATAGGATACAAGGCGAATTACATACTTTGTTGGACTTTGCAATATGTGATCTGTTCCCCCGGGTACAGTTTCTCCATCATGATCAGCCAAGTCCTCCTGAGAACTGACCGCATCTTTACACGCATGCTCATCATCATCTTCTTCTTCGTCGCCATCACCAATGTTCATTATTTTCTTGGTGTTGGTTTCGGTAAGTGTATGTTGTCTTTGAAGTTTATTGAGTAGAGCTGCATCACCAGCAAAACTTTCCGGTGTTGGCTGATTTGCCATATCTCCAACAGTTGTATTGTGAGCATTACCTGATGGATACTTGGCTTCACCTGGTATTAACAGACCGGCACTCGATATTACATCATCGGTAGCATCCTGCGACCCAACTGATTGCCTCACAATACTACCCAATTTCGATCGTAGCTTATCGAAAGCAGAAAAATCTAAGAAATTAACACCATAACCATCTCCCATTCCGGCAATATGTTGTGATGAATTCGATGACACTAAGCTGGTACGTGATGCCCCATCCACGGTCTCCAAGGTGCTCAAATTGTTGTCACACGAAGCAGAGAGAGGCTTCTTCGAAGCCCTCAACTTTCCAGCTCGTTTAAAGTGGGCAGCACCCAAAACCACGTTTTTAATACGATTCCAGCGTAATTGACTTTGAGTCGTGCTGTCGCTGGGCCACTCAGATTCTAAAACACAACGATTGTAGAAACCATAGGTTAAAGCATTCGGTTGAACACCCGATCTCTTCATAAGATAATGTAGGCGTACGGCCAATACTGGCATATTATAAGTACCGCATAACTGCATCATAATACGATAGCAGAATTCATCACAATTGATCTTGATTTTGCTGGCCTTAAGCAACATATTGTAGGCGGATCTTAATGTCTCGTGTTCTTTGCCTGCTCGACGGGTATCCAATACCATGGCAGGCAATATGAGGAAATACAATGAATAACATGTAGCCAGTAAATATTTTGACCACAGTTCAGGATGACTTTGACATCGACGTGCTAACTTTTGGGAAAGTTTTATTTCATGTTTGGTTCGACGAGCAATGGGCGAACCAGGTGCTAAACATCCATTTATTTGTTGCTGTATTAGCTGATTTAGAGCCGTTTTGGCTGGGGATTTTAAGAGGCTGGGATTTAAAGTAAAGCTATCATAGTTATAGACGGGTTCAGGAACATTTGAATCTAATAAATGGTAAATAAAAAAAGGAAAAATAAGAAATCAATATAGTGTTCATTATTCATTGCGAATACCTTTAGAGGGGCCAACAATATCTGGAGGAAATATATATTTTGTGCGTTCACTACTCTGGCCAGTTTCCCATTCGACCAAACGCACATCCGACGGAGTCTCATCATATGAGCCCACCTTCTCGGCACATTCATCAAAAAACGTGAGACCATGATCGCCATCAGAGACAAATGACCGCTCCTCAATGAAGCGTATAAACATTTGGGTTTTCATTAACAATTCAAAAAATTTATGATAAGCCTGTGAAGAAAAAGAACAATACCCTTATTTAAAATTGTATTTGCCAAAGATTATGCAAATGTCCAACAAACCTTATCTCTGGAACGTAGAAAAGCTTTCAATTGAAATAAGGCACTGGGGTCAGTGGCACCAACGGTTGGTGCTTTAGAAATGGGTACCAGATAATCGCGATAGCCACGTAATATCGATGCCATAAAAAGCAAAAATGCTTCCTGTATACGTTGCTCCAAATGTTGCTGCATTAAAATATCATCGGTAATGAAGCTAATATGTTCAGCGACAATCATTAATTATATCTAGTTACCTCACGTCTCCGCCTTCTTAGGTCACGATCCAGACTATTATTACTGTCTACATTCAGTGGTTTCATTGCCTCAAGGCTGTCCAGAGTTTGGCTTAATATTCGAGCCGCTCGTTTGGGTAGAAGTTTGGTGGTAAGATGCTTTTGCGATTCACACAGCTAAGGACGAAGATAAAAAAAATGATTATCTTCTGAGCGGATGGTATTCAAAGAAAATACTTACACTTATAGTATTTGTATCCAAATCGATACAAGTCACATCTGTAGGTGGTTCATACAGATCAAAGAATCGAGAATCTACACCAATTAAGTAGGGAACTGGTGCATGCAGTACCTCTGCCAAGCCAAGTGGACACAAGGGAATATAGGGACATTGCCACTTAAATGGGAACAGAAGGGAAACAATGGCTTCTGCAACGGCTGTTAATGTTGCTGGTCTAAAAAACGAAAAACATTCCACAATCAAATGAAGGGTTAGGGATTTATAAGCCACCAAAACTAACTGACCTCAACGAATGAATGAGTATTTTTTGTTCCGTCAATGCCAATAACAGGACATGCAAACAGTTATCTGTACCCAAATTTTGCAGCAACATATGAAAACCGGCACCACTACGAGGCAATGGAGAGTCTTCCGGTTGGGTGAGCAGAATACGATCATTCGATTCACTCGATAACTAGATAAGAGTGGACATATTTACAAGGATATTAAAAGAGAAATTTATAAAATAATTACCTGTAAATGAATACTTGGAGCTGGAAAGGGTACCTCGTCCAATAGTTGTGTTATATAACGTTCAATGGGGATTGGCAAATTTTTCTCGTAAACGACCATACGCTAAAAAATGAAAAAAAGAACCATACATTTCGATAAATAATCATTCTTCTTAAGATAATTTTATCAAGATTTAAAAGAGATATATTCTAGAAGAGATTTGGGGTTTTCCGTTTTTAGTATTTAGGTTTCAGAACCAATTATTATAAATGTTTCCCATGCTTGCTTTACACGAAAACCTACGCCCACGTCTCAGCAATTGTAAGCACTTACGTGTAAGTATTTTAGCCATTTATCGAAGGTATCACCAAAGGGATAATGAGACAGCAAACATATGGCTTTTATGATATGCAAAGAATGATTTTGAGCAAATTCTTCATTCCAACCAAGTAATTCACGTTGTTGATCCGACAGCTTTGAATCACTTTAATAAAAATATGTGTTCGTTATAATATTATTTGAGTATGTTGGAAAGTAAGGTACTCACTCGAAATCCTCATAGAATGTCAGAGCCGAACCATAAACCTTGTATGTTCCATCGTTGACAGTCAATACGAATGTACTGAATACTGGCGCAGTTGGTCTACGTTTTTTATTCTTGCCAACATGTGGCCATGCCTCCAGGGAAGCACCCATTGGTAAACAGAATAGCGGTACACTTGGACACAAGTTCAATGGAAAATCGTTATGATCCACGGTTGGGTAACGGAGCAAAATTTCGGGTTGGTAACTGATGTGTTTTGGACGGTACATAGATTTTTTATAGCAGAGATAAACATCACTGCCCGTGAAGGCTTTATTAAGCGATTTGTATATCAAACAAAAGGCATGTGGAGGCTTTTCACCTTTACTGCGAACAATAACGCACAAATCCGTTACGACCAATTCGTTACATGGCATATCAGCGGGGGCACGGCGGTACGTTAAAAATGTTTTCGCCGATGAATTGTTAACATTTGCAATACGTCCACCGGGTGTTTCGGCCACAATTTCAGCATCTGACATGATGCGTTCATGCCCTTCGTACAAGACACCTGTTAATTACAACATATATACATTTACACACATTCTTATTTACGGCCATAAAAATAGTTTAATGCTTACCAATGTCCACTAAAGGCGGACGATCTTTACCGCGTCTGTAATAAATGAAACATTCTGTCGACCGCAAAGACCCAAAATTCAGATTGGCAGGCAGGCCGGTGGGTGTTGTTTCCAGCACTTCATAGCCATCTGGCACATCTTCGCCCAGCAGGGGAAAGAATACACCAATATCTGTAATGGGTTCTATAGAATTGGCAGCCCTCAAATGTTGGCCAGACTCTTTGAAATTGCTCTCCTGCAGCAATTGTGGATTTTCGGGCATTCCAGCCACCACAAAGTAATCAGCAATTCGACGTTCCTCCATGGCAACTTAAAAACAAAACAAAGGACACACAAACGTTTCACATATGTATCTATATACAATACGACTGCTCTGCTGTTGTTCTTTACTACAACACTCGGCGTATATTCTACTAGTGGGGCGCTTTACAACAAATGTTGATGAGACATGTAGACTACGATGATGAATTGTATAATGTCCTTGACAATCGACGAAAACACATGAATGACTGTTGAGAATAGTCGTCGGTCGTTGTGGTCACCGTCAACGGCTGGCTTACTGACAAGGAAATGGAGTTCTTTTAAAACAAGTTCTTCTTGTTTTCACACAGGGATCAAAATGAAGCCAGCTTTATCGAATCGATGATGATTCAATATTGAATTGTATTTGTTGAGCTCCTCCCTACTTTTCTCGTATTCAGCAAAAACTTTGATTCTTTGATGATTTGTGCAAAAAGCAGCTGCAGCGCTGCAACGCCTTGCCAATGTCTTTGAAGCTGCGTTACTAAGCTTTATAAATTTACAAATTTTATGCGTTTTTCTTCACTTGATATTTTTATAAAAACAATTTTTTAGGATTCGGTGGAATCGGTTAGTGATTACTCCGATTTTTAGCCAATGTAGGCACGGTACATATTCATGGGTAATGGGTACTGATTATGCATGTTGTCAGATAAATACAACACTGCGCCCTTAACAAACGAGTGCGAGCTGTCAGTTATATTTGAAATTTATTATGAGGTTGATTGTTTATTAACAACTCTACTTATTTGAATCATCGTCATATTCGTCTCCAGAGTCAGATGGGCCCATTTAGCCTTTCGGTTTTTTGATTCTCTAGACAGTCATTCTGCCATTATGAAAACGAAATCAGCGGAAAGAAAGCGAAAGAGGCGATACACAGCAACAGCTGATGAGCAGACAACAAAGCTAAACGATTTTTTCGACGGCGGCTGCTTATACATTGTAACAAAGATATATGAATGTTTCTAATTGGAAAATATTACAATTGAGTGAATTCAAAAAAATATGAATTTTAACAAAGTTTTTATTTGGTGATTCTAGGATATGCGGTAGACGGACGTACAAGACATTTTACCCTAGTGGAAAAGTTGAATGTATGTATACGCTACGTCTAATTTTAGGTAACGTGTTCACCTAGTGAACTAAGGGACGAGTGTCAAAGAAGCCGTTTAACTTGCTCACAGTACTAATTTCATTTAAAAGAAACTTGGCTTTTTTTCGAATAAAAATGAGGGTTGACTTGATGTAATGACTTGATTAAGGGCATCTATAGCCACGATTGAAAATAAGTAGTGGAAGTTTTAATTTTTTTTTTTTTCTAAAAAAGAAAACATGTTTATTCATACATTTTAGAAATTCATATATGAGGTTAAAATGAATTATATAACTAAATACTTTACAGTAATAAATTATGAACACAAACTGACTCGATAAAGGGGAAAAGTTTAAAATAAATTAAGATTTTTAAATATGGAATTATTTTATATAAAAATAAAAAGTTCAACTATTTATAATAAAGACCCTTCCAGGGAAAAAGTGTACATAAAAAGGTAAAGCTATGCATTAATCCGACTAATTAATGCCAAAATGGAGGAAGACAATTTGTGCCGGTGTTCTGTGAACTTAAATACGTTAATGGACAGTGAGATGATACCACACCTGACGGTGGTGGGTTTTGTAGTAATATGGTATTGTTATTAAGATTTGCGACTGCTACTTGTTGTGGCACATTATAGCTCAATAGACACGGCAAGGCACTGGGAATATAATCAGGAGGCGTCGTCAAGGCAGGGAGAGTTGTAAATATTTGTTGCTGTGAAACAGGATTGTAGTATATCAATGCATTCTTGGTCTCTTCTGCGGTGTTTATACATTTTGAAGTATCTTCATAAACGTTATATGATGACCAGGCCGATTGACATTTGCTTTCAAGCAAGTTTTCCATAGCAATACATTTTAATTTTGGTTTGTTATTTTGAATGTCTTTACTATTTCGCAATTCTTTTTCAAAGTTTTCCACAACAACATCATCCTCGTCCAAGAGCATTACGTCATCGGCATGACTTTCACTACACCTGCCCGAGTCAAAAAGTTCCTCCTTTACAATAAAGTCTGCAGCACTTCGACGATTATTTCCTATTTGTATTTTAAAATTTCTTATAGAAATTAACGTAATTTCATGTTCCGACAACAATTCACAACGAATTTTAATTTTAGTATCAGCATGATGTTCCTTAAAGTGTTCCGTGGCATATTTAATTGATTCCATTTGATTTTGACAGTATTCGCAGTAATAATTTAAAACGAATTTGTGATAATTCTTTAGATGTAAAATGAAAAGTCCTGCTTCCATATTTCTCTCTTCACAACAAAAACAATTGGTCATGGTGGCGAAGGATATGTGATCAGTGGCAAAGACCAAAGCGAGGTTAAGATACAAATTCTGATCTTTCTGACGTTCAATGTTTATCACATGGGCATCTCGACGGGCATGATTAGCCTTTATATGTTCGCTAAGCTGCAACTGGGAACCGAAGGCTTTGCAGCACACACCACATATACTAAGTTTTGAAACTGAGCACAACTCAATGGCACATTCGTCTACCCAGGATGGCATTACGCGTTCATAGTCAATCAACCATTCTTTTTTTAATTTCGTCGATTCTTTCAATTCGATTTGCTTGATGCCATCCTCCAAACGACTCAGGCAATTTATTAGAAACTCTGAAGGTCCCAATACCAGGTTCGATTGTATGGCAATGTGATAGGCGTAATTAAAATTAAAACGAACTTTTTCACAATGCACTTCACTGCCATGCTGGTCTTGTACATGTTTATGTATCTCCTGGTAACTAGGAAACGTTGAAATGCAATGATAACAAACATAAGTGTGACGGCGATGTTCTTCAAAATGTCTTTCATAGTCAGGCAAGGCCCTTAAGGTTGAACCATTTTCATTTGGGCAATGTGGACACTCACACTCCAAGCACATGTGACGCAGACGCATATGCCTTAGCCACATATCAAAGGTGGAAAAGAAACGAGCACACGTTTGTATCGGACAATGATAGAGACAATCTGGAGCAATACCGGTATTCCGTGTTAGCTTATTTAGTCGTATTTTCAGGGTTTCTTCCTGTAGCTTAAGAATCTCTTCAATGTTTGGTTTGACATCAGCTGCTGAATCTTGTGAGCCAGCAGTATTACTCTTAACATCAACTACTGGAATCTTTTCGGATACATCCACTAATTTTAAATTAGTAACTACATCCTAAAATCAATGAATAAACAAGTTTTGATAAAAACATCAGGCATACAAATTCTATAAATATAATTTTTAAATAGATATTTAATTTGAATTTCCCTAAGAATATATTGTGAAGAATTTTAGAGTTAAGATGATAGTAAATTTTGTATGAAATGTATTTAGGATTTCTTTTCAAAGATTTATAGTTTGGTGTATTTTTAAAAAAATAAATGAATTCTCAATGATTGTAGAGCTAAGCTAAGGTAAGAGTTGTGGACTTTTTGAGAGTTAATTTCAAGGATAGTTAGAGATTAGGTCTTCCATTTTGAGTATATTTTTTCAAGGATTTTGAGAGCAAAGATGACATTTTTTTAAGATTTAAAAATATGAAAAAAAAAAATTTGGTATTTGAATTTCGTAATGGATACTACAGCCTATGAAAGGTCCATTTTGGTATAGCTCCCATATTATGGTACCTCCCTATATTCGGTATTTTGATGATTTTAACTACATTATTCACCGATTTTTTCAATGGCTTATGACAAAAGTGGCCTATGCATGTCCACGTCTTCGTATAGACTCCAATATAATGGCTATATATTCGGTATTTTCTAAGATTTTAACAAAATTTTTATCGAATGTTATTTTTTTGAATATTTCCAAATTCCTTCCAATTGTGAAGGGTATTCAAAGTTTGGCCCGGCCGAACTAACTGCTTGTTTACTTGTTAATTTTTCAAGGGATGCACAATAGAGCAGTCAATTACCTCATTGAGATTTACAACAATCTCATTATGATCGCATAAAAATGGAAATTCTTCGGGATGTTGAAGGGCTAAGTGTTTCCTCATGACATTTCTATCTTCATTTGTATGTGTCGGACAATATATGCATGAATAATATTCCAAGATTTTTGTAATACTGATGTTATGGACCACAGCCAGGTGATGTTCCAATAGGTTTGAATGGTAGAAAGCTTCTTCATTACAGTCTGAAAGGTAATTATAATAACATATTTACAAAAATATTAAAGTTAGGTTTCGAAATATTATTAAATATAATTATATGGGCGCCTTTGCGCAAAGGAAATTAAAATTTACAACCGACAACACTTACATGCACACTCCACTTTTCCCACATTCTCTGATATCTTCTTCTTTAGATATTCCTGGTCGGGGGTAATTTCCATATCCAAACATTTATATACCACACACGTTGGGTGACTTGCATGCATTTCTGTTTGATGTATTGCTACATTGGAGGCATCACAACTGCGATAACAACAAATCGAACATTGAAATATTAAATTGTGATGATCTCGACTAATATGTTCCGCCAATTGATGTGGTGTCATCATACAGCTGGAACTATCTTGACTGCAATATGGACAACGGAGTAGTTGTTGGCCTTCCCTCTCCTTTGCTCCCTCCTCATTATCATCACAGTAATGTGCTTCTATGTGTTCGATATACTCGCCGCAGGAATTTGAGGAAAAATAACAATCATCTGCGAGGCATTTAAATAAACCAAAATATTGAATATTTTGGGGGTAATGGCGATATTGATGTACATGTAAATTGGAATTGGAGAATGTTGGCGCTATGAATTGTTCATCATAATTTGGTTCTGATTTGCATATATTCATAATAAAATCGTTAGGGGCAGGTTCCTCAAAGCTATATTCTTGTTTGGGGGTCATTGCAGTTGAATTTTCAGGACCAACAACTTTTGTGGGAAAGTCATGTATTGTGGTCATGGCAAGTTCGGGCATTGTCGTCGTTGTCTTTTGGATGCCCTCGTGCATTTCTTTAAGGGCTTCTTCTAAAGTGTGCAAAGACGAATTGTAGTTTTCTTCAGAAAATGGTTCATTTTGTACGGGAATGTTATCGCTCAGAATCCGGGGAGCAATCATTTCATCTTCCTCCTCGTTTTCTTCTTCTTCATCTTGTTTATCATCGTCCCCCGTACTGCCATTAGCCCGCAAGTTAGGTGCAGGAAAATCATCAGTCTCCTCACAGATCGCAGCCAATATACATTTGCCAACATTATCCGAAATGGCCTGTCGTGGATCATGGTGCTCCCTTTGATGTTTAAATATATTGGCCTCATTCAATTGTACAAAGTTGCAGATTTTACAATAATGCAGATATATGACCTTGGCATTGGCCGGATAACGATACATGACTTGTAAATATGCCGTACGACATAATTTCGAATGCGAAATATGCGATTGAATGTCGGCCTTAAAAGGTTTGGTAAAATTACATCCGGAACACTGATAGGCATATTCGCCAGTATGAGTGGCATAGTGATCGTAGAAATTTTGGAAACTGTCGATTAATTCCTCGTCACAAAATGGACAAACAACCGAAAAGCGTGACAAACGTTTATTGCGAATATTTGCTTGCAGCTCTTGAATAAAACGTATGTTTGAGGTGAGATCTTCAATGCGTGTCAAACTTAATCTTGATGTGTACGATTCGGTTTTGTGTTTCCGTATGTAGTGGTTAGTTAGATCCGCCGGTCTAGTAGTGCATAGGGCACACTTTCGTGTACTACCTGCTGTCATTTGTAAATCATTGTTGGGTTTTTTGGGTTTAGCAGACTTCGGCAGTGTTTCCGATGGTTGACGCGGTAACTTACGAGTTCCACATTGCACTAGCTGAACATTTAATATATCACTTGAGGAGATTTCATCTGGTCTATGAAGACTTCTTTCCGATCGTTTGTTGGCGGTAGTATAGCTCCTAATGTCACTTTCGGTTAGGCGTTTTAACAACAAAATTGGCTGATTTTGTACAATGGATTTGGTTGTTGAATTTTTCGTTTCCTTTAATGGGGGATTTTCGCAAGATTTGACTACTACCCGTGTGGAATCATCAATAGTTTTCCGGCGTTTTAGATTTTTTGTTTTGGATGGTTTTGGTTTCGAACTATCTTCCATAGTTTTACTCCTTTTATTGGGGACCTTTAAAACGGCGTCTTCAACATTTTTGGATGGATTTGTTTTTGAAGGTGTTTTGGCCTTGCTGCTTTTGGTACCTAATTTCTTTGGTGATATTTCATTATTTTCTGGAGTCATAGTTTCAGTTTCCAATTGCTTGATTATTTCTGTTCGGGCTTGAACACTTGACGGACGTTTTTTCACTACAAGAAAAGTATGGAATTTGAATTTTTGAATATGTTAAACATGAGGAATATTAGGCGTTATATAATATTTTGGAACAAATTGAGTTTAGCTTCAGCTGTACAATCAAAACGTGCCTAGTCGAAATAACGGTTTTAGACCCTAGGTCTCTTTGGACCAAATCCGTTTCAGGACATTTGGAGTCGATCTAGCGCACGATAATGAAGGGAGTATCCGATTTGGTCCAAACTTGGTACATCATAATATTTTTGTCAAACTTAGATCCTCACCCCCAAAAGGTCGAAATTTTCAAAAAAAAAAAAAAAATAAATAAATAAATTACAATCCGATTTTGCTCCAAATTTGCAAATCGTAATATTTGCATCAGTTCTAGGTCAGGTACGAAAATGGACAATATCGGTCCACTTCATCAAGTACCTCCCACACAAAGGGTCAAAATTTTGAATAATAACAACTCCCAAAAAATGTGATGTAAGGACTGGTATTAAATTCGGGCCCGATAGGAAATGGACAATATTGGCTCATTTCTTCGCATTACCTACTCCATAGAGGGTTGACAATTTAAATAATCATAACAGTAATCAAAATATGTTTAAATAATCGAACATTGGCTGAGGGTATACATCAGTCGACTAAACCGACCGATACTTTTTAACTTGTTTTTGTTATTTTTTTTTCAATTTGACTTACAATTTTGAATTGTATATTTTCTAATGTTTTTCTACACCCCCAACACTATGTGTTGATGGTATTGTATACAGGTCGCAATTATCGCCCGATCTTCACGAAATCTTTGCATGGGGTAGGATTAGGGCGATTGCCCTCGCCCAAAAACCTAAGGGTAACATCTGGGCGGGTCTCTAAGACATTATTTCAAAAACGAAATCTTCCAAAATGAATTTTGACATAAGGTAGCTTCCAATATATTGTAGTGTTGTAGGTTATCACATGGTCGGCTCCGCAGGCTATAGCCTTTTCTTATTTGTTTATTGTTAGAATTAATTACTAAGAACTTTCTACAATTGTGGGCGTTCAATACTGTACTTACCTGGTATTATATGATCTATTTCCTTCAAAATGCGCTCGAATTCTGACGATTTTTTGGACTTTAAAGACTCTTTGCTTTGGACCATACCATCCGATTTATTTTCTAACGAAGGTGATGATGGTTTGCATTTTTCAGGTGTATTGTTTTTAATATTCTCTTCGCATCTCCTCAACGTTGGCTCCTGGTCATTTGATGATAATTTGTTGCATTCTGAGTTTATATTTGAAACCCTTTCTTCTTTTCTACTCTTCAACAAATCCGTTTCATCCTTAGGAAATGATAAATTTTTGTTATTTAAAATTGCGTTGACAAATTCTACCCGATTAGATACATTCGTGCTTTGTCGACATTCCATCTCTCTTTTCGCCATTCTCTCCTCCTCCTCAGCTTTTCTCCGTTTATATTCGGCATAGGTAATGCTACTTTTAGTCAGACTAGGCCCCGTTTGTCTGTATGGTGTTCTATAACATGAATTTGGGGCAGTGGGTCGGTATGGGCGATCTTGAGTGCAATGCATTGGGAATTGATGCCGTGGTGAGTTATCAACATCAGGATAGGGATAATAATTGCAATGAGCTGATTGATTACAATATGGAAACTCAGTTGTTTTGTTTGTCAAACTTGTTATATCGATGCCTCCCGCAATTAACAATGGTGAGTTTTTATATTTATTCAATTCATTTCTTATTCGTGGATCGTTAAGATTGAGTTTTCGTTGATAGGCCATTCTTTGGAATTGTGAATAATATGTAGGGTAGTCTCCAATATACGTTTGCTGAGGAGTTATTGGTACATTTGATGGGACATTACATTGAGAAATGTGGGTTGCTGTATTTACATTCATTGATATTGACGGTGCTTCTGGACATGTCTCATCTGCATCCTGACGTTCGCTTGTGTTTTTTTGGAGAAGTGTAATTAATTGGTTAAGTAATTTTTCTATTTTGCCTTCTTTCTGTTCATCTTTGACGGGAGTTTTGTCCAACAATTCTTCGAAATTTGATGGTCTAGTGTTATTGGTTATTACATTGTTAGTTTTCGAAATCGTTTCTGGAGATTTGGGGCTTAGATTTTCCTTTGGACTTTCTGTGATATTCTCTGTCATTTCGGTCAAGAGAATGTCATTGTCTTCTTCAACAATTAGACAATTTTCTTTACTAGGTGATGGATGATTTTTACCCAAACTAACATGATTGTAATTGGTTATAAGCGGTTCTACTTTATTGGAGAGTTCATCATCACTAGAATCCAATGATATGGTATCTGGTTCCCTTTTGAAAATCTGTTTCCTTTCCCTCCTCTCAAAAAGATCATCGTTTTGTTCACGTCTATGAAATAATATTTCCTTCGTATTGTTATAATTTTTATCTTCAGATGATAATCTGTCGATTTGCTTCAGTAATTTGGAAGCATCATCGTCCAAGGCACGTAAGCCCTTTTTGGAAGATACTCCTTCTGATTTTTTGTGGTCGTTTGCATTAATGCCTTTTGCAATATATTCTCTATCGGATTTCTTTTTGCATTCTTTGGACTTTGGTTTTGTGGGGTAGGACACATAAACAATTTCTAAATCATCATCATTATTCTTTTCTTTTGATGAGTTTGCTTCGTCGTCGGAACAAAGATCAACATACTGGTGACAGGCCTCATTTCGAAAAATGTCTAAAATTTTTGGAGGAATTTTCTATAATGGAAAAGCAAATGATTTTTGTGTTCAGAATTAGATAGTTTCGCCTAAGATTCTTTTAATGACATAATCTGAATTGATGACCGCTCACATTGTATCAGTAGTTCAAAATATTCATTTGATAATTTCTTCTTAACTTTAGACCTTTAATCTATACGTGCCATTTGACATACATCGAATGCTTCTACAGCATCTTTTTGGATGATTTTTTTTGTGATTGACCCTAAGAGTCACATAACAAAAGCAGTTTCATGCCAATCAATTAAGATATCAAGATAGAGACCTTGAAGTAAGGAAAATCCGAAGTACAGGGTGAGATAAATAAAAAAACTGCAACCAACTTCAGAATGCTGTCATCTCAGCCACTCGTCCGACAGCTATTAAAATTGTTCCAGTGGCAGTTCATTTTATCGTTTACCAGCGTACAAAAGCATTTTGGTGAGCATTTTCCAGAAAAAAAAAGTTATTTGCGATGGAATTCAAGCGTGATTTCTTTATATTTGGCTGGAAAACCGCAAGAGCACTCCAGCTTTTAAATGTGAATAAATCTTTTGTGTCTCGTACCATAATGAAGCGACTTGATCGAAACCCGCGTCGCAGTGGCCGAAAATGGCTCGTGAGCTGAACACATTTTATTCGGCAAGTATCGAAAAAATGAGCTCGGGTTAAAGCCATTGAAATTCCAAAAAGTGCAATAACTTACACCGCAACAGAAAGAAAATATTCTCAAAAGAGCTAAAGAGTTGCATCGCTTGGCCGAAAGTGGTCAACTGCCAAACTGCAGTATTCTCCAATGAGAAAACATTCGTTGTCCAGCAGTTTGTAAACAAACAAAATCATCGTGTTTAATTGCCAAAGGGGTCAGCTGAAAATGTGCACTTTCTGTTGGCCATCAGAAATCAAGCGCCGGTCATGGTGATGGTGTGGGCCGCCATAACAGCCGATGGTCGCTCTACGCTCGTATTAATCGACCGTGGCATCAGAATAAATGCCGAATATTATCGAGAAAATATTCTGGAGGGTGTATTAAAGCCTTGGGCAGGCAAACATTTTGGCCGCAGACCTTGGTCATTCCAACAGGACTCAGCACGCGCCACCCAAGAATGGTTACAAAATACCGCAGAACAACATTCGGGCAGCGTGTGATGGTTTCATTGGCCATTTGAAAGCCATAATTCGTGCCAAAGGTGACCAATTCAAACAAATCTAAACTTATTCTAAAATTTGATGCTATTTCCTACTGTACAAAATACTTTGTACATACTTTTGAGTGCGGTTGAGGCGCTGGGAAAAACTAGCAATAAACAATAAATATTCAAAAATTACATATTTCCCAGCCGCCATAAAGTACCACATGTGAACAATTCGGTGATCTTGTGCGCTGACGCATACGATAATGTGTCAGATAATAAAGGTTATGACCCACACGCACAGATATCGATGCGCTCAGTAGATGCACAAGATCACTTGAAGGAAATGTAAAGCAGCCCTGCAATGTTCTCCATTCAATATTAGAATAGATAAGAACAATTGTGTGGCTGCGACTAGGTTAAGTTAGATTAGTTTCAGTAGTACGTAAGGAAAATATTTTTGAAATAAAACTAGAATTGAATCAACAGCCAAACCTTTCGGTTGGTTTTCTCTTCTCATTCACCTACATTTTTTTGCTTTCATTCAATAAAATTAAAAAAAATGTAAAAATTTTGGCGTTTGGCTTTGTTGCAGTTCTTTTATCTAACCCTATATAAGTACAATATACGTATAAGAAAAATCCTTGAGGACAACCTGCAGCAATGGATTTGCTAACAGAACAGGATGATCCAATAGAGACAAATTTAATGCTTTTAAATTTGTTCGACTACCACCAATTCAGACTCATTTTTCAATTCAATTCACGTATTAAATCAATTCTTACCTTATCCGCAGAACATGTTAGATTCCGAAATTGTGTTTTGATGGATTTTTCTATTTTGTTAAGATCATTTAAGGGATATCTAAAAATGATAACAAAAACACAATTAGAAAAAATTATCTTAAGGAGAGAAAAAAAACGTTGAATTTTACCTCTTTTTAGTTAGTATCCATTTTCTTATATCAATGAATTTTTCATATTTTTGTTTGTCTATATCGATGATAAAGTCGATAAATGGTATATATTTTAGTAGATCATTTAATTTTTCATCAATTTGCTTTTCCATTTTCTAAAAGAGACAAATCAAAGGAAAAGTATAGAGTACAGGGAAATAATATATTTTTTGTGAACTACTTAATAACATTTTTAATGTATGGTGTAGTTTGTAGAGTAACAATTTATTGAGATCAAAGATTAATTCGTTTGCTTTGATTGTGCTATCTGCGGCATGATTTTTTTCTTTTTATTTCAGTTTACCTTGGGAATAAATCGATCGATCCTAGGATTAAGTATTTGTTTTAATCTTCATGGAACTCTGCAATCTTTATGAAACTCTGTAATCTTCATGTAACTCTGCAATCTTCTTACGTTCCCCGTTTTATATCTGGACCAAGTTTTAATGACCTGCAAAGATTTAAAAATTGTATCAAATTAGACTTTAATTTCTTTAAAGTTTCAAAGTAAACACTGTTTATATAACGAATCATACTGTTTCAAATAAGTACAACAGAAAAACTATTTCTCCTTACAATCTTTAAAACGATAAACACCGAATAAACAAGTAAAGAATCAGGCTATTTAATGCTAGTTAATTCTCTCCACTCATGTAAAAATCCCAACCATTCAATCCAAAAATCAAAGAATTCTGTAAAGAAGTTGGCTTTAATCATCAAAATACCGAATATCGGGAAGTACATTTATATGGGTGATATAGGAGAACGTGGACCTACAGTAGCTCCAAGCGAAACTCGTACAGATAAAGAAAAATGTTTAGTTTTTCTTAACTTCCAAAAATCAAAATTTAAAAAAAAGTGTTTTTTTTTTACATTTTATTAGTACACTGGTAAGTTTTAAAAGGTAAATAAACTTAAATGTAATTCTTTTAAAGTAAAAAAATAAATAAATATTAAAAGAGATCATATTTCAATGCCAAAGCCAAACTCGTAAACTTATTATAATTTAAAGTATTTGTAGACATTAATATTTTGTATGCATTCCTTTGCCATTTGTTTCAACAAAGCTTTCTTCAAATCTTCTTTGCAAGATATGGTATGCTAGAGTGGCAAACTTCCTTTCAAAATGTTAAGGTACATTGTCTGATCCATAATAACCTCAATAAAATGCTATACACCAGGTCCAGAGGCTGAAAATGAATCCCACACTATTACTGAACCAAAAAGGTTGAAGTACTTCTTGATTTCGCTTTGCTGATTAGAAGTTTATCTCTAGATATATGCAGTATATTTCTTATTGTTTGAGTGCAACATACTTTTCCCAAATCCTTTTCAGTAATTTTTGCAACCTTCGGTGCACTCAAAAATTGATCCTTTTTGATCTGCCGTAAAATATACTTCTAATCACTCAAGGTAAATATTGTATTATTTGCCTGGGTTTGACTTATTTTCTACACATCCATCTGTTCTGAACCGTTTTATGATGTACTGAACTGTTGATCGGCTTCAGTTAACACTCTCAGATACCTCACTTAGCGATTTATGGTTTTAGTAATGTTTAACTACTAAATTTCTCACTTTAACAGTGGTTTGTCCTCGTTGTCTTTCAAATTTTATTTAATATTTACCTCAGTAAATTATACAACACGTGGGAATTTGTTATAAATTAGCTTTTAGGGACTTCCCCAAATACATTTTCCAACAATCGCGTAAATTTGGACGCAGTTCGAAACAGGGTTGCCGTATAATTGTAAGCTTTTCGAGTTTGGCTTTTGCATAGAAATTTGGTGAGTTTTAGAATAAATGCCATTATTTTGTTAAATAAATAAAAACAGTAAACTTTTTTCTACGGCTAGTTCCAGTACTCTGCACTAAACTCTAAATTTCAAATTTTAGTCTATTCCGCTTGAAAGTGAGACCAAATTCATGAAAATGCGAATATGGAAAGGTACAATAATATGGGCGGTAGCGAGGGAAAACGTGGAGCTAAATAGGCAATGACCTATCACATAAGGTAGAACATATTATGAACTCCAAATACCGAATTTTAAACTATTCCTTTAGAATGTGTGGCTAAAATCGTCAAAATGTGAAATATCGAGAGATGCCTTTATATGGGGGCTATAGGACGAAGCGGACGTATATGGACAATATTATGCCACAGGAGGTAGATGCCAATACAAAGTCTAAATACCGAAGTTTTAAACTATTACGGTAGAATGTCTGTTTGAAATCGACAAAATAGCGAATATGTGGAGTCCCCGATGATAAAATAAAATATTAAATAAAATTAAAATATCTCAGAAAACCTATACAAAGAAGATTTTGGAGAGATTTAATTTCTCGGATTGTCACCCAGTTTCAAAAGCAGGAAAAGCGCCAAATGAATTTCCTTATAAACAAGCAGCAGTTGCTCTAATGCATTTGATGCTGGGAACAAGGCCAGCTTTACAATAAGTGTTGGTTTCCTCTCAAGACAACTTGATAACTACACTCAAGAAGATATTCAGAGACTAAAGCGAGTTTTCAGATACATTACTGGATCTACAGATATTGGAAACACGTATAACAAGGACTCAAGATATTGGAATGTTATCGCGATGCTGACTATGTAGTGGATGTGTCAGTACTGGACGTTCCACAACATGTGCTGTTGCAACCCATACAGGTGAAGTTATATCTTGGATGGGTCAAAGGCAACCAAATACACAGGTCCACATGACACGCTGCATCTATTTCGCTTTCCAGCCAAATCTACTCTCCTAATTCCAGTCTCGTTGTGGACCCATCCCGTACAGGTTGGATCTTTTTTGAGACTGTACTTAGAGGCAGAACCCAATTGAGAGGAGTCAGAACGAACACAACAATATGAGCTGCTACGACAACAACAACTGAGGAAGAAATTATAGCTGCAAGTGAAGCCGCAAAAGAAGTAGTATGGCTTAAAGGACTTTTCAAGGTTATAATTGTACTCCAATGATAAAAATTGACAATACTGCAGAAATTCGTCTATTAAAGAATCCAAAATTTCATAAGCGAAGCATTTTTTTCATGCGTGAAAAGATCACAAAAGGTATGTAAAGTTTCATCTGAAAACCAACTTGCAGGTCCAAAACCACAAACACCTACCGTAGCTTCGATTACAATACTAAGCTAATCATTTAAATATTAATTAATTAAACAAGGGAACGTGTTGAAATATGTGTTTAATTAAATTCATGACCCATGTATGTTTCAATTTTTTTTTATTTTCACAATGTCTTCAATAAAAATTTCCAAAGCAACTATTGAATAACAATTTTTAATATATACCGACAATATTCATAATCACAAAAAAAAACAATAAATAAACGCACAAATATTGCTGACAATACACAAAATATTAAAAGTTTACTTACCGAAAAAAATACCGTTAGCACGTAGGAAAATGTTAAAATAACTATCCGAGCAACGAAATGAACTGCTTGGCTAGGACTCGAATACTGAAGCAGGCAAACTGGAAATACTGTTTTGTAAGTGAGAAAATCAGTAACTCATGTTGTTCATTTTTATCGATCTCATTTAGTGGGAGAGAGAGACAAGGACAATCGATTAATCGATACGGCATATATTAGCTTTGTTCCTCTACCAGGCCAAATGTGTGCTTTAAAATTTTACTACATTTCGGCTGCAGGAATTTATTAAAATACTACTTTTTACCAATTTAGAATCAAACCCGAAATGGAAAAATTATGGAATCCTGTGAAACTGCTTTATAATAATTAGTATGAGACAAAGATAATCGACATTTCTTAAGTATTGAAAAATAATATTACAATGTAGCACTAAGTTGCACTTCTGTAACAGAATGAAATGTGAAAGCAATTAGTGCCTGCAACGGACTTTCTAATTGTAAGTATATTTATTTTTTGTTTTATTTTCTCAAGTCATATACACTGGTGGCCAAAACTAAAGCAACTGCAATTACAAGGAGAATGAATGCCCTGTAACTTTTTCAAATATTAAGAAAATGAGAAAGTTTTTCTTGTTTTAAATTAGGTACTTTATTCACTTTTTAAAAACTTAAAACATAAAACCAAAATTCATTATACCCTACAACACTATGTGTTGGGGGTATTATAAGTTTGATTGGGCCAAAAATTATGTAACACCTCGAAATATTGGTTTCCCACATAGGAAAGTATATATGGATCTTCCTAGCTCGCCGAGCTGAGTCGATCTAGCTATGTATGTCCGTCCGTCCGTCTGTCCGTCTGTCCATGTTAATTTGTAATCACTCTACAGGTCGCAATTATGGCCCGATCTTCACGAAATTTAGAATGTAGGTGGGGCTTGGACCAGAATAGAACCCTATTTCTTTTGGAGATGATCGCCAAATGTTTAGGGATTGAAATGGACCAAATACTGAAAAAATGTCGGATTTTGCAGTAGCTATACAGGTCGCAATTATAGACCAATCGACGCGAAATTTCGTATGTAGATAAAGTTTAGGGCGGGGAAGAAGCCTACTAATTTGGGTAGTCATCGGATAATATTTAGCGGGTAAAATATACCATATCTTTTGTGTTGAAAAAATCAAAATTTTTTATTAAACCGTGAATATTTTAAATCCCGGGGAAATCACAAAGCCATCACAAGGTTACTTCTGATCTTTACATTGATGTTATTATCCAACAAATGGGATATATAGCAAAATATGTGCGATATATATGTCTATCAAAGGAGATGTGCTTGAAAGATCTCTTATATATCGAGAACGGCTGAACTGATTTCGCCAGTTCTCACTAATTCAGAATGGCCTCTTGGCAGGAAAGAAAAAACGTCTAAAAAAATCGCATAAAAATATCTCTGTAAAGATGAAAATATTGATTTTCTAACATTTTCTCATATTTTTTTCAATTTTGTCATATTTTTGGCATATTTTCATTTTGAATTAAACATTTGGTCATATTTCTACAGCTAACAAAACTAAGTAGTTAGGATATCAGGATATCATATACACATCGCATTTATGGGCCGATCCTTACGAAATTTTGCATGGGGATAAGATGAGGGTCAGAATAGAAGCATACTCTTTTTGGAGATGATTGCCATATATTTAGGGGTTGAAATGGACCAAAAAACTGCAAAATTGTCGGCAGGTCGTAATTATCGCCCGATCCTCACGCACATTTGAATGGGGGTTACCGCATATTGCAAAAGCCAAGCAGTTTTGGATGGCCATCCAAAAATATTCAATGTGCGAAATAGTTTGCCAACTTTTGTAGACAAAATACGAAAATGTCCATTCCAGTGACTTTTTGGAGAATTCACAAATACAGGAAAGACGCACTTTCGACTATTTCGTTAACGCTGATTTCGTTGAAGAATATAGTCAAATGGCTGGATCTCACATAGATGCGTTTCAGTCAAAAGCCAATAATAAATGTTAATCTTTTGCCACTTCTGAGAGATTATAGGTCTTTGGGAAATATTGGTTCCAGATCGAGGAAGACCATTTACGTGCTACATCTACCAATAAATGGAAATGAGCAAATTAGCTTAAGTTGCTATTATTCGAAAATTATAGAACGAAACCTGATGGCTTTCTTTTATTATTTGTCACAATATCTTGTGGAATTCTGTCGAGTATTTCGCCTATATAAATGTATGGTTTATTATAGTGTTGTAGGGTATTCAACGGTCGGCCCCGATCGACTGTAGCCTTTGCTTACTTGTTTTTATATAAAAAATAATGTTTGGTATAGTCAATTAACCCGATTTTGGCTTGGACAAAACAAAAGCAACTCTGTTGTACATTCATATAACCGCTGCAATTTTTTGCTTCCTTCGACAATTTCGCTTGTCATAAATCCTTTTTGAGAAGTATGTGTTTTTCAGTATGTGTTTTTTTTTCGTTTTCGTTTTTTAAGTACTGCCCAAAAAAAATTTAAAAATGGCTAAAAGCAAACACAGTACGTGAATAAAACAGCAAATTATCGGTGACTATCAAAACAACATATTACAGAAAATGATTTCCGAGAAATATTTCATAAATATTTATGTGATTTCATAATTATTTCTGTATACTAAGTCGGTTTTTTGAAACTGGATCAGTAGTAACAATCTATAACGGATGAAGGTCGTGAAAAACTTCAGCCCGTACTGATCCACAAATTGTGAGAGAAATAAAAAACAACTATTTAAGAGTTCAACTGGATTGGTGAGAGAGCAATCATTGGATATAAGCTCGAGATCAGTGCGTAGACGAGTAGTGGCAGCTGGTCTGCATGCCCGTAAGACATCAAAAAACCATTTATATCTGAAAAAATCAAAAAAGGCTTTCGGAAACGAAAATATTAAATGGAATCAAGCTCAATGGAAAAAACATTATTTCTGGGATGAGTCTACGTTTAATATTAAAGGCTCAGACGTGAAAAATTTTACGGTGAGAAGACCAAAAAATGAATGACTCAAGCCGCAGTGTTGCAAAGGTACAGTGAAGCATGAGGGAGGATCAAAAATGGCGTGGCGCTGTTTTTCTTTCTATGGACTTGGGCCTATCCATAAAATAAAGGAAGTTGTGGATCGGTTTGTTTACAAAGATGTGTTGGACATCACGTTGTTCCCTTATGCTGAGTAAAATATTCGGCTGATTTGGGTGTTTCAGCATGACAATGATCCCAAACTTGTATCAAAACTTGTCAAATATTGGTTGCGGGAGTCAAAAATTCATGTTTTGTTATGACCGGCACAATCACCTGACCTAAACTCCTTAGAAAACCTTTGGAGTATCGTAGATAGGAAGATCAAGAGAGATTCGGAAATAAATAAGCACAACATTTTCTAAAGAATTCGGGGTGCCTGGGAAAGCACACCCAAGGATCAAATTGAGCGTGTTATAGATTCAATGCCTCGTAGGTGTGCAGCTGCTATCAAAAATAATGGTTATGCTATCGACTACTAGCCAAAATTTAATTATTTTAAAATAAAAACAAAAGTTGCTTTAGTTTTGACCAAGCAAAAATTGGGTCATTTTAGTTTTCCACATATTATTTTTCGTTCAAAATTATTTTTGTATTTTTATTTTCTTAAAAGTGAATTAAACCCCTCATTTAAAACTGGAAAAATAACTACGATTTGTTTATTTTTGTAAAAGTTACAGGACATTTATTGTCTTTGCGATTTAAGTTGCTTTAGTTTTGGCCACCAGTGTAGCTCTGTGTTGTCAGACTGTACCGAAAAACGCCATGCTCACTTTGCATCGAACTTAAAGGTTTGTTAAATAGGAAGTTTCTTTCTCATTAACAACATTTTCTAATTTATAGAATTTATCAGAAAGCTCTCAAAATTACAAAGTACAGTTTTTTCTTTCATCATTAGTTTTCATTTTTAGCATATTGTTTTTTTTTTATAGAAACAGCAGAATAGCAAAATATAATAATAATAGTGGAAATGTTAGCAGACTCAATAAATGTCAGAAAAACGTAACTAACCTTACAAACAAATTTCGCAATAAATCCGAAGAAGATTTTCAAAAAGTACAAGGTGAACATTTGGAACAATTTTGGCAATTTTCAAAAAAAAAAAAAAAAAAAAAATCTGTCAAAATTTTAAAAAAATACCGAATATAGCCGTTATATTAGGGTATATACGACGACGTGCATAGACGACTTTTGTCGTGAACCATTTCAATATTAAAATGCGAAACTTGAATAAAAAAATTCGGTGAATAATGTAGCTAAAAAAATCCAAATACCGAATATAGGGAGGTACCTTTATATTGGGCTTTTACGAGGACGTGGACCTGGGCAGACAATTTTCTGTCATAGGCAGTAGCATCCATTACGAACTTCAAATGTCAAACTTGAAACATCTCCGATGAATCACCAAAATACCGAAAAAATGAAGGTATCATTATATAGGAGCTATACCAAAACGTGGACTTACATGACCCATTTTCAATACCAAAAGTCCTGCAGACATAATACACATTTGAGTAAAATTTTATCAACCAACTTCATTTTGTTCGGAATCTAGCGTGATTTCCACAGACGGACGGACATCGTTCAATCGACATAGAATTTTATGCTGATCAAACGGTCCACGTTTTGGTATAGGCCAAATATATGGGTTCCTCCAGATATTTAATATTTTTATGATTTTTGCCATATATATGTAAATTCGATCCCAATAAAATACGGCAGAGGTGACTAAATTTGGTACAAAAATATATGATGATTGGATTATGGTATTGGGCTAAGAGTAAAAAACTACACAACAATGTAAGTGAGTGATATGATTATTACGGGGAAATATGTTGCTACCTCGAAATCTCTTATTGCAACAGAAATGCCACTCAACTTCAAAAGATTGCAGTTTCCTGCACGCTTGGCATTTGTTATGAAATTATCAAATTTTGAATGCATATAATATCAAAAGGGATAGCGAAGCGCATAAATATCATTTATTAGCGAATTATTATTTGTCATAACAGTATTAAAAATATGCAAACTCAGAACAAAGCACAAAAGTAATAGACCTTAAGGGGGTTTTAATGGATAATTTTAAAAGCGATCCCCAAACCATGACACAACCACCGCTATGTCTAATATTTGGCTTCATATTTCTAGAAA